TCCATCCCATGGCCCATAGCCCCAACCACGTCACCGCCATCTCACCACATATCATGTTCGCTACCCCCAAAGTCCTTGAAGCACAAGGGGTTGGAAAACAACGATGATGATGAACACCTGATCCCTAAAGGCATTAGGTTTCCGTCATCGTCGCACTATCACTGTAGATAGACAGCTCGTCTAAACGACATTTTAATTGTGTCGGACCGGATCGTGATTTAAAAATCTTGGCATCAACCTAAAGACGATAAGATTAGAATTGAAATCCACCCAAGGATATTTGTTGCAAACTAAAACATATATTCATTGTAGTCTTTACATAATAGATACATTATTTCCCATATAAAGTATAGGACATGATCACATCTAATAGACTATACTGTAAAAGAAAAACACAAAAAACAATAGTAATAATCTAGAGGTTTACAACACCATGTTTTTACATCATTTGTCAAGGTACAGTTCAACTATCTATGTTTTTTTGGTACTTTCCAACAATATGAATTAAGGTATCACAAATAAACACTGCTGTTTGTTAGGTTGGGTAACGTAAACCTTTTGCCGCCAAACAGCACGTACGTATGGAGCTTTTGAAGCTACAAATAATCAAACACCGTTTGGAAGTTTTATCTGACGTGATATATATATTCTTCCATCTACTGCCGACCAGACCAAAGGAACAGTGTGTAGAATCCTCCAACCACCGTGGACGCAGCCATCAACCAAACGGCGGCTGCCACAGGCCACGGCATCAACGCTGAAACTCGCCATGAGAAGACAACCGTGAGGAGAGACGAGGAGAACCAGACGCCGGCCTTGGAGCGAGATTTCGCCGGTGAGTTCGCCGGCGCCCTCTCGTATTGCTGCAAGCACCAGAACAGCAGCAGGAGGCTGAGGTACGACGTGGCGACGAAGGCTATGCCGGCGATATCTCCGTGCGACCTGTAGATGGCTAGTAGCGAGTTGAGCGTCAAGAAGCCAAACCATACGTAGGCCAGCCATGAAGCCATTGCCAGCCGCAACAGATGATCGATGGTCTGTTAAGGCAGCTAGCTCCGCAGGTCGCGTCTCCCGGCCATATTATATATGTCGCCTAATTAATGCTTATTGTTCAAGCCTCGAGCAGTCATATATTACCGACTCAAATCTTTTGACTTGTATTATATGACTATCCGTTTATTTATGTTTTCAAAGTAGCGAATCAAACTTAATTAATTTGTTTAGCTTAATACTATATACAAACAGCCTAGACACGTACCGCGTACGTACACTCTTGCGATCTTACGAAGCAAGGAAGCATCATCCATATATACGTCTTCCCCAAGGCTCTTGACCATTGAGGCATTGACTTCACTAATCTAATAAAGAAGTCTTTTCGCGTCGTGTAGTCCACCCGTTTGATAATTAAATTACTTGTTACTTTAACTTACACGGCAGTCTAAGGGAAATAAATTCTCGGCATTTTCCCTCGCAGGCTGCAGTGATCAATTTGGGAACACCGATCCAAAACGAATGGATGAGGCATGATCTAAGGTTAGAAAATCCATGTCCCTCTGCATTAACAACTTCTCGCTACTTGCGCGTCCCTGTTCCTGAATTTTGTCTTATACCAGACTCAAGACCTACCCTGTAGGAGCGAAAAAACCTACAGGGTAAGACCTATACCTGCAAAATCAAAATTTCCATCCAATTATCTAACTGAGACAAGCACAAGATCTCCTAGCTCAACTACCAGATCAGGTATATATATACGTACATATTTTGCATACAGAAATTTTCAAATTGGGAGCTTTGAGAATCAAACGGAAAGGGAATAATTAACCTCAACATCTGGAATTCTCTCGATTGAGGAAACCGAACCTTTCAACACCGCGTCACTCAGCGAGGAGCGGCGGTGAAGAATCGAACCAACGCACCACCGCCGGTTGGTGTGCAGTGTTGCTATATGACCAAAAGATGGATGGATGGATGGCTGGCTGCGGCGGCCTTCGTTTCCGGCCATCGGCGATGAGCAGCTCGCATGCGACTGCGCTCCGCCGCCCGCCGTACGTCAAGGTGCGACGGGCTTCTGTTCCGTTGCCATCTCTCCTTCTGGCTTCTGCTCCGGTGCTCGCTCGCGTTTCCTTCCTCATCTGCAAAGGAGATGGGATAGTTGAGAGGACTGGTGCCGAAGTTTCACCGAAATTTCAGTATAATCGACACCCGGGCCCGGTCTTAAAAGGAGAGAGGGAGACATTAACAAGTGACGTTGGGCCAGTTTGGTTTGTGACCAATGTTGGCCTTACGAAAATTTGGTATGCCAATTTTTGATAAGGCCAACATGTGTTTGGATTGAAGCCAAATTGAACTAATTTGGCTATTGAAATGACCTATGTTATATAGGCATGCTTCAATTCAAACATACACAATTATTGTTGAGGTTGCTAAAAAATTGGCAAGCCTAATTTAGATCTCAAACCAAATTAGCCCGTTCTGCCGTTTTATCAATGAAACACGTATGGGTTACGTCAAACCGTCGAAGTCACCTGATCCACACAATATATATATTGGCTTAGTTCCAAATCTTTTCTTAATTAACATACATATAATTTATCTTGTTTTAACTATGTATTTTAAACTCGTACGAAAACCATTTATATAGAAGTTGATTTAAAATTAATATTAAATATATTTTCAAGTTTTTAGTAATTAAGATTCAATTAATCGTACATTAATAGTTTATCTCATTTATATGCATACTTAGGCTGTGTTTGCAAGAGCAAGTTCCAACACTCTCCTCCCGTTTTTCGCGCTTACGCTTTTCAAACTGCTAAACGATGCATTTTTTGTAAAAAGTTTCTATACGAAAGTTGTTTAAAAAAATCATATTGATCCATTTTTGAAAAAATAGCTAATACTTAATTAATCATGCGCTAATGGACTACTCCGTTTTCCGTGTGCACGGTGCATGTTCCCATTCTCCCCTAGTGATCAGAGCCTTAATCTTAATACTAGACTTTCTTGAACGAGGCTTATTTGCTATACTATGTCCCGTTCTTTTCTCATGAAGATAAAGATTTTACCTCAGTTTTTGTTAGCATGTTTTTCAAATTACAAAACGACGTGTTAAAAACTTTTTATATAAAAGTTGCTTTTAAATATTAAATATATCCATTTTCTTAGTTTATAATAATTGAAACTCAATTAATCATATGTTAATATGTTAATGGTTTTCTTATTTTGGGTGTCCGCTTTTATACCTTCGGTAACTAACGTTCATTCGTCAATCAATCACTCTCTTCATTAAAAAAAAACTTCATAGTTCTATTTCTACTCTCTTTATCCTAAAATTAATAAAATTAGTAGTACTAGATTTTTATTTTAAAACAGAGGAATTACATCATTACCTAGTCCACCTATACTAGTTTTCTACTCCCTTCTTCCCATATTATAATGAAATACGGATTTTAGGTGGATGTGACACATCCTAATAATACAAATCTGGATAGGAGTAATCCACATAAAATCCCTTAAAATATGGGATGCAATGAGTAAACAGTACCTCCATCCCAAAATAAGTTTATTTTCACAAAAAAGATGATAATACCTCTATTTTATTAAATCTCATGTAATTATCCTCACTTTATCTATTTCCAATACTATTTTTATAAACTCCAATGCAATGATTACTATAAAAATAAACTTCTTTTAAGATAAGTGAAAGAAGATAAAAATAAATTTATCATGGGACGAAGAAAATAGGATTTTGATCTTTCTCCTTACCTTCTTGGCATGGAGTAGTATACTTGAGTACTTCTTTCCAATCCGAATATCCGGAGAAAAGAAAATGACTTGCACCCGCAGGTGCTGTGACTCTGTGGGCCTGTGATAATATGGTAGCACCAAGTACTGACTGTCTTAGAGAAATTAATTTTATGGGTATTTGAAATTTATCTAAAACTTGATAAACTTAACCATTCATCTACTGTAGGCACATTGACATGTGATTTTACCGCTCCTTTTATATTTCAATTCTAATTTTATCACTCTAAACTTTATATTGTCTATACTACCGGGTGTACTGTAATTCTTTTTTTCAAACGACTGCTGTACAGACAGCCCCATTTCAATAATACATATTTCCTTCCTCCCAAAATGTTACGAATCCTAACGCAACTAATCCTATCCTCGATATAACATTTGGGAAGAAAGATGATCCTCGATGTAACATTTCGGAAGAAAGATGATGGGTGTGTTTAGTTCACGTTAAAATTAGAAATTTGATTGAAATTGGAACGATGTGACGGAAAGTTGGAAGTTTGTGTGTGTAGGAAAGTTTTGATGTGATGAAAAAGTTGGAAATTTGAAGAAAAAGTTGGAAACTAAACCAGGCCTATATATGGTGTGTTTAGTTCACGTTAAAATTGAAAATTTGATTGAAATTGGAACGATGTGATGAAAAAGTTGAAAATTTATGTGTGTAGAAAAGTTTCGATGTGATAGAAAAGTTTGAAGTTTGAAGAAAAAGTTAGGAACTAAACCAGGCCATAATATAGTTTGTTTATATTTGCAGTACATATTGTGACATACGACCTCCGTCCTAAAAATAAGTGCAGCTATGGGTATCCGTATCCAACGTTTGACCGTTCATCTTATCTGAAAAATTTATGAAAAAATTAGGAAATATTAGTCAAACATAAAGTACTATTTATGTTTTATCATCTAATAACAATAAAAATTTAAAATAAGACAAACGGTCAAATGTTGGATAACAGTGTAAAACTGCGCTTGTCCTGAGACGGAGGGGGTAGATTCCAGCAATTTCTGTAAACAAAAAAGTTAACCTAAGAGAAAAGAGAAAATATGACATATCATATTAGAACAAATATAAAAGATTCGTTGTATTAAAAGAGATTATATCCCCACATAGCCCTTGTTTAGTTCCGAAATAATTCTTCAAACTTTCAACTTTTTCATCACATCGAAACTTTCCTACGCACAAACTTTCAACTTTTACGTCACATCGTTTCAATTTCAATTAAACTTCTAATTTTGATGTGAACTGAACACACCCTATAGCTAGAGATTGTTTTTGGACGGAGGAAGTATAAAAGCAACAGCCGCTCATCCTGTCATCCATATCCACTGAAGATAAGATCACTCTTATCCATACGGCCGGGAAGACAATCCAGTTCCTCTGCTCTCGAGGTCTCGCCTGAGTCCTCATCCTGCCAAGTGCTAGCTATGGTTGAAGTGGACGATGGATCCAAACGGCAGATCGGCGTGGATTAGCAGGGCGGGGCTGGGCATCCTCACCGTCAACTCCGGCCTCGCCATCTACCGCTCCAGGGGGGACGCAGCCGCGGTCGCCTTCGTCCTCGGCTCGTACACCGCCCTGCTCCTCCTCTTCTCCTGCCTCTCCGCCTTCGAGCGCGCGCCGCCCGGGTCCCCCGCGAGGGGCCGCCTCAAGCGCGCGGTGTGGGCGCTCTCGACGCTCGTCACCGCCATGTTCGCGTGGAAGGTCGCGGCGCTCATGCCGCCGCCCGTGGCGGCCGTCGTTTGGGCCCTCGCCGTGGCAACCTCGCTCGGAGGATTCTTGGCCTTCTTCATCTACACCTGAAGTGGTGAAGCCGATCGATCGCTGTTTCTCGGTCGCCTGTGATGTATGGATGTACATATAGCTAGTAATTAGCTATTTAGCTATTACTAGTTTGTACATGCTTCAAGTGAACTATACTCTGCCTCTGTACATATATATATAGTACTTTAGTAACATACCGGATGTACATGTTTTGTACGTATCAGCGTATGAATATTTCTTTCTTTTTCAGTTTTCACTCTTTGTTCCAGCGTCTTGTTACAGTTCCAATTGATCTAAACGAGGAACAAGTTCACTTTAGGTCCCCCATTTGTTGCTGGGTCAGACATCCGTCCTTAACCCGCAATAACAAACATTACGCGTCACTTAACTCTGCAAATAGTCCACGTCTACATGGATGGTTTGACTTAATCCACGTCCTAACTCCTACGTGGTATTGGAAGCAAAATAAAAAAAATATTTTTTTTAAAAAAAAAGACAATTGCTTATTTGGCTCCGTTTAAACTGATCCTACTTTTTCTAGTTTGTTTATGTGACCTTACTTTTCAAAACAAACACCCCATCTGACCCTTTTCCACTGCACCACTAAAGTTTCATTTTTTTTAAAGAAATATAATTATTATTTGTAATGACCAAACTACCCTCAAGAAATCCTATCCACATCTAACCCTATCTATTCAATCCCGTCTTTCTCGTATATCCATTGCAGCGGCGGCACGCGGAGGGGACAAGCAGCCACGTCAGCTAGTGGAGGTAGTGGCGACGGAGGGGCGCAGAGGGAATGGACCCACGGCGGTGCGTGCGCGGAGGCGGTGCATGCAGAGAATGGAGCAGCGACGGCTACGGCGAGCAGAAGGACTAGCGGTGATGGTGGCTCGATGACGACGACGAGGAGCAACGGCGGCGGAGCTCAGCTATGACGGTGTGCAGGCGATGGATCCGGCTTTAGCTGGGTGTGTGAGCCATGGATCTGACGACGGCTGGGCATATGAGTCACAGATCCGACACATGCGGGTGACGGATCCCGTGGCGGCGGGTCAGCGACAGCGGCGCTGCGGTGGTCTCAGGGATTGCGGGTCATCAACGACGCACGACTCCTTCCCCGCGCCGGCAAGCTCTCCGACACTGGCCGCCGCTCGCCGCCATCCTCTGCGCCTCTCTCCCGCATGTTGGTGAGCTCCGGCACTGCGCCGTCACTTCTCGTCCACTACGCGCCGGCCTCCTCCTTCCTTCGCGCGCGTGATGCCGTCGCCCGCCCTCCACACGCCCGCGAGCTCCAGCGCCGCTCCCTCACTCCCCGCGCGTGTTGGCCTCAGTCTTCCTCCACGCGCGCCGTCACTGGGTAGGCAGCGACAACGACGACGCCGTGGCGAAGAGCATAGGGTACCGCTCCCTCCCTCCCCGCACGTGCTGGCCTCCGTCTTCCTCCGCGCGCGCTGCCACTGAGTCGGCAACAACGATGATGACACCGTGGAGAAGATATTATATTTTTTTTGGGATGCTATCCAAAATTTTGTTATATTTTAATTATATTTGATAAAATAAACACATACTCCCTCTATACTCATAAAGAAAGTCGGTTAGGACAATGTTTAAGTCAAACCTTGGGAATATAAATCATGAATAACTCTCAAGTTGTTGAGTTTAAAAATATAAAAATTATATGAATATATTTGTCTTGAAAAATACTTTCATAAAAGTATACATATATCACTTTTCAATAAATATTTTTATAGAAACAAGAAGTTAAAGTTGTGTTTTGAATACCGTGTCGCTGTCCTAAACGACTTCCTTTACGAGTACGAGGGAGTATAAAAATGTTTTATTTTTAAATTATTTTTTTACAAATACGACGTTTGGCCGTGAAAGTCGGCCGGACGGCTCTACTACTCCTATTTAATTTTTAAAGTACTTTTTTAAGAACTCTTTTAAAGTACTGGTACTCGTAGTACAACTACTCCCATGTAGTATAGCAGAGCAGCTACAATAGGTTCACTATTGTATAGAGTGAGTGAAATGCATGGAGTCATCCAACTTGTGCTTAAATATTTGGATCGTTAATATGAGTTAAGTGAGTTATTTAGCAATCTAACTATCCACATGAGCTTACCTTGTACGCATAGCATACCGCCTAAGACTAAAAAAACTGCATCTAGACATCCGCAACCACTTCACACCCCATCCGTTGCCTTCTAGGTTTTCGCCTCCGTCGTTGTTTATATTCATAACTTCTTGCCGCCGCTGGGTTTGATGACAAACGAGAGAGAGACTAAGAACTAGAAGAACTCATCGAAACAGACAAGTGAAATGATTTGGTTCACTTAATTTCAAGTATTTCCAAGTGCTAGCTAGTGATGTGAGAAAGGAAAAATATACACACACCGTTTTCTGCACATCCAAAAGCAATTTTCAATCATAGGCAGCATGCCATGTGTACAAAGTATGTTCATGTGGATAGTTAGATAGATAAATAACTTACTTAACTCACCTTAGTGACGTAGATGTGTTTTTTGAAAGTAAAGTGATCTGCATGACACATCTAAACAAGTTAAATGATCTTCCATGTACTCCCTCATTCTCATTATAAGCACAACCATAAGTTTTTGTGTCCAACTTTGATCGTCTGTCTTATATAAATTTTTTTAAAAACATAAGTCACGTATAAAGTACTATTTATATTTTATCATCTTATAACAAACAAAATACTAATCATAAAAAATATTAAATACAATAGACGATCAAAGTTAGACATGAAAACTCATAACTGCGTTTAAAATAGGACAGAGGGAGTGTTATACTTTAAACCTAGCTATATCATCACAATCCGATGTGGAAAAGAGAGAATTGAAAAGAGTGTAAAACAGACTCTAAATATATAACCGTAGGCTCCAAGAGAGATGCAAATGGAGGTTTCCACCAAGAGCTTGCATGCTACTTACCATGAAAGTGAGATACTACCTCCGTACCAAAATATAGATATTTTTAGCACAATATCTTACTCTAAAATAAAGCTATTTCTGCATCTATCTCCTTCTCTCAACCAATCACAATCATTCGTCTTCACCTACTCTTTCTTTTCAATCAATCATACTTCACTTACTCCAATCATTATCACCTACCTTTTTAATACATGTGACAATCTAAAAAATATTTACATTTTAGGAAAGAGAAAGTATATTATAGAATGATGCCATTGATTGTAGATTGAGTGGGCTGCTATTATACTTTTCTTATGTCTCCACCATACCTAAATAGAGCTTTCGACAGCAGAACCTCCTAACAATCGAGGCCCACATGTTATCGATAGGCTCATCTCACGGGCCGGCGACGTGCCATATGTGAACGGGCTCCATATGCCTCCGTATGGTCCTCCCCAGCACCGGCCAGCAGCTATGAATGGACACAAACGCCTCTCTTATGCTGGCCGGCATATAGAGTAATTTTCTGCTGTCTTTAGGGGAAAGAATATACCCCACCGTGATTGACCAAGCCGATGGGGAAAGCCACGCGTGATTGCCGGCGTCGGCACTGAACTCTTTCGGCGTGGAACACGGAGCACGTTAGGCGGAGTCGCGGAGACGAAGAGCAAGTATAATTGCAACGAGTGTGGAAGTAAGGTAACTAGTCTATCTGGCAATTTTCCATCGCCATGGATTCAGTTGCTAGCGGTTACAGCGCCTGAAACACAACACATTATGCTTGCATTGTTTCACCCCGCCATTGTAGAAACGGATGGACCACAACGATCGCCATTCTTCTTTACTCACCAAGGTAGGATTCGGTGCTCTCACTTGCAATTCCATCTTCGCCATCTACAGGTCGCAGGGTGACCTCGCCTCGGTGGCCTTCGTCGTCGCCGCGTACGCCGCGCTGCTGCTGCTCTTCTACTTCCTCGGCAAGTTCGAGCGCGCGCGCCCGGAGGAGAGGGGCAAGGTGAAGGCGGCTGTGTGGTCGCTCACCACGCTGCTCACCGCAATGTTCGCGTCAAGGGTGGCGCCTCTCATGCCGCCGCTCGTCGCCGCCGGCGTCTGGATCATGGCGGCCGCCACTGTCGTCGGTGGGTTCTGGGCTTTCTTCCTTCATCCCTGAAATTGTATTGCAGAGACCAACAGTTGTGTGAGTTTGAAACGTGTATTGTAACTTTGGAAGCGCATTTAAGCACATTAATGTAAGCGATCGAATATGATATACATCCTCGTTTTCTTTTTACTTGATTTTCTGCTATTTCTTTAGCCGCAGCCAATTAAGCCAATTTTCATGAAAGGCCATAACCAGGAAAACAAAAAAAAATATACCACCCCTCACACCCCAACAACGCCAACACACAGACTCAGGAGAAGGCTAGAAACGGACCGGCCGCCGCTAAGCGTGACCGACCGCTGCTAGACCAGCAACGGAACATAGCCAAGATCGTCCAAAACCCAACCCTTACAACCAACACAAAACCCCAATCTATCTAAGTCTTTGGGATTTAGGGAGAGAGAGTGTGAGAGAGAAAAATGGAACTCCTCTCCCCCTAGGCCCTCCAACGTGGCCAACTTGCAGAAGTTAGGGCGCCGACACAAGAGGATATGCTTGGGGGGTTTCGACAAGGGGATGCCTAGACAACCTCTCCAAGCTGAGAAGGGACGAAACGCCGCCGCTGCTGTCCGTCAAGGTCTCAAAGAGAACTGAGACTGGGCTTTCGCCCGGCAGCCACACTTGAGGGGTGAGACGACACAATAACGTCCTCAGGACGGGAATGACGCTCGAACATCATCGTTGCCCTGGGTTTTCACCTGTCGTCCATCGCCTATCGATCTACCACTGATACACCATTGCTCGACCGCCATCTAAACCTTCGTCGGCGCATGGGCACCAGTGCACCGGCGCCCCTGTGGGCCAGTCTCTACGTGCCTCCGCTGGCCTCCCCTCCTGATGCGCAGGCCACGACCACCGCCGCCACGCCAGTCGGCCTCGTCGTGCCGCACCGACACACGCCTCGGCCACGCCTCCTCACGCCACGGCCACTGACCACGCCTCCTCTCGCCATGCCGGCCTCCGGGGCTCCTCCTTGCGTTGCACGGCCACCGGCCACGTCTCCTCGCGCCACCAACCGCGTCTCCTCCGTCGTGCCGTCCGCTAGCCTCGCCGGCTAGCCACAGCCACCATGCCTGCTGCCGACCGCCTGCTCCTCCGCGCTTTCCGGCCACAGCTATCGTGCCTCCGCGCCTGCTGGCCATAGCAGCCGCGCCTTCCAGCTCGCCGCGACCGCCCGTGCCTCCGCCACCGTCCTGCCTGCCGCGGCCGTCGTGCCTGCCGCCGCCTGCCAAAGCCTCCTGCGCCTCCGTCACCGACGCCGCGCCCGCACCACCGCAGCCTAGATCCGACAGCGGCGACGCTAGATCCAGCTGCGGAGGTGCTAGATCTGACGGTGGCGGCGCCGGATCCGCCACCATGCGCCTTGCCGCCGCACGGCCTTCCCGGCTGCCGCCGGGGTTTGGAGCCTCACCGCCGCCATCCTGGCAGGCCGCACAGTTTCAGGCAACGTGCTTCGACGGCGGCGAGACGGGGAGAGGAGGGGAGGGTGACGGCGGCCGGAGGCTAGGATTCGTCCCTGGTGGCCGGTCACCCGCACGAGGACGACAGGGAGCGTTATTTTTTTTGTCCGTGAACTGAAGCTATATAGGAGAGACATTTGACATTAACAGAACATGCCCATAAGCATAACTCAACTTGCTGGCTCAAATACAGGAAAGTCAGTCCATCCCGCACCAGGCCCAAAGAAAATTGTCCAACAGAAAAGTCCAAAACGCTAGTACATAGGCATCGTTTAGATCCAAGGCGCATAATCCTAGCTTGACCTGACAAAGCCTAGCGTTTAGAACTGTAATTGTATCGTAGCATTTGGGGGCAAGCTAGCCCGAACGGGCAAGGAAAAGCTTGCTCGCGGTGGAGAGCCAATTCGGCTCGGTCCATCGACGGCAAAAGTAAGCCCGCAACAACCTGGTTTGTCTAAATGAGCTATAGCTGAAGGTGACAAACAACCAAACGTACCCGGCGGACCCCTCCCCGGCTCCCCTCCCCTCGTTCTCGATCGATCCAGATCGATCGGTGTCGGCAACCGCCGCCCCGTGCAATGCGTCGCGCCTCTTGCTCCCTGCAGCCTCCCCTCATCCCGCGCTCTGCTCCCTCCATCTTGCTTCGCGTCGCCCGTCCAGTGGTCGGCGCTCGCTGCTTGCTGCTGGTTCATGCCCCAGGACCCAAGCAGCCGTGCGGAGGCGCTGTCCTATGCCGTGAGATGCCCACTGGTCGCCGTCGGCCTCGCGATGAGCAACCCAGGCCGAGTGCGTCCCTATCCAACATGGAGGAGGAAGATGAGGTGCCGCCGTGTAGGTGCAACAACCTCCTGTGATTTGTTCAACCGTTGAATGATGATTTAGTTGTTCAACACTTGAAAGGCTTGTGATTTGTTGGTTTGATACTTAGACACAGTTGCATACTTGGATTTGAACTTTGGTTGTATAACCTGAATCTCCACAGGACGGATTTCATGCTAATTTGTTGGTTGATTTGAAAGGAGCGTAATGCAAGAATTTTTCAACACGTGTCTAAGACACTAGATCAACTTGCGGAGGATAGTAAAGAGGAAATTGCTGTCTGGAGGGTGGCTGGGATTTTCTCCCAATTTCGCGAGTAATCGCCATGACTGTCTGCGGGGTTTAGCCCTGCTTTCTTTTCTCGTTCTTAGTTGGCTGGGTCCTTTCCTTGCTACCGTGGTATAGTAATATCGTTGTAACATTTTACTGTATTTTCCCTCAAATCTTAAAATTGGTTGGCTATTCTTTTGGCCGACCCGGTAAAAAAAAAAACCTAAATCTCCATTGCAATCATTGCAATCATTTTGGTTTGGTTGTATTGGCTCGCGACCTAAACGAGCTGACCAGCGAGCCGAGCCGTGCTATTTCGATATTTACCCCTTAGCTGATCTCTTAAATATTTTTTTATTTAATTAATGTAGGCGTCGGTCCTTCCGCTGACTAACCCTGAGGATTAGTTAATAGTACTGGAGTATTTGACGGGGTGGTTGCGACTTGGGAGTAGGATTTTACGGAGAAAATGGAACACCCTGCAATACAAGCCAAAGGAAGGCAAGGAGGAGATGGTTTTCTCGACGAACATGAAGTACTCGTAACTCTCTCGCCAGGGAGCTTCCCTCCCCGGCCCAAGCAAGGATGGAGGTGAAGCCGGAGCTCAATCGATCTGCACAGGGTTACACGAGGCACTTCTTGGTTCTTCGATCCAGCTAGCTTTGGGATCGATCGTCCGGTAATAAGCTCCTGGTATGCTCCTCTTCAGTACCCCCTGGCCCTGTCATGCTCCTCTTCCCCCCTTTAGTTCGGATTTTCGACGCCATTCCTAAATCCTGTGACATTTTCATGAACATGTTGTCTTCCAGATGGATCTCCATGGTTCTAGCTAGCTATTTGTGCTTTGATGAATCCTGATTCCACTATCGTCGTCGTCGTCATCATCATCTTTTTTCTATTGTTGGTACATGTTCTTATATATTCTGGCGCATTTCGATTCGAGTTTGTCTCCTGCGCCTTCGATGAAATACTTACAAGTCGATCGAACAACACCTGTCATCATGGCTTACGCCAATAGCTACGTGCCGATAGAGTATAGACACATGATGCACGACAGGACGACGTGTTTCCACGTGAAACGTCGTCCGCGACAAGTTAATCTAGAGGCGGCGTCGTATTTGCCGCGTCCACACACGCGTGGCGGTGGACAAGAACGAATTGAACTTTTTCTCCATCCGTCTCTATAAATACACGGACACACAACCGCACACGGAGCTTCGCTCCCACCGTTTAGCGCATCGATCTGCTTAATTAGCTGAACCTTGGATTAACCATTATTTCGACGGGCCAAAAACCAAGAAGGCATAGAAATCCATCTCTATTTCAGCCCAATATACCATATGGATATGGATCGCCACGGAGCCCTGACCAAGCTGGGGTTCGGAGCACTAACATTCAACTCCGCGCTTGCAATATACCGATCGCGGGGAGACCCAGCCACGGTCGCGTTCGTGGCCGGCGCGTACGCGGCCATCGTTCTGCTCTTCTATTTCCTCCTCCGGTTTGAGCGACGACGGGATGACAGGGGGAGGACCAAGGTCGTGGTTTGGGTGCTGACGACCCTACTGACCGCGATGTTTGCAGCGAGGGTGGCTCCGCTTATGCCGCCGCTCGTCGCCTTCGTTGTCTGGGTCATGGCGGCTGGGACGTCGGTTGCTGGATTCTGGGCTTTTTTTCTCAACCTCTGAGATCCAAGAGCGCACTGTAGATTTGTTTACGGCACGGCCTTTCTTATTGTTAGTGGCTTGCTTATTTAAGTTGCTTGTAACCAAAATAAATATAGACTTTAGGTGGGAAAAATAAAAGAATCATCTTGTACTTTTTTGCGGGCCACAATTATAGCCCATTAACTTGACGCGTCACCACCAATTCTCTCTTCCGTGGAGCATATACGAGGGTGGTTTGATCTGTCACTAGACCACGAGACGAATTTATTTAGTCTAATTAATTTATCATAGCAAATATTTATGGTAGCACAATATTATCAAATCAAGCCAAGACAATTAATCCACAAGCCACCAAGAAGAAGATCTTGACGACCATTCCGAATACCTCCGCCAAGTTATTTCGTTGGAATTCTAATTTCCAAACAAACAAGATTTCGGATAAGTAATTTAAGAGAAAAAACCTATAAGAACAAACATACATGTATTGTTAGGTATAGTAGGCAATACAACCAGACATGAGAGTCAGGTCTCTAATTAAGACAATACTGTGCATGGACTCCGTGTAGTCACATCCATAGACCTTATAACCATACCCACGGAAGACCGTGCACTGTATTGTCTTAATCAGAGAACTTACTCTCAGGTCTGGTTGCATTGCCTACTATACCTAACAATGCATGTATGTTTTTGTTCTTAGGATTTTTCTCTTAAATTACTTATCCAATCTATAATCCGATTACACTATTATGCACGTTGCAATTAAATATTTACAACAAGATCTTACATGATTATATTTTTGATTAAAAAATATCTATGTTGTAAATTACTATTGTTAATATGTAAGTTACTTTTATCATATATATAAATTACTTTTAGATTTGATTAAATTACTTCTTACACATTAATAGTGCTTTGAGTTGTTTGATTTATTATTATTTTTAAGTCAATTCCATAATTTGTACTAATTAAATTTAATTTTTAGATAGACTCATGTTTTTACCCCCACAACGAATTTACTTCTAATGTCGTGATAAGTTACTTTCTTTTTGTTTTAAGTTACTTCTATAATATATGTACATTACTTTTAGGATTTATTAAATTTACTTTTATATGTCAAAGAAGTAATTTAATGGAATCTAAAAGTAATTTAGATATATTATAAAAGTAATTTGTATTTTTTATCAAAAATATAGTCATGTGAGATCTTGTTATAAAGATTTAATTGTTATGAGCACAACGGTGTAATCGAATCGTAAATCCGATGAGTAATTTAAGAGAAAATTTTATTTGAAGTATAGGTGATAGAAATATATTTCTCTACTTACATGTTGGACTAGTAGGATCGCTGTGCGTCGCTGGATAGAGCAAAATCGAGAGCGCGCACGATTTACTCTCAAAATAGGGCTTAAATTTATATAAAAATCCCCGTGTTTCTGTGTAGACATACTTCTCGAGATAACACTCAACCACACAACAGGTATATTTCTTACTATTATAAAGATGTTTATCGACGACAAACACCATCAAACACCAACTTATGGCGTATTATGATTTTTATATTAATTGTTCATGTTGGGTTCCATTTAACAATATATTTCCTTACATATATCTATATTATTGATTTGATGTCCTCATAGTAGGTTTATAAAAAAGGAATAAGTTTACTTTGGGTTCCTCTATTTGTCGCCCAGTCCAATTTTTATCCCTTGACCGTAAAACCGGGTACGACCCGTCCTCCAACTTATGAAAACCGGGCGAACGAGGTCCCACGGCAGTTTTAAAGGCGGTTTTGGCTGACGTGGCGCCTACGTGACTTGTTTGACTAGGTCTCCGTCCCACGTGGCATTGACGTGGCGTTTACGTGGCAATTATATCTCGGAAAAATAATAAAAAGCGTGGCCCCAGATGTCAGCTGCACACAAAAAAATAATTTTAAAATGGAGGGGGCCACGTGGCCCCGCATGTCAGCCTCACTCCTCACTTCTTCCCTCTCCCTTCTCTCTCTTCTTCCCTTTCCCCTCTCTCTCTCTCCTTCTTCTCGGGCAGCGGACGGCGCGGGTGGGCGGTGGCGGGCGTGGTCGGCGGCCACCCAACGGCCCCTGCCGGCGACCTCCTCGGTGTGTTCGGGCCTTCGGGGACCTCCTTGGCAACGGGATCTTCAACTTCGACGGGGAGACGTGGGTGGCGCAGCATAAGACTACGGCCGGGCGTGCGCCGCCGATTCTCTCCCACCGGCCGCCGCGCGCCGCTCCCTACCACCGGTCCCCGCGCGCCGCCGCTCCTCTCCCGCCCTCCCGCCGGTCGCCGACCCTCACGCACCGCCGCTCCTCTCCCTCCTTCCTGCCGGCCGGCGCACGCCGCCGCTCCTCTCCCGTCGGCCGGTCCGACGAGCTCACCTCCTTCCTCGCAGAGCTCCCGTCGGCCGCCGTCTCCGCCGGCGCGACGCTTGCGTCGGTCGCTCTGTCCGCCGGTACAAGCAAACGAAGAAAAGGAATGCAAAAGAAAACAAAAGGATAGATAGAGGAGAGGGCGTCCAGCACGTCGACCAGCATCAAGGCGCGCAAGCTCGAGCTCGCAGCCGGAAGCGGCAAGAGCGACGCGTCGTCGCCGGCGGCGGTGTCCATGCCGTTGTGCTGCTCCGCTGCTAGCAGCTAGTAGCTAGCCGCGCGTCCCTATGTCCTCCCTCCTGTGTAGTTCCGTCGTCATCGACACAGGCTGCCGCCTCGCCGCGAGCTATGCCCCCGTTTTGAGTTCGCAACATGCGACAAGCACCAAGAAAGTCAGCAAAATGCCAGCAGGAAGAGGATGCTAAGATCTCGATGTAATTAACCGCTAACTAATTTTGCTTGCAGGCCGGTGGAGCCGAGCAGGCGGCGGCGCGCGAAGACGATAGGAGGAGCAGAGCGGGCGGCGGCGCGCGGAGCCTATAGGAGGAGGTTGAGCAGCGGCCGGCCCGCGGAGCAAGATGGGCAGCGGCCGAAGCGGGCTACAAGCTCGCCGTGATGAGGAAGAAGAGGCAGAGCCGAGTGGGGAGAGGGGGATGACATGTGGGGCCCACGTGGGCCCCACCTTATTTTTTAAGCATATATGTGGGCCCCACCATTTTTAGATTAATTATTTTTTATGCGGCTGACATGTGGGCTCATGATTTTTATTATTTTTTCGAGATATAATTGCCACGTAAGCGCCACGTCAATGCTACTTAGGACAGAGAAATAGTTAAACAAGCCATGTAGGTACCACGTCAGCCAAAACCGCCTTTAAAACCACCGAGAGATCTCGGTTGCCTGGTTTTTGTAAGTTGGGGACGGGTCGTACCCGGTTTTACGGTCAAGGGAGGAAAATCGGACTGGGCAACAAATAGAGGGATCCAAAGTGAACTTATTCCACGATGTCTATACCACACACGCTGCTTATTTAACCATCACAATCTGTTATCCGAAGTTAACCGCTTCCACGTCGACTCGAACGTGGTGGCATCATGCATGTCACCTTGTCATTGAGCAGGAGATTTTTTTTAATGGTTATTAGTGTTGATCTTTCCCTGTTTCAAGATATTTTATTTTAGCATTTTTATTTGATCCACCCAAGCTTTATCTTTGAAACAGTCAATGCATTAAATTTTTGAGAAAGCGGATGAAAAATTCATTTGGAGTTTGAGAATGCAAACGAAGGGCACTAAATGCATCCTTATGTAGTTTGAGATAGTGAAAGTTTTGTTTCGTATTGGCATGTGTGAAATATGTTAAAAATGGAGTCTTTTAGAATGCAGGCAGTAAATTTTATTAATAACTATGTGAAATCTTGCGCATTGCTGCGAGTGCTGCGGGTTTACTATAATAACAATAAGCAAAAATATTGTATAAGATAGCTTAAATAACATAAGCTTACATTTACATAAGTTGATGTGATTTAAATTTAAATTGTATGTAGAATGATGATTCAAATGTAAAAGTAAGATGATATGGCTTGATAAGAGAATAAAAGAAGGAAGATAATTTAGACTATATATCTAAGGGTGAAAAAAATTAAGATAACATGGCTTAATGAGATAAAAGAAAAATAACATGAACTAAACTAAGTGAGGATGAACTGTATATAGTTATATAGGATATCATAAAAAAATGATATAGAGATATATTAAAATATTATGTGAATTATGTGGGATGATTTGACATGCTTACATTTTAATTCTCTAAAATTTAATAATTATTAAATTGTAGATAATATAGCATGTTTGTATTATGTTTAGATTATTAGTGTATTATAATGTGACATCTTTGCATGTCTATAGATTCTTTTGCCACGAGTTTGACAGTCTGGCTCATCTAATGCAAACAGTATTGGCCCATGAAAGCCAATTGTAGGAAGCAAAGGAAGATCGGTTTTGGATTTATCAAGACAAGAAGTAAGATAATTTTGAAGCATGAGTTCTCATACTCCAAAACTGGGAGACATGTGTTAACACCAAAATTTAGTAAGCCCGAAGTCATCATTGGCCTAGAGTTAGTATCGGCTTCAGAGTCTTGGAATCGGCTGATGGGAGTCGTCAAGTCACTAGCAGTTGTGTTTTTTGTGGAATCGGATCAATTAAAGGAAATTTATCCAAAAGAGTCTGAGTTCAAGGAGGATGCGGCATGGCAAGTGTATCTATTAATTAGGAATAGTTTGTTAGTTCATTTTATCTTTAGGAAAGTGTGTTTAGTGTCCATAAGGACTTTATGTTTTCCTTTTATCTTTAGGAAATTTTCTTTCTTGTCCTAGAAGGACTAGTATCTCCCTATGGGTATAAATATATACACCCGGGGTCATTGTAAAATATCTCAACAATCAATACAACTACTCTCGACGCATCGCCACCCTCTTTACCGAGGTTTTTACTTATCATCCGGCGGAACTTGGCACCTGACGCGGGGCCACATCGGTTCAGTTCGATCTCCGGTGAAGGGGTAAGTCCTACGTTCCGCCGGCCCTGGCAATTGTATTGGCTTCATCGGCGTCGTTCAAGGCTGCATCAGTACATTCAAACTCTTGGATTGCTCTGGTTCGGTTGATATATTTGCCTACCTATCATATGCCTCTGTTAATTTAATCTTAGCATATCGATTTAGCTCTATCGGCTGCTTCTCGCTTTAGGGTTTCTGTCAGTATCGGCTAAATCGTGTTGCTATATTAGATTAGCTTAGACATCCACCACCCTGAAAATCAGTCAACGGCTTGATTGTCTAGATATTATGTTTCTTTTTCATACTTAGTGTTGCATCAGTTAAGTTTGATCTATTAAGTCATGTTTAGAACCATAATCTCTAGCCTGCTTCTTTGACTGCTAAAAAATGTTCCATCAGGGTTTCAGCCGATGAGGTATCTAGACGTTGCATCGGCTTACAAAGATTACGTATAAGTAGGATTTAGCCGATCGCAACAAGGTTTCACTGTTTATCTAATCTTGTGGATTTTATGACATTGGACCTCCCACCGATGTATGCTTTAACCTTCATATCAGTGCTTATTCTATTATATCATTGCTAGCCGACTGGTTTCTACTAGATATTATTATTTTTATATTGATTATCATCAGCCGATTGTCTTTATATCATTATCTACATTGAATATATAGACGATTGCTCAAAACCCTATCGACATCGGCTGGAATCGACATCTGCTAGTATCGGCTATCAGCTGGAATTACTTCATCGGCTTGTCAACCGATCGGCTATTTGATCTATTGTTTACGTATCTTGTCAATTGCAGGATCAAACTAATTGGCACACTCGCACCTCACTAAGATTTGGACCTGCACTGGAGCTAAGTAGATCTCCTAGGCCAGTGTGTTTTTCGCATCAACAGGTGGCAGCTCGTTGCTGATGGTAGCCAAGAAAGGACCAACCTAGTCCAATATGAAACATATTGTAAGAATACTTGGTCACAAGTGAAAGCATGAGGCAGACCAGGGGCGGATCTACAGTAGAAGGGCCAGTGTCAGGTGACACCAACGATTTTCGGTAAAACCTATAGTGAAACTGTTTATCCATATGCTATAACACAATGATCTAAGCATAATTAGCATACTATAACATCGATAGACACGTTCTGACACTAACGAATCGATTTTCTGGATCCGCCACTGAGGTAGACCCTGGTTCATAATACAAGTTGGGTAAAATAACCTTGGCCAAAGTGCAATTCACTCAATTAGTTATAAAGACCAATCGTTCTCGATCGTTGGAAACAGTTTTAGAGAGAACAGAAAAAATATTTTTTTCACTGTAAATAAGGGGGAAAGGGAAAAAGGAAACACCAGGCTTAGATCCAGGGGCGTCCTCGGGCCCGTGCGGGCTGTGCGACTGAATGGGGCCCCCAAATTTTAAAGGCCCCTAAAATATTAAGTATGTCCTATATATGATAATATTATAGACTTTAATTTTATTAATTTGCAGTCCAAATAGTAGTAAAACAAAGCCCAAAACGCTGCAGAAGGTGAACCGATCAATCTTCCATGTACTCCCGTCCAGGCGTCCGCGTCATCGCGTATCGCCGAAGTCCCGACGCCGCAGCTCGCTTCGTCTCCTCTCCCTAGTCCCCTCTAGCCTTCGTTTCTACTTCATCGCTGATGATCGGCTGATCGCCACACCCGTTTTTAATTTTACTATAATAAATATACTAGGCTACTAGACTCTATTTTAATATTTTGCACGGGGACCCGATTTGGGCGGTATATACCTTACTTCACGTGCACTCCAGGTAAGTAATTAAACGGTCAAATTTCTTCGGCGATAAGCTACGTGCCTATATATAGCCCATCAGTCAGCAGTGCGCTCTGCTTACCCGGCTGATGGACGAACGGAACGCCGCCGCCGCTGCCGGGCTCGTTCGCGCGGGTCTCCTCGTTCTCACCCTCACCTCCGGCGCAGCGATCTACCGGGCAGCCGGCGACGCCGGCGCGATCGCTTTCGTGGCGACCAGCTACGCCACGCTTCTCCTCCTCTTCCGTTACCTTCGCGCCTACGAGCTTGCGGCCGCCGCGGAGAGAGAGGGGCTCAGGCGCAAGGTGTGGTATATTTGCACCGTCGTTACCACGCTGTTCGCCTGGAAGGTTGCCGGCGTGATGCCTCCGGCCGCCGCCGCCGCCGTCTGGCTCCTCGCCGTCGCCACCTCCGCCGGTGGCTTCGTCGTCCTGTTCCACCACCGCCGCCGTCCATGATTAGTTTAGTACTGTACGTGGCGTATCAGTCCAGTGTTGCTACATATACGTACGTACGGATCGACTTCACCCTTGCGTTGCATATTCATTCGATTGACGATTGGCTGTGAATTTGTAATTGGGAGTATACATGCATCGAAAGAATTTCAGGAACAGGTATTTAATTTCATTTCTGAATATATAATTTATTCATTATTTTATTTCTTAAGAAAGCATGGACTAATGGTTAATTATACATTTGTACTCTCTCTGCAGGTTATGTACTTATGGGAAGATCGTTATATGTATATGTCTTCTGAATTTCTGATCGATTGGATTTCTCTAGCTGGCTAGCTGAAATGGTATTGTAGATCTTGGAGCTTTCAAGCACCAAGCCTGTCTCATCTTTGGATCAAATTAATGGCTCATTGCTGTTGTTATTGCTGTTTTCAAAGGATTGAATAATTTTTGTGGGGCAATTTGTTGGAGGTTTTGCTCGTCACGTTATTTGCTACCCATTTTCCCATTTATCGAGTAAATTAGTACTCCAGGAAACAAAGTCACACGGAAAATCTCGGTGACATATATATATATATATATATATATATATATATATGTGAAATTTAGTCCATTTATAGTATATTAAAAATATAGAAGTAAAATATTGTACTTAGAACTAGTCATGAAAATTTTCTCTTGATTGAAAGGATTGTTGGCTACGCATGGAGTTTGGTCTCCGATTAAACAATGTTTCTACCGGAAGTCATCAAATATTCTATTGAAACTTTGAAAGTCGTGGCAAATTTCCAATGTCCTATTGTAAGTCATCACAAATTTCTATTGGAAGTCATAAAAATAAATCTATTGAAAGTTATCTAAGATTTTGTTTCTTACTGAAATTCAATTTCCTAACTATATCATGAATACGAACGATGCACGCGCAAGAGGAACCAAAACGTTTTAGGCATAGATTTTGTTCCACGCACGCTCGCTATCTAGGCATAGATTTATACACATTTCTTTTTTTTTAATACAAGTTAGACGGGGCTCCTGATGCATGAAGCGGCGCGAGCATCATGCGAGTACGAACGACAGACGCTAAACATGTTCACTCCTACGGCCTCAATGCTTATCAGCCAAAATTTAAATTTTCAATCTTAAATTTTAAGTTGATTTTAGAGTTTTTTATCGAAGTTTATTTTTCAACTTTTGCTTTTACATCATAAAAAATAAGAACACGTATATAAAATTTTTATTCATAAATTATTTTTTATTTATAAATATACCGTTTCGCTTATTTCTCGAATAAGCGAACGATGGGGTTCTAGCCTATTGGAACCGCATCCACGCAAACATTCGCAATTTAGGAATATTGCTCACACCCACCTATGTGTGTGAAGTTAAGACTTAAAACGTAGATCTTCAGATTACGACCATGAAAAATATGAGCATCCTTGCTTTGTTTAAAACTTATTTCCGTTAATTAATAAGTAGGTTAAGAACACCGAATCTTACAAACGGAATTACATATAATTCTGTTAGTGGTATATGAGCTTTTATAAGGAAAATCAAAGGAATCATTCTGAGTGATGCCATTTCAAACCATACCATTTTTTTTTGGGTAAAGTTGATAAAGATGTGCATATATTTAGTTTCTTGCCAAATTTTGACAAATACATAAGAAATAATTTACTAAAATTTTGGTAATATTATCAATTTACCTAAATTAATTTACTAAAATTTTGGTATTGCTAAAATTTGGTAAGGTTCATTTTGGTTACAATCTAAACAGCTAAACAATTTTATGCACAATACGCCATTATATGTGAGAGTTGTTGAGAAACCAGTCTACTCTATTGATCAGCACACAAGCAGACAAACACAGAGTTATGGAACACAGAAAATATGAGCAAGTGGAAGCTTTATTTCTTCTGGATTTGAGTACAAGCTATAAGAGGAGAAACAGGAGACCGAAGATCGGTTGTCCTCGCCTTGGACCTTCTGGGCCCTATTTATAGGCGGAGGAGGGTAGAGGCTTGCATCGTAAGCCTTGAACCTTCTGGCTTGCGTCGTAAGCCGGCTTACGTCGTAAGCTGGCTTCTCCTGTAAGCTGGCCTACGCCGTAAGCTGGCTTCTTCTGTAAGCTGGCTTCTGGCGTAAGCTTTCTTCTGTAGTAAGCTTTCCACTGATAATTTAATTTGTCGATAATAAAATAGGTTTGATAACTAGAGTGACCATTCCTACATTAGTTCTTCTAGTAGCTTATAGGTTCGCATATCACAGTGTCACACGGCCAGGAGCAGGCGCTCCCAAATTGTGGACCAAAAAAGAAAGCCTGGATAGAGAGGCGGAGCCCAAAAACTCTCCAACAATCCGGGCGGCCCGGAAACCCCCAGATCTTTCCGCTCCTCCTCCTCGTCGTCGTCTTCCTCCTCTTTCCTCCTCCTCCCCGTCTCTCCCTCTCCGCTTCTCTCTCCCACCAACCCCCCGCCCCCACCCATGGCGCTCGCATCCGGCACGTCCTGCGCCCTCCCCGGCGCCGCGCGCCCCCACCTCGCCGTGTCCCCCTCTCCGCCCGCCTCCTCGATCCGTTTCTGCAGAGGCGGCTCCCGCGGAGGCAGGGCCGTCGTCTCCCTCCGCGCCTCCGTGCCTCCAGGTAGTTCGGTCAACGGTGATGATTTGTTTCTGCGCATGTAGTTAGAGAGAATAGAGGGGCTAGCTCTCTCTTTTTTTTTGTGCTTAATTTGAGTTTTGGAGACCTGAAAAATGGGGATGGATTCGTCCGTACTATGAGGAATATTGGATGGTACTAGTAGCAAATAGCAGTGGCATAGCAATAGATCGTTGATATCGATAAGGCTGTGGCCGAATTCATACGGGTCTATTCGGATTGGAGGAGTTTCACGGGAGTTTTGGAGGAACTTAAAATGTTTCTTGTGAAAATACTGTAAAATTCCAGCGTTCCAAAACACTAGGAAGGGTACTTTCCATTTAGGAATAGGTTTTTAGTATGCTTGATGCAGTGGCTTTGAGGATTACTGATTGCTTAATCGATGACATGCCTGGTAGTTAGGCATTAAAGTCCTTGTTTAATCCAGTTCTGGACATACATCCCAGCTCATGTTGCTTTTTCTCACTCGGGCACTATGTTCTGTACATGACAATTTTGTTCCCATTAATTGGTACTGGACCTAACTATGGTTTACAAATAGTTCATCCCCGTCCAAGTTAAATGTTACATATCCTTGTATAAGACATTATCATGTTTCCTGGTAGGGAACAATATTTCTGTGTGCAATTTGCATTATCAGGGGATCTTATAGAAGCAATTATTTGTACACTAATTTGATCATAGCTGCGTATAATCATGTGTTATGTACACTAATTTGATATGCCTATCCCTACATATGGTTACAAATTTAAAGATACTCGTACTTGGGTCACTCTTGTACAATTTGAAACTAGCGTGATATATTCAACATGTTGGTCAAAGTATGGCAAATTGTAACACCCTTTATTCAGGCACGCCCATCTGCCCTGTACTTATGAGCGGGTAACACTGATCAGGGTAACCTGTTAAGATTAAATGTCTACAGGCTAAATTCTGTGATTTCTTGTCAAGTATAGAAATAATTAAACAGTGGAGTAAATTTAAGATAATGTCTTCCGGAGTTAAACCATTGATTGCTTTTTGCAGCAGCAGCGGCAGCAACAACATCTGGTAGCATTGCACCTGCAATTTCATTGACTGAAAAGGCTTTGAAGCATCTGAATAAAATGAGGGCTGAACGGAATGAAGATCTCTGTTTGAGAATTGGAGTTAGGCAAGGTGGATGTTCTGGCATGTCTTACACCATGGAGTTTGAAGATCGATCCAATGCCAGCCCTGATGATTCAGTTGTAGAATATGATGGCTTTGCAATAGGTAAATTTATCCAACTGACTGTTACAATTAAGTTCACAAATCTCAAGTGTCAGCAGTCAGCTTGACATGCACTACTTTTCGACCTCTTTATAACACTCAAGTAACGTCTAATGTGAACTTGTCCATGCATGACTAAACTGATATCAATTAGCTATCTTGTTTAGTTTCAACGGCTTTGATAATAGGTCACATGAGCTTACTTTCAGAATCTATTTATGGCTCTTCATGCGCAAAGTAATCTGATTTTATTTATCGTTTGTTTTACTGGATTTCACTCAAGTGATCTTTTTTCCATTCTGCAGTCTGCGACCCGAAGAGCCTTCTTTTCATGTTTGGAATGGAGCTGGACTACAGTGACGCCCTTATCGGTGGTGGATTCGCCTTCCAGAACCCAAATGCAACAAAGACATGTGGGTGTGGCAAATCTTTCGCCACCGGAAAAGAAACAGAGAGCACAGCAACAGCCTGCAACAACTAAGCTAGAAACATATAGGTGGAAATGCCATATATATAGCTCACCCTTGGCAAAATGTTCTATGGATATACCACAGATGAATACTCGAAACTCAGAAGTGTAACGATTTTCATTACAGTTTGTGTGTATCACTGTATCCAATTGGACAAATTACTGCTCGATAGAATTCAAAGATAGTTACCATGAACTCCAGATTTTGTCTATGATGCTGCTCATGTTGTTGTTGATCAACAAATTCATTTCATGTCCTCAACATATGTCTTCAGGACCAAGCTCCAGTTGCAACTTGCAACTACTAGCATATGGTAGCAAGGGTTAATTGCCAAATCAATCTGGTCCGTTGGATTTCCATCGGACGGCACAGGCAGACGGAAATCCCGTTTCACCAGCCGTTATCCGAGCAAGCGACGCCACTACACCTCTCGACCACGTCTTCCCTCCCCCGCGGCGAAGCAATGGCGACCTCGTCGCCGCCGTGCGCTTGCGCTGCTCCTCTCCTCCGCCGCCGCCTCCTCCCCGCTCCGCCCCGCGCGCCCTCCCCCGCGGCGCCACCTCGCCTGCGCCTGCCCCTCCGCCGCTCGCCGCCCCCCGCGCGCGCCAAGTTCGGCAAGTTCGAGGCCTCCGACGCCGCCCCCACGGAGGCCTCCGCCGAGGAGGCGGAATCGGCGGCGGCGGCGGGTGATGGGGCGGCGGAACAGAAAGCGGAGGAGGACGACAGGTCAGGGTCACTCCCACCTCTTGCCGAGCTCGTGAACAATCGTCGCATCGTGATGCGTCTGTATGTGTGCTACCTTGCGTTGTGTGTATCAGCTGCTTGCCGTCGGACTTGGAGGGCGCGATATGGCAATCGGGGAAGGCGAGCGCCGATTTCGTCAACTCTGGTGGCATGCGAGCCATTGTATGTTGCTCATTGTTCATCTGCTGTTCTTACTGTCTTACACTGTTTCAGTTTAACCTTACCTGTCACAAAAGTTGTGCTGTTTTCACCTGGAAGTTGGAATGGCATGGAGTCACTTCATGTGTGTATGAGTGTATCCAAGATGTTAAATGTTCTAATTTTGTTTTGATCATGCAACCTTGTCATGTACTTATCATTGATAATTTGTATTTGGTTATACTGACTGTAGGCAGAGCTACTGATCCCTCAGTTGGAATTCCTCAACGAGGAAGGAGCACAGGCTGAGGTCTGGGCACTGTCAAGGATATTCCTGGACACACTTGTAAAAGAGACAGGCCAGGTTTGGATGCAAGGTCGTTTAGCAATAGATGCACTTTTTGCTCTTTCTTGACAGTTTACAGTTCAATGGACCTAGCTCTGATTTACCCCTGATTCGGCAGATTACTGCATGATTCTTAACGTATCACTTTGGAGATGCAGAATTTCTTGTCCATGTAGATTAAATATTTGGCCTGTTGCCCCTATACTGATTGAATTCTTGTTTACAGAAAGTTAAGGCCATTTTTCCTGATGCTGGAGCAGCGGCCCTTCTTAAGTATCAGTGGACAGATGCAGAGTTTAAGTGCGCCAGGTGGGTATTGGTTCACTTACATTAATCTATGCAGAAAAGGGAGATGGCTAATGGTTTGCATAATACTAATGTGATTTTTTTGTCATGATTTCTTGTATTCATGTTACTTCCTAGCAGTATTTACACAGAAGAACAATTATTTTTTTCGTGGTTAAAACTTATCCAGTTTGGTACAAAATCCTAGCAGCGAATACCACGTAATCACAGAAAGGATGTAGACCATTTTGTGTTACTAGGAAAAATAAAACTGTAGGTTATTTCTAGATTAGGGCATCAAATACTACTCAGAAATGAAAAATCATTAGTTTTCTACTGATATTCGAAATAAACCAATAGCACAAACATCCTTGGTTTTCATCGTGAGAATATTCCTTTTTTCCTCTCTGTATAACAGTATATCATTTCCTTTGAATGCTCCCAGTCTTAATGCATTGACTCTTAAGTATTTTTTTCCTCTGTTATATTTTCACAATTTATAGACTTTTTGCTCGTTAAGTTTAGTTGGCATTAAATTTATTCTGCTTAATTTTTGTGTAAATATAAATTCTATCTAATATTTAACTTGAATTTCAGCTTAAGTGACCGGAAACCAGTTGACGTTGAAGATGAAGTTGTTGTTATGATTATCCCTGATCATCAGATGGTGGAATCTGTTGAACGGATTGCATCTCAACTCTCTGATGATCCTGTATGTAACTTATACCTGATCAATTTCAAATATTTTCAAATAAACTTGCATAGTTCATATTAAAAATAAAATGAAATTTCAATTGACGTGCCAACAGCCAAACAAAGTTGGTAAGGCATTGCTTGTATAATTGCAGGATCTTACTGCATTTGCATAAGCAAGCTAGCATAAACCTACGTTCTTGGCCATCACGGCATCACATGAAAGTGCTGATGTAGAATTCTATGCTCAAAGACATCCAGCCTGTTCAATGCACTGAAGTTTCTTTCAATCTACTATCCTTTTAAATCTGTCTATTTTGACCATTATCTTCTTCATGCTACTATTACTGTTTGCATGCAAATCCCATTTCAGTATGATATCCTAAAATATTACCACTTTTAATTCAATGAAGATAAGACCTCTTGTCATGTGGAATCCACGCCTTGTTAGTGGAGATGTTGGAGTTGGCTTTAATGTTCGAAATCTGCGCCGGAATTTCCTAAGGTAAGTTAGTCAGATCATCTGGTCCTTGTTGGCTTTCCTAAACATGTAGGAGTACATAGCTATTCTTGCTGGCATCACAATATAAAACTTGGCCAATGGGGGAAAGACACCCTCCACGGTATTTCACTAAGGGTGTGTTTAGTTCACACAAAAATTGGAAGTTTGATTGAAATTGGAATGATGTGATGGAAAAGTTGGAAGTTTGTGTGTGTAGGAAAGTTTTGATGTGATGGAAAAGTTGAAAGTTTGAAGAAAAATTTTGGAACTAAACTCGGCCTAAGAAGAGCTCAATCGGAGCCCAGCCAAGAAAGGTCACCAAAGCTAGTCCCCCTCATACATGGGGATGCCGCCTCCTATGGTTCGGGCCTTAAGCCATGCTTTGAGGCCCAGCCCTTACACAAGGGCCTAACCAACTTGTCCCGTTTTCCAGTGCTAATATTGTTCTTTACTACAAGTTTCATTGACCTATTTCATGTTTAGTTCCTTCTGTACGTAGTGTTTCACCTATCTCTTGCTAATTTTCATTCCCAACTTTGCAGCACTTTTACCACTGTTTACTCGATGAGACCGTTGCCAACTGGTGCAGTCTTTCGACAATATCCGGGGTTTGTAGATAATTATTAACTTACTTATTTGTATATGATCAAAATATGTAAGTAGTGTAATAATGCGCTAAAGGCTTATCTGTGTTTGTTCATGTTACAGAAAGTGGAAAGTATTCTATGATGACCCAAAGAGGCCTAACCGGTATTTGCTTGCCCGAGAACTTGTAAGCCGACCTGATGCAACAGACATTGAGGTTAGGCACTGGAGTTATATATTATTTATTTATTTTTGTTACTATTAATCTGTATTTGTGTTGAGTTGAGTATATGCTCACTCCCCAAAAAATGGCTAGCCAAAGCATGAAACAGCATTTAGAAACTACTAGAAGCATCCAACAGTCAACTCATTTCTCAATCTCTAGACATCAAGGTGACTGCACACAAATTAGGCAGTCAAACTACCGGACACTCAATTCAAGCCAGAAAACCTCTGTTTTTTTTTTATAAAAATAACTATTTGTTGCTTGTCACTAGGCAAATGCTAAACCACTTTCCCATAAAGACAACATTTAAAATAAGAAGCATTGTTGCAATTTGCAGATAATATTTGGAGGCGGCGATGAACAATCTGACGAGGCACCATCATTGATGAACAATGTAATGGGCGTATTTAGTTCCGTGAGCCGGTTTATGAGAGTAATCTCCAAGTGAAAGTCTCAACCAAGCCGTTGATGAGAATCTTTTTGGCCATGATCCACATCATCAGCGATGCTGTTAATCTGCAACTCCATGGGTTACTAGCTGCTACTGTCTACTAGCAAGCGATGTCTAGTTCACGTTGCAGGACGTGTACAAGCTACCAAGATGTGTACTTGCACGATTGTATTGTAGATTCCTGCATCTATGAATGATCCTAAACAATGTTAGCTCCTATATAACATTTCTGTAGATAGTTACATATCCTTCTGTTTCTGCAAATAATGAAGATCTGAATTGTACTTTCTGAGTCACTTATTTGTCCATGTATCATATGTTCATTCATCTTTGGCTAACTCAAAAAAAAGGGAGGGGAGGAAAACACAATTACATGTTGTTTACAGTTAATCAAAACAATTCCTGTATCCTATATAGTCAAGATGATTCCCTCTTATGACACACACTAATCAACATTGTGACACAAGTATATATTGCCCCTGCATATCTACACCAAATTGTGATCAAATCCCAAAAATGTTCCAATGGATTCAAATGATGAGCATAAGTATATGTATATCTTCAGCTAATTAATTAATGTGCTTGCTCTCTGTTCGCCACAGGAGACGTCGACGCACTCGTCGTCGATCCTGATAACCCCAGCGATGGCTGCAAGAACATCTGGCTGCTCGAGCTCGCCGCCGCCGCCGCCGCCGTCGACAGCGACGAGTGGGTCAGCCCGAGCCCGAGGTGCTCCCCCCACTTGAGCCCGACCTTGCTGTCCTCTCCTCCCGACGCCGGCGGCGAGCCCTTCTTGCCGACGTACGACGTGATGGCGGCCGCCAGCGCCGTGTGGAAGCTCGGGTCCGCCGTGATCGCCTTCGCGATCGTGTCGGTGATCACGCTCGGCGGCGGCGGCGCCGCCGCCGCCGCCTTCTGCTGCATCTGGTAGAGCGGCGGCGCCGAGCCGCCACCGCCGCCGCCGCCCTGCTGCCTGCTTCCGTTGATGCTGCTCAGCGCAGCCTCGAACGACGACGAGCTCTTGCCGCCGCCGGCGTTGTACGGGTGAGCGGATAGCGACGCCCCGTAGCTCAAGTACCCCGGCCATGGCGCGCTACTCGGGCCGGAGCCGGAGAAGGTGAAGCCGGTGGAAGGGTACCTGGTGTGCGAGAACCTGTTACTGAGGGAGAAGGCGGCGTGGGAGGAGGTGGCGGCGGCGGCCGGCGAGGTGAGGTCGAGGGTGATGGTGGGGTAGGAAGGGGTGGAGGTGATGGCGGCGGCGGCGGCGGTCGGGAGGAAGAACGGGCGGCCGCCGATGAGGGGCGGCTTGGAGGAGGCGTCGAATGCGAGGGCCGGCGACGCGGCGGCGGCGGGGTAGGCGGCGAGAGAGGTGGAGGAGGAGCCGGAGATGAGCATGGAGGCGGCGGCGGAGGTGGTGGAGGCCATGGCGGTGGCGGAGACGGAGAGCGGGTGGTTGTGCGTGCCCTCGTAGGTGGTGATGAGGATGGACATGTCATCCGCGCATCGCTGCACCTGCAAAAAACGTGCATGGTGAGCACCAAACAATTTCTCAAAATTTTTCAAGAAAGTTTCACGAGTATTTGTATTGAACTTTTACAAGTAAATGTGCAACAACTCAAAATCTAAAGGCAGCTTTGATAATTGTTCCACTTTACTATTTTTCTTTTAGCGATTACATGGAAAACTCAAGTGCACTCACACACCACCATACGTGCGCACCATACTCACACTCTCACGAATGTGCTCCATTAACATATACTCAAACACATGAAGACCAATAGTAAATCCTTACCCCCACTCAATTGCTTATTGAAAACGTGTATGTAATGTTCTTTTTTGGCTAGTCCAAACTATATATTTTTTGAAGCTATAGTATAGACTATAGTAAAAGTTGTCGACTTTTGCTGCAGCATGCATCGTTGGCACCGATGTTTTTTTTATTAGCTTTTGATCAATCCTTTTATTTTAGACCGGGTAAACTTGCATTCGTTTCAATTTGGACCACCCGACTATCTCCTCAAGCATATGAACAATCTCAAATACATCGGCACTACTTGTCAATGAACTCCCATAGCTATATGTGAGACCATTTCTTTGGGATATGCCAAGTTGAATGTAAATGAATAAAACAAAATTGAGGGTGGTCCAAAGTGTCACAAAGGTAAAAGTACCTGATTTAAAGTGAAAATATTGGTTAAATGGTAACCAAAGTGAAATTTACTCATTTAAGTAATTGGTGGACAGATTGGCTTGAGATTTGTTTACATGTTCAAATTTAAACGGTTTCAGACTTTCGGGGTATCTTACTGAAGCTTGTCACTAATTTCCTTTTAAAAAAACTTATCACTAAAAAGGGTGAATAGCCAAAGTGGTCCTCCAAGTTTCATCCAAGGCTCAGTTTAGTGCTTGATGTTTCAATCTATCCATATTAGTCCTTCAAGTTTTCATTTTAGTTCAAACTTATCCTTGAACCAACAACTCTCTTCATAAATGACACTTATACCCCTCATCATTCACATATATAAGAGAAAAATTGCATGCTTGAATTTTTTATAGATAATACATAGTATATTATGTAAAACAAAAAAAAATATGTACTAACAAATGTATACGATAGCAATTGCTTAAGTTTCATGTGCACATGTTGAAATAATGGGAAGTACATCTGTAATGTTGTTTATTCATGTTGACTTTCTCTTTTATAGTATATAGATGTATACAAATTAAGGGAAAAAAAGAATATTTTCGAATAGAAATATTGACTAGAAATAGCATATGGCATATTAAGTGGACCCAAGGATGATTTCAAGCCAAAACAAATATTTGAAGGACCTATGTGGACAAAATGAAACGTGAAGGACCAAATTAAGCCTTCGCTGAAACTTGAGGGACTAAATTAGCTACTCACCCCACTAAAAAAATTGGGACTATTTGCAAGAGAGAAATTTGAAAGGCACCTATATAAGGGCCCACCAAGTTATCAAAGAAAGCCCAGTAACCTAATCTGTACGGTTGGGCCAAACCAGTTTGATTCGACCAATGAAAAACCCGGCCGCTTGCGCGCGCCGCCGCCGGGAAAGGCGGAAATGGCGGGGCGGCGGAGGGAGCGAACCCTACCTCGAGGCGCCACCGGCGGCCGGCGATCAACACCTCTCCTCCTCCACGGCATGGAGTGGTGGCGCCTCGCTGCGTCAGCCTCGCCGGAGTGCGCGGCGGCGCGTAGGCGTAGCAGTTCAGGCTTCGCCCTAACTCTGGATCCCAAATCCCCCATGCGGGCGTCTCTCCCTCCACCAATCAGGTCAGGCTCCGATCCCCCATTCGCTTGTGCTCTCCTGGTTTCTAATGTCTGGTTGCTTTTAGCCTAGTGCTCGATTACTTGATCTAGCGGATTTTTTGGACCAATTTGGTGGCTTGGATCATATTTATGGGGTGAATTCGTAATACTCAAGCGATTAATAACTTAATTAGCTCGTGTACTACCAATTGGCAAAATTCGGTGGTGGATAAACAGAGTACTCTGAAACCAATAGTTGGATTTGATTCGGAAATTGAGACCATCAGGACTCATGACTTGTTAATTGTTAGTTGGTCCATTTCTACCAATCAAATATGGTTCAAACTGAATGTAATTTGGTTCAACTACTGTGCCCAGACCTACATATGTGCTGATCTATCCCATTGGGTGTAGTCTCTTTGTTAGTTTGGGAACTTGGATTCAATCCATTCCTTTCCCGCAAGTCAATTTTTTCGGTGAGTGAATTTAAAAGGAGTTGCAATGTTGAACAGAAAGATGCGTACCACTGTAGCTTTAAAGACATATGCCAAGTTGATTTGATCATTATGGTTTGATTTATTATAGATGGTACATAATGCATTATATATACCTGCTTCCTGACTGGGCATCCTGCTGCCACGGTGCACCGGTAGTAGGCGCGCGGGCACGGGTTCCCCTTCGCAATCTTCTGCCCATACTTTCTCCACTGGCATCCATCATTCATCTGCACAACCATACAAATTTAATCACAAATTTTTCCATCATATCTCGTTTATTTTACCATTACCTTAGCATATTCTATTAGAATTTAGCAAGAGAGAACATTTTCCAACATAAATACTTATACTAGCTGTATATACAATTATTCTCGTACCGTTGGCGCATCACATCTCGCTCTCACTGAAACCCTAGCCTTCTTGACCTGTGGCTGAGGAGCTATGTCATCCTCGGCTTCCGCGCCGACGCTCCTCAAATTCTTCAGCATTTTGCTTGGTGGCCATTGCTCTGTGGTCTCTGCGGTGTCATCCCTAGCATCCTCAAAGCTGCCTTCAGGGCTCAACGTCATCACATCCGGCTGTACCTTCTCACTGTTATTAGCATCAACTCTGCAGTCTGATAATCCAAGAGAGAGACCTCCTTTGATCTTCAGAAAATCTTCAGTACTCCCTTTGACTTCGCTACTGGTGGTACTCTTGTCTTCCTTCTTGCATTTGCTCGTGCTCGTTCCAAGTCTCAGAGAGACGAGTTCAGGCTCCTCGATGTCGGTGGCCGGAGAGTCTGGGAGCTTCTTAGCTCGGCCTTGCTGAAGAACGTCATAGAAGTGCGTCTGAAGAGATCTATAGTCGTGTGAGATGCGCGACAGCAACGTCTTGAGCCTCTCGTTCTCTTCTCGTACTTCACCCATTTCTGCCCTTGTTGATTCAAGCTTATCATCCTGACCCTGAAGCCATAATAGTGCAACAAAATGTATTAGCCATATTTGAAACAATTACATATGATAATGGTCACTTGTCTTGTGAACGACATAGCTAGGTTGATAGAAAAAGACATTGGTATAACTATGATGCATGCTATGCATCCTGACCTTATTTTGAGCTTTCATGTTTAGCAATGATGAGTCCATACATGATCTTTCTATTGGGCCTGGTGAACACACCTAGAAAAATAAACTGATGGTAAGAATAGTCTAGAAGAAAAGGTAAAGTGTGTGTATGAACTTAAAGAAACTAGTTGGTTTTATGACAATTCCAATGAGTAATTTTAGGACAAGAAAATTAGACGTTAAAGTTTACACTGCTGCTTCTTAATTATGAAGTAAAAAGAGGCAGAGAAAATGGTAGAAATTGATTAATGAATTGATGGGTGGGTCAGAGTAGAGGTACCTCCTCCTTTGTGCTTGATATGTTTTGCAAGGACTTGAAAAAATTGCCATCTGAAATTTTATCGCCATCTTTTATAACCTGCAATATATCATAGAATTGAAGATACTATATATCAGTAGAGATCAAGACAATACACAAATATATTCAGGCTAGCTACAGAGAATCTATAAATTAACTTTCCTTCCAGTTCATATATATATTATCCATGATTTATCAGTGCTATCTATGTACGCATAAGAACCAGTGGTTCTCAATTTTTTTAAGAAATTGATGAACACCGCATTTCAAAAAAGGAAAAATCGATGAAACCTGATTAATTTGGACCAAAGAACTGCATCTCTGAAAAAAAAAATCCCTATTCCACGAACTAAGAACAAGAACCCTGAAGAGAAAACTCTACTAGTCCTAGTTGTACTTACCCAAATAAATGATCCAACTTTTGGAAGAAAGGTTAGAAGTTTATTTTTAGATAAAGGAAGCGTAACCTTTTCTAGAAAGATAAGAAATACATATATAGTTCAGATAGAAAAGAGATCCATACCTCGTCTTTTAACCGATCTTCATGGGTTCCAAGCTGCCTCTCTCCCTTGATCATCTCCTCTTTCATGTACATAGAAGCTAGCTGCTTTGAGTCTCCCTTGATCATCTCCTCTTTCATGTACTGAGAAGCTAGCTGCTTTGAGCAGCACAGCTACCTCTCCTCTTCTTCTCAAGTTCTTGTCTGCCTTCAGCTCCTTCTCTTCTTCCTTTTGTTCCTGCACCAGTATTATGGCTTAATTATAAAGGCAAGCCATGTCCTCTTCCGTCTCCTCTTTGGACTTTTGCATAAATTAAGTTGTAACCTTGTGCTTACCTATGTTAGGCGGTCAGCATCCTAAATGTCAAACACGGCCGCACTCTTGGGTGACTTGTGTGGAGAGGAAAAAAAAAAGAGCACAGGCGACTGAGATTTATGTGGATTTCAACGTGTGTAACATGTTGCTGTTTTGTTGAAGGGCTGATTCTAAGATGTGTGTCCAGACTGCGTACGTCTGGCCGGAATATGATCTAATAGCACGTCCACCGTTAATGTCCGTACGAAGCTTCCTGCAAGTCTTTGCCATGGCCGACTATTATAGGACCATGTGTTCAAGTAATTGATTGATTTTGAAATTTCAGCTGGACTTTAGGACGATAGCTAGGTCCTTGTATGATGATCATAGTCCCCTGATAAAGATGGAGGGGCAGCTCGAGTACTAGTATAATATTTTAGGAAAAATGCTTGCACACCATGACTGGCCAATTTAATGAACATTCACATTCTGATGACATGCTAGCTAGCTAGTTTTCAGAAAAATTGGGGAAATTTGCTAACAAATTCTGGTTCTCATGTCTGAGTTAGATCAATGACAGCTTGTCCGTATTGGTAAATTAGAGGACCACACACATCTTAATTTTATCCGAATTGATTGGTGAGAGTAGAGGACCACATGCGTCTCTCTCATAAGTAAGAATTTATCTTGAGTGCAAACTCCACTTCATTCAACGGGCTATAGTAACATGCATGCATGATACTATAAGTTCCTAGAGTAGTATCTAGACTTGATCATATATGTCGACTAGCAATATTCCAAGACTTTGAAATTGAATGCCACATCATGATCACTCCTTATTCAATCTGTATATATAGTTTGATTGATTCTTTGAAAACAAAGAATACGTATGGTGTTTTTGGACCAGGCAACTAATTGGTCTGGAAATGTGAATTGAGTATAGACAGTAGGTGCCGTTTCGAGTTGTAACCAAACAGTCTGGTGTGCTCAGACGAACCAAATATGTCAACATCGAATTTCAGCACAAATTTGGCAAGTGAGATTGCTTGGCAGAGAAGCAGACTGGCAAATCCAGCATACTTTCGATGTCGATTCAAGATTTCGTCTGGGGTTGTATATAGCAACTCATGTCCGTGAAAATGGATAATATTCAGAAACACCACTAACCAGAAATACAAAAATCTAGGACACAGGCATCTTACAGAAACGTTTCTTTTGCTCAAGAAAACTAATATTCTCTTGTTAGCTAGATCTATCATTAAGAACTGGGCTCTGCCTGCAAAGCTTGGACTATGACTAGATTATATCTCCTAGATCCAAGGTTTATCAGTGGACCACTTGTATGGTATTCTATGGAAATCAACAAATCAGCACACTAATAAAATGCATGACCATTGACCTTAATCATAACTATTTCATGGAAATTTAGAGCAGTTTATAGGTACTGTGATCCAAAGTTAGCTGTACCATTTATCTAGATTACCGAGTGGGTTCTGCTGGTGGGGGTGGTCTTCGAGATTCAGACTGCCTCTTATGATGATCTCATTGGTACCCTTTTAAAGGTATGTATAGTTCATGGAGTTGTTCTCTCTGTTGTTTTTAGATCCCAATGCGTTGAAATCTCCATTAGCCATTGCCTAATTAGTGCTGCATGCATGGTTCTCTACTTGCATCTGTAACAGAGTTTTATATTGTATAAATGTGTTCAGTATTAGTTGGCGCTGGCCTTCTCTTTCCTTTCCCCCCTCTCTATGTTTTTTTCTTTTTTTTAAAAAATAACTATGGCAAGATAAAGAGTAAATTCATTTTCTCTGTGCCTGCTCCATTTTGGAACTTCATAGTTAGCTCATATATCGCAGATAAGAGTAGATTTGTTCCACATTGTCTATATAACGGGCATTGCCACCTAGGTAACTTGTTCTTCCCAGCATCAAGTTTAGGTAATTAGGTACTGCATCAGGTGCCGTTCAAGTTTTTCTTTTGAATTGGTGTGCAGGCCGGCCTGCCTGACTTTGCACACTTGTGTTAGGTAACATGGTACAGTTTTGGCTGAGTTTGAAATCTGAAGCAGTTCAAGAATTGCTAGAAGCCTAGAACCAGGATTTTTAAAAACCAGTCCGGTTTCCAACTGAACAGTGCTAGTGTTAATTTGCCTCATCAAGTTTGATTTGTCTTCAGCCTTTTAATTAACACGTGGAATTATTCACTAATGTAGTTCATCCATTGAATGAATCTTTTGTTACAGCCTGTGTGTCATTTTCAGTTGCTTATTTTTCTAGCCCATGATCTATCTCGTCGTCACATATGTAAACTCATGATCATTTGACTTTGAAGAGAAAATAATTTGCTAACTGTCAGAATTTAGGCCCTGTTGAAATTACAAAACTAAAAGTGTCGTAAGCTGCATTTATGCATGCGTTGTTCGCCTATTTCTGATTCTGATCTGTATTCATATGATCATGCATGAATCAGAAGTCAACTCAAATTAATTTATCTAAGTTGAGAAGTAAACAAGCTGGTTAGCTTTTACAATTTGCAACATACGACCTGTAGATTTCGAGTACTGATCATATTGGTACAGTGCAGTTACCATATTCAACCCATTGCAGGTTCATCCTTCAAGTTGACTATTGCTAGTTGTTTATTTATAATTTACGTTATGTATGTATTAGTTGACTTCATCGAGTACCTATCAGTATTTTCACACTTTAAGGCTGTATATTTTTGTTAATTATACCACATGATGCAAAAGATATATGTAGTTCTGAAAGTTTAGCTGTTCTGAATAATTGACACAAGCTAAGCATGAGACTCATGCATGCAGGAAGAATTAGTACTAGCTAAAGAATTAATTCTTTTGTTCATAACTTCAGATGCAGCAATTGCAACTTCAGCTTGCAAGCTTCCTCTCTTTCTCGGAATTCACATGGTCTGAAATGGAAGCAACATTGTGTAGACAGATACGAAGTCAGATGGCTTCGGTGATAGCCATTAGAGAAACAGTCGGTTAATCTTGACATACGTAGTGACATTGGTGGCCATTATATCAGAAAATATGCACCAGGATCACGTAGTAGCTAACATAGTTTTCATGATCCCAAGAAAAAAAATGTTTGGCTTAGGTAGCCAAGAGGATTGACAAGTAGGGCACACAAAGGGTAGTTAGATCGAAGACACACGAGTACAATGAGAAGACTGAAAGTACGTGTGTCCTGTTAATTAATTTATAGTTGCAATGATCAGAAGGAACCTTCAACTTGACGCCCAGCTTATGTCATGCTTATGTGCCATTCATGCATCCATCCATCCATTTTATGCTAATTAAGGAGATTAGCTGTGCTCTTGTTGGCTGCACAACATGCAATCCCATGGTACATTTATAGTAGGATATTATTCAGAGTAGAAACTAGAAAGCAATGCTTCTTCAGAGGATAGGGCAGACTTAAGGGGTTGCATCTATGGACTACTTTGCATATATTGCCTTTCCAATTGCCCCCTTGTGAACTACAAAATTGTGAGTAAGGGATCCAATATATGTTTGATCAGATGATAAACTTTAATATTGATATCATCATGGGGGCGGCATATGGGGCCGAGCTTTTCAACGATACCGTCAAAGTGGTGCCTAATCACAGGGCAATCCACATGGACTCATTGTCATCGGGGCAAAGAACTAGGCAACCAATTGGAGATTGATTTGGTTTCTAATCCATTTTCAAACCGGTTGCTTCAAAGCAAGTGACTTCCCTCATGGCAGAGTCCTTTGATTTTGTATTCTTGTGTCAACTTTCATGGCCTATACAGTATTGGGAGTCTTCACCTAGCATGTGACAACTGTTCCCCTATTGATTGAGCTTTTCCGTTGAACTGTGCACAAGTGGTTTCCAATGGTCAAGAACTCAAGGATCAATTAGTTATATTTTGTCCTCCTTTCAGAAAAGAAAAAACAAAAGAAGCAGCCCTGTTTGTCCAGCTCAGATTCTCAATTATGGAACTATTTATGAAAGTCTGGTGCTGCATGGTCGCATCAATTAAAAAGAGAAACTTCTACTGAACTATTTGCAAGTTGCGTCGCATGCATGGTCATAGTCACTGCCATGACATAATTTGCTAGTGTGATGTTGAAAAGTGCTCATCCTAATTGTTTACCTCACAATTTTAAGCATGATTGACAAAAGGATACCTATAACAGGGACATTTTTAGCTATACGTTATATATACCCGTGCGGTGTAACAGGATGAAATATAGGGAACTTGGTTTGAAATTTTTTTTCTACAATTTTATAGGGACATTTTTAGCTTATATACCCGTGCAGTGTAACAGGATGAAATATAGGGAACATGATTTGATTTTTTTTCTCTATACCCGTATGTTGTAATAGGATAAAATATTGGGAACGTGGTTTGATATTTTTTTTTCTCACGTAATTCTCTCGTTGGTCAATTAGGGACGTGGTTCAATTTTCACTTCTCTCGTATGTTTCTCGCGGTTGGTCAGTATTTTTGGTACATTGGATTTTTGGAGTGGTTTTTCTCTACGTGGGATGGTAGTGAAATTGGAAGGACATCGGTGTTTTTTATAATAGTAGAAAAATTCCCCGTCAAAAAGCATCAAAGAAGTCTACGACAATTTCATGGGGCATTCTATCTTTGAACTGTATGAGTAATTAATCCTAAACATGAATGGGGTTTTCTGATTGGGTGTGAAAAACATTGAGAAAAATGGAGAGAAGCATCTCGCCCAAAAAATTTGAGTTCTGATTGGACAGGGGACTTTTATACAGTTTCGTCACTGTCGCATCTCTTTCTGCCATTATTTTCAATAATTATAGCGTCCTGTACGTTTGATGATTTTCCATGCTGTACTTTCTCCATTTCAAATATGTTCTTTTCCTGTTACAATTTCTTCCAAATTAGTTGCGCGTGATGGAGATGGTTCATTTGATTTTGGCTATTTTCTTTGCAAAGCCATGTGAGTTTGGTACGACTTGGAAGTCCTTGAATTTAATGTTAGAGCCTGATGCTCTGGTACCAATTGGAGACTATCCAAACGTTGTATTTGACTATATGTATTAGTACATAAGTATATCGAAACCATGTGTCTTAAATAGGTTAGATCTGGCGTCCATGACCTCTTACAACATTGACCAAATGTGCTAGCTATCTAGTGTCTAATATTTCAGTTCTTTTTTATTCTGGAATATAGAAAGTCTCACTATCAATCATCAATCAACATGTTGACCTTAACAAAATTTAGTGTGTGATTCAAGCATTTTTTAATACCTGAGGCTTACATCAAAGAGAGGAATGAATGGTCATGCTGCCTAGGTTAAATTAGGACAATGTAAGATAGGATCAAACAAGCTGGGAATCGATTCCAATCACCTAGCTGTATACATGTATCTAATTTCCAAACCTTCAAGAAGTTACAGGACGTAATATAGGATAGGAGAATAGATGAATAAACAAACTGTACCTTAGTTTGGCTGCAACTGCAAACCAATAGAGCACAACCATGTTGACAGAAAAAAAAAATGGAGAGCAATAAGTCAGTTCATTATTTAGAAACAAAACGTAGCTATGGATCTTGTCCAAGTTAATCAAGTTGCCCTTTAAATAGGATTATCTCATACAAACAGTTGATCATGGACATGAGTAAAGTAGACGAGCAAATATGACCAAAGAACACCTATCCTGTAGCTGGTAAAATAAAGGGGAATATCTAACTGCTGGTTTCTGGCTGACTAGGACATAGACACAGTTTAGAAACATATAAATTCAACGCTTTTGCGTAAACGTAACAATTGGATAAACAGGACTCCGGTAAAGTACCTTTTACTTAATTTGAAGTAGGCTCATATCATTTGGGTTGAAAGGGGTGGGTCACCCCCTACCACCCAACATGGACTCCTTTTCAGATCCAATTTGGGTTTCTGTCTCTGCTTGATTTAAATGGTACTAACTTCATACGGTATTGTTTAATGCAAATGTCAACAAATGTACAACAGATAGGTCATGAGTTCTGAAACTCGTAACTGCCTCCATCATGCTGAACATGAGATAGTTGACTGAATATGCACGTGCAATCAGATTTTCTTTTCGACCAGTTTCCTCTGAAGTCTGATGTTTTCATCAAAAAAGTTTCTCTTAAGGTTCAAGAAGTTTCAAATTCAAACAACACATAATTGCAAGAGAAGTACCATGCCCTCATCATCAGCACCATAGCTACTTCGGCCTACCAGGGAAAATTTTCCAATGGCAGCAACTGGCAGGCACCTGCCAGGATTTTAGCATATCAAACAACTATTGATAAATGCAAGTTATATCTAGATATTTGAATGTGCAATTCTCAGTTTTTCAAGTATGCAACGACATAATGCATTCAGCAATAACAAAGCAAATTGCTCGAGACTTACAAGTTGTAGATGCACAGAAAATTCAATAATATACTTTCTGCAAATGGAGTAGCATAAGAGATATCGAACTTGGGTTTAACTTAGAGATGTAATGGAATAGCATCCAAATCTGGTTTAGGATGTATCCAGTAAATTGAGGAGGAATGCAAAAGGCAACTGTAGCCACAACAATTGTATCTTAAATATGTCAAACTAGACTCAGTGTGACCCATCAAGCTAGACTCGGTGTGATCCATCAAACTAGACCTACTAGAAACATTTAACTTCTGAACATTACATTGCTCAGATTATGTCATCTCTACAAGGCGCTGGCCCAATGTCATCTCTACATTATTTCATTTTTTCCACAGTCAGGAAAGACCAATTGAAATAGCAGCCCATATGAAAATTGAATTGAGAATAACTTGAAACAGCAGCCTGTAGCAGTAGTTTGGACAACCACGTAACAATTATTATAGCTATGCAGGTCAATGCTTTCATCAAGCTTTGAATTATGCATGCCAAAAACAGGCACTTATTTATTCCCCTTTTCGTTACATCGCGTAAGACCTAAGTACAGTTTGATTCCTTGCAGTTAAATTATAAAATCAGAAAACTCATTGGCTCCTTGGTATTGACGTGGGCTATTATATATAGGGGGCAATTACAACAGGATACTAGATTTTAATTATATTAGCTTAAAACTACAGCATCAGGCATGAAACAGCTAAGATCTCATTAAACCCACTTCTTGGAAACATCTCTAGTGTTCATCAGTTTATTATGAAAACTCTGGTCATGACAATAATGCTGAGAAGTCAAATCATTTCAATGTAGTAGTCTATAACCTAAATGGGTAAATCCTTCATAGAAAAGATAAACTAAAAAATGGTCTAGTCTCATTCAGGTGAATGACGTAAAGCACAAATAGAACCAGTCAGAAGGCACAAGACAGATGAAATTAAAGCAATACATAATCACCGCTCAGTTATTTCTGAAAAGAAATAATATTTACCATACTGGTAACTGTACTTTAAACCATCAAATGGCAGAAGATAAGTGAAAAAGAGAAGCAAATAAAATATCAAAATAATTCCTGATCCATTCTTATGCTCCTGGAGTTCTTAAAAGAATATGACAAAGTTGTGGTCTCATTGTTTCCACTTTAATAACTTTAGGGAAGGGAAGTTGACCAGTTGCTTCCAATAAACTTGTTCATACTACATTTCATTCTTGTCATCTTCTCTTTGATGAAAAATTGTCACTGCTGTTTTACTAATCGACAATTAAGTGATATAACAACCAATTGAATCATTAAAATCTCAACAAAGATTAAAAATAAAAAGAGGAACATAAGCCATAACATATGTGATTGCTACATTTTGGAATTAAACCCTGTGCCTGCTGATTACTATCACTCGATTTTTAAGAAATATGAAAACTTGAAGGCCCAAGGAGATGCAGAGGAGAGAAAATTACCCAGCTGAAGTTCCAAACAACAGATTTGCCTAATTGGGTACCTTACACATCCTCCTGCAGAAACTTCTTACAGTGGTTGGTCAACTGAAACCATATTTAGCATATTTAGTTGTGCCTGACAAGAGTATAGAAATAACAGAAAATGCAAATGATGTATTGCCATTTCTGTTTTCCCCTTGTGGGTGCCGCAGGGTTAAAGCCTGCCCCAACTTCTGCCTCTCATACAATAAGCAATAAGCAAAGTGCAGCCACAAGATAAGACAACTTGTCTTGGTTAAGTCAAAGATCCTATATTCACCAGGACAAGGGACTATCTGATGTCCACCATCATTTGTTAAACTGTAAATGACACATTTTTTTATGAAAAACGATGAAACAAGCTTCATGCAAACTTCTAAGAACGAAATGAAAACCACGAAACAAAAGCAGCTGTTTGTCCCGACCACAGAAACTTTCTCAAAATAGCAGGTTACTATTCCTACACGTTTGGTCAACGTAAGGTCAGTCATCATCTTATACGAAACCAAACCTTTTCTCTTAGCCAACCCAACTGCACAAGTGAAATATAAAAAAGAGTTCAGCTAAAAGGCAGCCATGTTGGTCAACTCCTCTCGTCTTTGTCCATCACATACACAGCACCACAGAATTAACCCTCCCCCGATTCGATAACTCCACAATTTCATCAGGTTTTGATCCTAACCACTCTGGACACATCTATATGCCAGCCAAGAACAAGACTGCAACTTTACCCTGCTAACACAGCATGAATGTGAAAATCCCCAATTAGCAAGGGAAGCTACCTGGATTGCGGCCCTAATGCCAATAAAAAAACAAACAAACAAAACGATTCAGCAGGGGAAATGTTCAATTCTGCACTATTTACTGCCAATGACCAATGTTTAGAAGCTCCCGGGTATCATCACCCGATACAAGGGTAAGCCTTACCCTTCGCCCTAGCCGCCGCTACTCAGCACGGCAAGGCGGCCAAAGCGGCTAGCTCTCGCTGTCCGCCCACCGCGGCGCCGGCGCCGTGGCCTCGCCTCCCCTGGGTTTCCTCAAGAGGAAGGTGCTCGGCCATGGGCGTCGCTCCGAGGGGAAATCGATCGAGAAATTTTACCTCGTTCTGAATCGGTCGAGCAGAAACAAACAAACTCCCGATTCCGGCGTGGGCGAGGAGACTGACCTGCGAGACTGCGGCGATGGCGATGGCGGTGGCGGAGGGAGAGATGGGACGCGGCGGAGGAGGAGGGAGACGGCCGGCGACGGCGAGGTGGTCCACCATTTACGGCCGGGAGATTCCTGCGGCCCATTTAATGGCGGTTCGCTTTGCTTTCCGTGGGCTGGGCCGAATTGATAACGAGATAAGAATGAGAGCCCAACACCCAAACTTCAGCACTGTTTTGAGATGAGTTCATTGAAAACAGTAGTACGAATTTGCGACTATGTAAACAAGAATGACACCAAATTTGGAAGTGATGTACATCAGCGCACAAACAACAAGAAATATGTAAATATAAAGAAATAAAAGGAACAAAAAAGGCTAGGCAAAAGGATAGGCTAATTCTCGCGGGATGAATATGCGACTAGGACATGACCCTCTTACTGCTGCTTCTTCAGTTCTGCTGCAGCAGCGGCAGCCACTTCTGCCCAGGATTTGCTCTTATATTGTTGAAAACACTGTTGTTTCTTTCCTTCAAAATAGACTAGGCTATTAGGATGACGATCATTCCCGTTGTCACACCACCATAGGATGAAGAAGGATTGTGAAAACAACGAAGTTGGCCAACTGCAATGAGGATGATCCACCAAAGTTGAAGTGCTTCCGGACAGCAAATTATAATTAGGATGTGATCGATTGTTTCTTCTTGTTGGTCACAGAGGACGCAAACTCGGGTGAGGTAGTCCTCGCTTGCAACAAGAAAAGTACTTGCAATGCTGCACTTGGGGCTGTGCGACTAGCCCTTGAGATGAATACGGGCCCAAATATTTGCGATCACAAGCTGAAAATGATATTGGGAATCGTAAGAACGAAGCATCTGAATGATAACTGCAGATGAGAGCTATTACTGAGAAGAACTGACCTGTTATCAATAAGATCACTTCATTCTTCATAATTCAGAGACAAGCATTGGTCTTCAAGTGTGTCATTAGCTCTCTACTAGCTCAGCAAGGGACTGCGTGCTGCTTCCAGTGTTAATTCAGTGTCCAGATCACTTGCAGCCCATGCAATTGTGCTTGCTTCGGTCTTTCTGCTGACAGCACACAATGGATGGGATGTTCATTCACCTGGAGGTGCCCTACTGAAAGTGCACTTCTCCAGCGCATCGATATCGAGATCCTGGTAATTGAAAATACTCTTGTTTTGAATGCTTTTGCCCTCCTTTCAAAAAAAAAGTCCTGTTTTGAATGCTAGTTTCCCCCGCGAATATATATACATTGAAGAGGCTTATTCACTTTGTTGCATTTTCAACCCTCTGCAATGGTAACTTTTAGCACATTTTTAGCGTTATCAAAGCTTGGTAGTGTTGGATGTGTAACGTCTTTAGTTTAAAGTCTACCAAATATTAGTAAAGTGTTTGAGAGCGAAAACTTCCGAAATTACAAAAATTTGGTAGAGTACAAATGGTAAGGATATATTTCGTTTGTTACCATACTAAAATTAGTAATGCCAAAATTTAATAGGGTTGAAAGTGGCAACAAAGTGAACAAGCCTGAAATAATGAAGGGCCATGAGTGGGCAGAGCCAACAAGCACTTGAATAGTTTTACCTTTGTATTGCTGCTGGCTCTCAGAAAGCAAATCATCAGCAACAGGGTGAGGTTCAGAAACCAATCAGGCTGTGCGCCGTTGTACTCAAACTCCACACAAGCTGGAGAGTACAAAAAGGCATGGTTTTCAGGCACAACAAACAACAATAAGGTATGTGTTTTAGCAAATCGATAACACACAAAAGTGCAGCTATTATCAGGAATCAGGTTGAAACAGGCATACCGGCATGGTGAGAGAAGAGACAGTGACCTAAGCCTTGGGTACACCAGGCAGGGGGAGACAACAAGCAATACAGAACTCGAGCTGGCCACTCGCTAGATTTGATCACCATTGCTGTGATTGTAGTGTTAATCATCACGAAGGAGAGGTTAATCAGCTAGAGACAGCGGGGTCTGCATCTGCAGGCATGATCTCTGTTGATGTGATAGGCTACAAACAAGATAGAGGAATTGTGAGTATAGGAAAAAAAAAAGCTCACACAACAGAGGAGAAAAACAAGTAGCACATCCCATGCAGTACTAACCTGTTGCTGGTCGTCATCATCATCTTCACCTTGGTTGGATTGCGAGCTCTCGCCCACATTCTTCGGGGGTTCATTTGCTTCCACTGGTGTACCTGACCCTTCTTGGGTGTCCCCTAAGTCGTGCTTGGATGGGTCGTTATACAATAGCAGAACAGGACGATTGGGGTTTGCTTTCACCTCTTCTAGCAGCTGGCCAAGCCTTGCCACTTCACAGTTCCAACGGAGTGAAATCTCCTTGAGCTTCGGAAGATGCTTAATCCCAATAATCCCTGATTCCAACCTGCAGTGAGAGATTTCTATTGTTTCCATTTGGGGCGAGGTGCGCTCCTCAAATCTCATCTCTCTTAGGTCCTCTAGAAACCGAATCTCAAGCTTCCTGAGTTTTGGGAATGCTTCTGCTCGGAACAATAGCTTCACCCCAACATAAGCGCCCCACCGAAGCTGCAGGACCATGAGGTTGGGCAGTTCCCCGAGTATCTGTACTGTTTTACCTTCCTTCAGTTTGCTTCCGAATAAGTGAATCTTCACCAGGTGTGTGAACTCCCTAAGCCAGTCAATCTCCTTAATACATCCTTCCAAAGTGAGGTTCTTCAAAAAGGGAGGAGGAGAGGAAATATAATGTAGCCACTCGAGATTTCTCAATGAAGATACGTCGAAAGCATTTATGCGGAGAGATTGAAGGGACGAGAGCTTCTCAATGGCTTCACGAAGCACCTTGCATTTTCGTTGTGTGGCACCATTTATTCGCAACCTTAATTTTTTTAGCTGGCTAAGCTCCCCCAGCTCTTTCACTGCTTTGCTACTAGTTAGCCTGATATCCACATACCCTAGTTCTTGAAGCTGTTTTAAGTTTCCAATTCTCATAGGTACCCTCACACCGCATGTACTAAACCAGCGAGTAGAACAAGCCATGTGTAGCTCAGCAGTTATTTCATGACGCTGGTCTGAATCAGCCAAAGCCATCGTTACAGGAATGCACGATAAAGCAAATAAACATTGTATAGGTTTAGATGGATCAAAGAACTCGTAGTATTCTTTTCTTGTACAACGGAGGATATTGAGACTCCGGAGTTCACATATCTCAGTTGGCAGTGATGTTATGCAAGTATTTGATATGTCCAAAACTCGTAAGCCTTGTAATTTCCCTATAGACCTTGGAATTCTGTAAATTTTTGAATATCCACTGGAGTTAGGAAGATTGTAGTCACACCGAATATTCATATATTTCAAGTGGAGCACCGACCATATATGGTCCATCTCTTTTTGTGTCATTCCAAATCTAACTCCTTGAAAATCCAAGACTCTTAACATCCTTACTTGGGGTGAACATAGCAAAGGTGTTAGTTCTTTATGTCTCTCACCAAACACTGTTAATGACCGGACTTGGTTCAAGTCCATGGCTATCTCTGAGCTATTGCTATTGTAGAAGGCCACATGGTGGATGTTTTCCTCCATCAGACAAGTTTCTTTATCATCTATCCGGCACACAAATTTTTCTTCTCTAGAAATTGATATCATGATATCGCGTATGATATCGTGGACTCGACAGCTCTTGATAGTTCCTTCCATATTCACTCTTGATGGTTGCATCAAACTTCGGTTGATTAAATCATTAAAATATTTTATCGCAACATCCACAATGCTTACCCCATCTCTAGCTCTAATAAAACCTTCTGCAATCCATCTATACACTAGACGTTTCCTTTGGATCTCAAAATCCTCGGGAAAGATGCTTAGATATAGAAAGCATGGCTTAAGATGAGATGGCAAGTACTTGTAACTCAAGGCTAACACCTGCCTCATTACTTCAAAGCTTGGGTTGTTCTCAAGTTCCGATGGAATTTGTGCATATAATCCATCCCACTCTTTGACATCTTTGGCAGCTAGAAGTCCACCAATTGTGATGATAGCTAGTGGTAGACCTCCACATTTCTTTAGTATCTTTTCAAATGTTTCATTCATTCCATCTTTGTTTATGTCACATAAACTTTTGTTGGTTTTTGCCAACAACAATTTGGTAGCATCTTCTCTATGTAATGTTTGAAGGGGGTAGACTAGTGGGCTAGAACTGCCTTCGGCTAGGTCTCTATTTCTTGTTGTTACTACAAGTCGGCTACCTTCCCTATTATTTCCCCATAAAGTAGGTTTGAGGCAATCCCATGCTTTTGTGCTCCATAAGTCATCTAGAACAAGAAAATACCTTTTATTTCTGAGCCATTCCTTTAGGTGATCCGTAAGGTTGTTCTCCTTTATCTTCACCTCTTTATATTTTGTAAAGAGATTATCCAGTGACTCTTTTCCTAGGAGTTGCTTGATCATGTCCTTCAATAAATCCATGACATCGAAAGACTGTGATACAGTGATCCAAGCACGGCATGGGAACATGCTTGTGATATTTGAGCTTTCATAAACCTTCTTTGCAAGAGTAGTCTTGCCAAGACCTCCAGCTCCAACTATCCAAATTGTCTGGACTTCTACATCTTCACTGCCTGATATCATCTTCAGGATCTCCTTTTTGGGCCCATCAAATCCAACAAGCTTAGCTTCATCAACATAGTGAGCAGCTTGGTAGCGAGTCATTTCCATGTTGGTTGAAAAGTCATCCATCTCTCTAGAAGGAGCAGACTTAATAAAATTATACCGCATGTTTCGATTGCTCACTTCTTGGACCCTTAGCTTGAGGCTCCGAATCTGGACAGCAATTCGGTGGCGATGCCGGAGCTTCATCAGCTGCCGTGAGAGGCTTTGGTGCTTCACATGGATTGTAAACTCTTCAAGGCAATCTTCAATGTCATATGCTAGATCCCTCACTTGCTCTGCCCATACTTTAACCAGTTCATCTTTCTCTTTTGTAACCTCGGCGGCCCTTAGGAATGCGTGCATAGTCTTGAGCTCGTCTTTTATGTACCTGGCAGCCATGAGTTCAAAGAATATCTTATTCCAAATCAGCTGCTAATTATTGTAACCACACATGGAGTGCAGTACGAAAAATCTTATGCCAAGTGAAACTGATACTACAAAAGCTTGACGCTCGTGAAAATCTATCTATTATCAGTATTAAAGATAGGTGAAAGATTTTTAGATACGCTAAAAAATCAGATAAATGGCCATAACTTCTAGAAAAACAAATATCTACTCCCTCTGCTTCAGGTTATAAGATGTTTTGACTTTAGTCAAAGTCAAACTGCTTCAATTTTGACCAAGTTTATATAAAAAAATAGTAATATTTTTGAACCAAGATAAATTTATTATAAAAATATATTTAATCATTAATTTGATAAAAACTAATTTGGTAATATAAATATTATTATATTTGTCTATAAACTTAATCAAACTTGAAGCAGTCACTACTACAGAAATGACCATAGGTGCTGGTTCCCAACCGGTTATAGGTGTCGGTTTCCTAACCGACACCTATTGGTCGGCACTAATACTAGCAACCGGCACCTATGAAGAAAATAAAACCGGCACCTTTAGCTTTGCTCGAGCCAAAAAAAAAAAAGGACCAGCTCGGCTCAAATCAAGCCGAGCTCACTGAGCACCGTCACTGTGTCATCGCCCGAGTTGCTCCCAAATCAAATTAAAATCCCCAAATCTCCAAATCATCCACAAATCAGCACCAAAATTCCCAAATCCCCAAATCATCCACAAATTGCCATCAAAATCAATTGACATCACAGTATGAACATACTCCAATCCATAAATCTACCAAAACATCTAAAAAAATCATCCACAAATCTACCAAAACATCTAAAATAAATCTACAAGAAACGAGGGAGGAGAGCCCACTTCATGCTCCACCATCGGCTTTGTCGCCGGCGAGCCCCACTTTTGCCGCCGCCCGCCGCCTCCCCTCCCGCCAGATTCGGCGGAGGGGAGGGTGCCGCCTCCGCTGTCGCGCGCCGCTCGTCGTCGAGGTGCGCCGCCGCCGCCGCGCGCGACACAGAGAGGCGAGAAGCAAGAGAGAGGGGCGAGAGAGAACGAGAGAAGACGAGGCGATAAGGTTCTCATATAGGATAAGGCTAATGGTTGGCCTTGGTCGGCTTGGCTTGGCTCGACTCGGTAGCTTGGATAGGTGCCCCCCGCAAAAAAAAAAGCTTGGATAGGTGCCGTTTTTTTTAAAAAAAAACCGACACCTATAATTTATTATTGGTGTAGTATAGGTGTCAGGTGTCAGTTTTTCTTTAGAAAACTGGCACCTATATTATATTAAAAGGTGTCGGGTTTTCTAAAGAAAAACCGATACCTATACTATAGGTGCCGGTTCTTCTTTAGAACCGACACCTATAGTTGCTTATGGTTTTATGTGTTTTCAGCCCACGGAAAAGGGAAAAGCATTATAGGTGCCGATTTTAGTTGTTCCGGCACCTATAGTGCCGATCTTTATGAGCTTTTTTGTACTAGTGAGTTTTACTTTGACCAAAGTTAAAATATCTTATAACCTGAAATAGAGGGAGTAGCATTTAATTATAGGGAGTGTCTAGATGTCAGGTAATCTAGTGGTTCTTAATGCCCCTCCATTTTTTCCTTATAAAAGGTTAAACCATATATTTGAACATACAAAATTACAACTTTACAAGAAATAAACTAAATTACATGAAATTTTTTTTTTCAAACTTAAGATAAAAATAAAGTAAATCCATATATAAACAACAAAATTGTAGTAAAAAAAGAAGTAAAATTGCACATTGCTTACGCTTAGACTTAGGAATATTCAATTTAGGTAACTGAAATTTATAAATCTTCAGGAAGCTAAAAGCCTAAAATCTAGCAATACCCTTAATTGTATATAGTATCATTTAATTAGGCGGTAAATCTAACTGGAGAGGCCTCTCCAATTAGTCTTAACCAGAGACACCCACGTGCTAGTACTTTAGAAGTTTTGGTTGCTATTAATCCATTGAGCAAGTAGGGGAAATATTCATATCATCTATGCTTCAAATAAAATTTTCTCTTAAATTACTCATCCGATTTACAAATTACACCGTTGTGTTCGTAATAATTAAATCTTTACAACAAGATCTCACATGATTATATTTTGATGAAAAATCACAAATTACTTTTATGATATGTCTAAATTACTTTTAGATTTCACTAGGTTACTTCTTAGACATATAAAAGTAAATTCAGTAAAGCCTAAAAGTAATTTACATATATTATAGAAGTAACTTATAACAAAAAGAAAGTAACTTTAATTAATGCCTTTTTTCATTGAACAAATTATCATATTATATATATATATATATATAAAATCTAAAAGTAACTTTTAAATAAATAAATAAATATTTATTTATTTATTTATTTATTTATTTATTTATTTGTTTAAAAGTTACTTTTAGATTGGATTAAAATACTTCCTATATATTCATAATACTCTGAGGTGATTACTTTTATTATTTTTTAAGTTAATTCCATAATTTGTGTTGATTAATTTAATTTTTAGATAGAGTCATTTTTTTATCTCTACAACGGATTTACTTCAAATGGTATGCCAAAGTTACCTTCGTTTTGTTCTAAGTTACTTCTATAATATATGTAAATTACTTTTAGGCTTTACTGAATTTACTTTTATATATCTAAGAAGTAACTTAGTGAAATTTAAAAGTAATTTAGACATATCATAAAAGTAATTTGTGATTTTTCATCAAAATATAATCATGTGATATTTTGTTGTAAAGATTTAATTGTTACGAACACAACGGTATAATTGGATCGTAGATCGGATGAGTAGTTTAAGAAAAAATTGTATTAGTATAGATGGATGGTGCCTCTTATAGATGGAGTGGTAACCCGCTATCACTAGCAGTGTAGTTACGTCCTTAATTAGGTATAGTTTCATTATTATCGATCCCTTGGACTGCCTGCTTCCTAAGTTCCTATCGTATGAAGCAGGGGAATCTACTTTAGACTGATTTAGCACAATAGATGCATGGAGGCACTGCTGCACGCACTTCATATTGCCTTGCAACCTTAGATCGAGCAAATATAATGGTAGATTGGACCAAGAGAGATACATTATAACACATAGGTGAGATAAAAAAGGGATAATAGAAAAAAAAACATAGATAACGTTATAGCTAACTTATTATATATTTTAGCTCTAATATAATTAATTTGCTCTTTTTGATATGTTTGTAGCAACTAGTTAACTGACTCTACTTTATTAGCTGTGTGTTGCAAGCAGTCTATAGCAAACAATTCAGATCCACATTGATGGACGGAGGTAGTAGTAGAGATGAGTGTGTGTACCAGATGTCGTTTTGTACACCGATCAGCATGCTCATCTCCTGGCGAGCGGCGGAAGAAGCCGCCGCGATGGCACCGCCGAGCAGTGACCTCGCCATGCTCACCACCGTATCCCCCATCGCTGGATTCGTCTGGCGCCACTCGCTCACTGCGCACAAAAGAATTAGCCTGACGATCCTGACGAGTGGATCGGAGAGAGGACTAGCTAGTTCGATCTGCCAGCGCTTTCTGTGGTAAGAAATGCTTAACTAGGGCTTGCAGTGAGCAACACGAAGAAGCCGGGTGGCCTGGTGGGGAGTGATATTAGGTGGTGTTTACATCCAGGGACTTAACTTAAGTCCCTGTCTTTAGACACTAATTTAGAGTATTAAATATAGACTACTTACAAAACTAATTACATAAATAAAAGCTAATTCACGAGACAAATTTTTTAAGCCTAATTAATCTATAATTAGAGAATGTTTACTGTAGCATCACATAGGCTAATCATGGATTAATTAGGCTCATTAGATTCGTCTCGCAAATTAGTCCAAGATTATGGATGAGTTTTATTAATAGTCTACGTTTAATATTTATAATTAATTTTCAAACATCCGATGTGATAGGGACTTAAAAGTTTTAGTTCCATCTAAACAGGGCCTTATAATAGAGTTGGTGTCACTTTACACTAAAGTTTTAGTTCCATCTAATCAGCGCCTTATAATAGAGTTGGTGTCACTTTACACTTGGGGGAATATATTCGTTCGTACTGTATGTGATAGCTTTCACATGACAGGTTTACTGCTAGTGTCCCCTCCACTATAACATGTCGTGTCCGACTGCATTTGTCCATTTCTCACAAGAATATGAGTGGGCCTTAGGCCAGTAGCAGTGCCAGGCACGCTACCGTGCCTTCAGCCCAATCCAGCAAGGATTTCGGCCCTAAATTCATCTCTAGGTCACACATCCCACAGTGCTAGTGACCTCTCTCGTGACCTTCCTTCTTTTACGTGGGACCACAATGCAGGGCCCACAATGCAGCGGACCAAGAGTTCCCAGCCCAAGAAATTAATTCTCGCAACTACCCTTCTCTCGAACTCTCCACATTGCTCCCGTTCTCCTCATCCCGGTCGCGAGCTCGCCGAGAAGCACTCCGCCTCAGCCACCGGCGGCCGGCGCCGGCTCTCCTCCCTTCGCCGCCGGTGCCGGCTCTGCTTCTCCGACAGCCGCGGTTGCCGGCTCGCGCAAGTTCTGAACCCCATCGCCCACGAGATGGTGCTCAAGATCACCGGCTTCGGTGGCTGCGGCGGCGGCAGCGGGGGCCGGCGTACTCGCGTCGGCGACGGAGGGAGGAGGCGGCGCTGGCCGCCGGTGGGGTTCAGTTTCTGCTCGAGGGCGGCAGCAGCTTCAGTCCGCCGCCATGCGGAGGCAGGGAGGGGTCGGCGTGGCCTGGGGCGTGGCGGCGGCGGCGGATCTCCCGACAACTACACCTCTTGCACACGGCGGCGGCGGATCTCGGCGTGCGTGGCGGCAGAGCTCGGCGTCGACCTGACCAAGGTGGCGGCCGGGACGAGGGCGCGCTCCTCCTCAGCGTTCTTGGCGGCGGCTCAAGAACAGGCGGCGTGGTTGACGCCGCCGCCTCGCCTCGGCGTTCTGTGTTCTTGATTTTTCTTGTGTGATTTTGTGTGACTTGATTTTCTTTTGTGATTTTGTTGGTAGCTGCTCCGGCGCCGTTCCAATCGATGCCGAGGCCGCCATGGATTTGGTCCTCATGGCGGCGAGGCTGATGCCGGCGCGGGAGAAAGGACTCGGTGGTGGGAGGATGAATTGCAGGCGTGGGAAGGGATTTTTCCATGGGCGAATCTGGAATTTCTACGAGTGCTGCGTGCGCGAGGTCACGGGCGGCCAAGCACCGACGCCCACAGCGCTCGCTCCTCGCGTTTTTTTGGCGGCGCGTGGATTCGACCGAGCAAGGTTGCGCGTTGCTCTGCTTGGGGACGAGCGACCAAGTTTGGTCCCGGTTCCACACGACACGTCGGACAAAATCCTCCGTGGCGCCCCCGTAGCACCGGTCCATGGTGGAGCACTGCTAGAATAGAATCTTGTCTCTTTTTCCCCGGTCAATAAAGGAACGGCGGCTGAATTATATTAACACAAAAAGCAACGAAGGCAAGCACTTTCATCCCTAAATGAAAACAGAGCCCCGGAGCAAAGCTGAAAGTTGGGGGGCGGGAGTGGATAAGGTGTTCACTAGTAACCAAACTGCACGAACGTTCGTTAATTAGGGCTTCTGCAATTCCTCCCATCTTTGTCCATCAGACCTGATTGGGTCACAATGTCATTGCCCCCAAAATGCCAGATCCTAGCAGTTGTCTACCATATCAAGACCTCCAAATCTAGACAGCAGAGAAACATTTTACATAAAACGGCTTCCACCCACCTGCTCTAAGAAGAAATGTAACAAAGGCAAGAAATGAAAGTTCATTCGCTAACTAACTAGATCAGAGATTGCCCGTCCAAATTGTGGACCAAGTACTTTCTAACAAAGCCACCAAGAACTATCCTTTGGACAGTTGCCATCTCCCTTCAGACACCCTTTGGTCACCTCCGCCATTCATATTCAGGCCCGGATTGTGGCCTAGTGTACGCCCGTGAATCTTCAGGTTTTATAGAATTTGTAAATGTGCTCCAGCCCATAAGATGTGGTATGATATACTGCAGGTGCAAAAAGTGTAACTGGGCATTAGTTTCAAGCATGGATATGACTTCTGTATGTTATTTACGTAAATAAAAAGAAAAGCATTCATTTCTTAACAATGGTTCAAAGCATGAATATGGTTTTAAGCATATATCTCAGTATTCAGGACACATCTACTCTACATGATGTAAGAACCATATAAAAATATCTTCATGGATATATATCGTGTCATATGTTCATATGTTAATATATGTAGAATAGATAGAAGTAAACGCAAGTGAACATTGATTTATAAGAACCAATGGCAATTCATGCATTCTCTTCTCTGTTAGAACAATAAATAATATAGCAGGGTATGTTACATACATTGAAAGTCGATACAATCACAGCAAATTCTCCTTTGGTTATAGGGATGTAAATATTCTCATCGATGTTCAGGAGACGGTTTTGAACACCTGAAGGCAGCAAATTATCACCGGATCAAGTAATGAACAAAGATTCGGATGTAAAGAATTTGTAATGGTGAGATGGAGACTACATACTGAGATTGAAAAAGCGACTGTTGCCATCTGGTGTTGGCTCAACTTTTAGAACCTTCCGCACTTTACCTTCATCACTATGTTTGAAGATGGAACAACAAAAAGGATAAACAAATTATTTATCGATGCACAAAACCGAAAAAAGAATGCACAGGTAGTAAATAATGAAAGAAACTAAAATACATAGAACTTCAAGATTGGAAGATTGTGAATATGCTTGCAGTCGGAGATACTGTAATAACAATAAGATTAAATTAACTAACAACATTTTCAGTAACTGCCCACAAGAGAAACACTTGACAAATAGATAAAATAGCAGTTCAAACGAAGCAAGCCTTTTGCAACTAATAATCTTCATAAAGAAGATGCAATGCCTTTCTCTTTCCCCATTGCCATTCTACATTTCTACTTTAACATAAGATAAAGGTGAATGAAGTTGCTAAGAAACAGTGATAAACACTCAAAACTATGTTGTGTCATGCTATTTCATTAGTTCCTTTTATATTTTGACAACTAATATCATATGGCAGTCAGTGCAAAATGATATGCTGGATGAATAACTTAATGTGACACATTTTTCATGAGGCATTGGAAAACATGTGCATATTGCCCACACACTTCTCTCAATTAAATAATCAACCATGGAAGATATGTCAGGAAACAAAGGAGCTAGCAATCAGATATGTTAAGCAGTACTGACCTCCTCCCCTTGAAAGGGTCATGGAAGAACTCGCAAGAATCAGTTGGACCTAGAGTAAGCAAGCTACCCATCTCCCACACAGATAATGAGAACACCTGTATTACATTGCATAAAACAAGTTCATGTAAGCAACATCGAATGCATGTCTCCAGTCACCAGGCCTATTTTACAATTACAGAAGCATACAACCTTTGGGCTTCAGTAAAAGGATAGAGCAAGCTATACTTGATGTTAGTGTTAACATGCAAACAAGCAACTACACAATCAGCTCAAAACGGCAGCAATGGTCAACAGCTTCTACACAAGTTTACAACACTCGATAAACTTCCAGTAACATGTACTGTACTTACAATGAAAGCAAATTAACACATCAGAAGTTCAGAACCTCAGGCCCCTCCAGCTGGTAAAATCCAGCCTCTCAGAAATATCGATTTCTCTTGAATTTTTCACACTTGGCACCACAGATTAAAAAAGTTCTTAAAATGAATCAACTAGAGAGATATCCCGAATTACCTGCTTGCGAGTCCAATCATACTGACGAGTCGCCACAGCGGGCGCGAACTGTAGCAGCACGAATCCCTCCTTCACAACCTTGTAAGCCCCAGACTGCAAAGTTCGAACACGCGCACAAACGAAACACCCATTAGATTTATCAAAAAATCCACCTCGCAATCGCGCAACTCGCATGCAGCGGCGCCGCCTCTACCTACATCGAGCGGCACGAACTGCGGCGGCCTGGGGTCGAGCGACATCGCCGCCTTGCCCTTGTAGATGCTGTACGTAGAGAACACCCTCCCATTCTGCTGCCCACCTTGCGCCGCAGGAGGCGAGTACGCCGGGCCCCCGTACCCGTCGCGCGGCGGCGGAGGCGGCGGGGCACGGGGGTCGAAGTAGTCGGAGTGGCGCTGGGAGGCCACGGGGCAGACGGAAGAAACCCTCCTGCTGGACAGCGCCGGGGCTAGCGTCAGTGCAGCCGCCGGCCTGTGGCTAGGCAGGAGGTGCGGCAGCGGCGGCGGCGGCGGCGAGGGGAGCGAGAGGAAGAGCGGCGGCGACGGTGGCGGCATTTCGTCGAACAGGTTGTGGTGTGGTGGGGGAGCGGGTTTGGATTGGGGAGGAGCAGAGTAGAGTGGAGGTATCGGAGAAATGGAAAGGGATATTGCCATATCGGCTAACAGATGGGCCGGCCAGGCCCACTCTATCGTACGGACGTCAAATCGGCCCACTAGTGTAACGGATTCTGGCCCATATATGTTGGGCCTGGACGGAATTGCCACTTACTTGAGGCCCATGTGTGTTGGGCCCAAATGGGATTGGGCGGGATTATTCGATCTGGGCCGTTGAAACGAGATCCGACGGAGCCGTGAAGCCCATAAGGCCATAATCTATTTAGGGATTTAAACTCCGAACTCCGGCGAGGTCATCTTCTCCGACTCCGGCCGCCTTTCGCCGCCATCCTCCGTCTCCCAGAGGCTCGATCTGACTCCGGAGAATACGCAGAGGCGTACATTGTGCCTTTTTTGGGGGGCAAGGTTACTGTATCCTGTTTTTCTCAGCAACTTCAAGCAATCTGGAACGAGAATTGTTCATATCCTGAATTCCTGATCGCTTGAGCAGTCAGTCAACCTTTCATCTAATCCTATCTTGTTCAGTGCAAGACTAGAAGCCACAAATACACCCTTGAGAATATGCCACAAATCGTATCTGAATTATGGTATTCATCCAGTAGTCGTTAAGTTGGGCTGTTTTTTCCTTCCAAATTGTTTATGAGCATGAACTCCAATTAGAGGACATCAAGATTAAGAAAACAACTTAATATAAAACAGCAGTCAAGATTCGCGCAACGAGTGTCCGGCTGCAGGAAGGAAGGAAGCCCAGCGACCAAACCAAGGTCACCATGATAGATAGGTGATGAACCTTTCTTTGTCATCTCTCGCTGTGCCTCTGCCGACCTTCAGAAAACCAGTTTGGGACGCCTTCTGAATTTGACACCACCCAGAAAAAATGCAGGTTGCTTTCTTCTTGCTGAATAGAGTTGCATGATGATTATTTAATTTTGTTGTGGAATACACATCGTAATGAGCAATAATTAACAGTAGATACCTAGTTGCTATGCTAGCTAATCAGTGTGTTCATTACCAGATGGCTTACATCTTTATCCAGCTCAATGAGTTCTCTTTCAAGTTTGACTACATGCCAAGACATAGTACAAATTATAAAAGTTGGAGAATGTTCCCTTCCGTTGTCCTTTTTAACGGAATGGTATATATGTTGTCGTTTTCATGGCACTATAATCTATCGCCTGCCATACGAAATTTATTTCTGGAAAAAATATTTTCCTTCGGTTTTGATTTAAAAAAATGTGTGTATCAGTGTGTATCCATGTGTAACTAGTTTTTTGTCTGACAGTCTGAAAACTAATCAACAGTGAAGTATTATTGCTGGTTCTATGGGGGGCATGCATGTTTGGATGCAATACGGAAATTTCACTCGTTTTTATTAACAATTGTATTCCCCGCTGCAAAATTTCTGTAAAACCCCTGCACGATTGTGTCAAGAAAACAAATTAAGAAACCTCTGCACTACCGTCCTACACGAACACTACTCAGAAAGAGTTGTTCACAGGCCCTGAAAATGTCCGGAAGATGCTCTGAAAGTTGCTGTGAAAACAGATAGCAATTCAAGAAGTACAAATGTAGTACAGTGTTTAGACAAATGGTAAGTCAATAAGAATATGCAACTGTGCCTAGATCTTATCATGGCCTTGACAAGGATGGTATATTTTGCGATAGGGTAATCATACAAGTCCCTGTCTATTATACAGCTTGCAATTTCTGATCCTGCATGAGATGTTGCTCCTGTGGCACAATGCATGGATAAGTTAATACAGATTTGTGTTTTCTGTCAGTTAACTTTTTAGCAGCTTGCAATTCTGATCCTGAATGAGATGTTGCTCCAGTGACACAATGCATGGATAATTTAATACAGATTTGTGTTTTCTGTCAGTTACAACTTTTTAGAACACAAATAGAGGGTTTCAATATTTCAGGCGCAAGGCTAATCATTCTAGAACTGGTTATTTCAGTTTCATTTGCACTGCCCAAACAGAATTTTGCACGAAATATGGGATATTCTGTTAGTACTTATTGGTAATTTGATATGCAAATATTTATTGCTAATTTGAAATACAGGTACTTATTGCACATTTGAACTAAGCTTATAGCTTCCAAGTCCATATATAGGTTTAAATCAACATTTTATTAGCTAGCTGGCAGTGGCGGATCCACCATGGGGCTCCGGGGTCTTTGAGGCCCCACTACCAACGTTGTAACCATGGGAGCCCCATGAAGTCACCATTAAAATTTTTTGTCATACATCCATTAGAAGAGAGGCTGTAGTTTTGTATAGTTTATTTAGCCCCTCCTAGATCCGCCCCTGCTAGCTGGAGGCTCACCCAATCTTGGTCTGTTGGTCAACTGTCAAGGCATCAAGTTCATCAGCTCATCAGTTTTATTGTTCTATAGTGAAATAAATTCCTCGGCTAACTAATTCTGTATTTTTCCACATGAAACAACTGACTTGTTGCATATATATATCCAGAGAAATGGTGATTAATTAAATTTTTTTTTCTACCAAACAACGCAGAATTTCTTGGCTGTATAAGCTGTCAAAACCCTGCAAAAGACAATGCACTTAGCACCGAGAACATCGACAACCTTGTGTCATTATCAGAGGATAGATGGAAACAAGGACGAACACCAATGCTGCCATCTGTTGCTACTCAGTATTCAGTACTCACAGCTGCATATAAGCATCCACACGCACGTAGGGGCAACCTGATCACGCTTTGCTTCCAACGAAAACTACTGTAAGCTCTTACAGCTCGGTGAAAACTCTGTCATCGTGTAAAAAAAGAGAAATTCATTTGTACAGTTTGATGGCGATGGAGACGTACGGTTTGGTGAAGGATGAGCTGCTTCACGGCATCGGAGGAGGGCAGGGGCGCCTGTACTGCGAGGTTAAGCCGACAGCAGCGCCGGCGGTGATCACAGCTGCCGGTGGCGGCGCTAAGAGCGTGAAGAGAAGGAAGAGAGAGCCATCGGCGGCGGCGATGTCGGCTGTGACAGTGGCCGGCAATGGCAAAGAGGCCGGCGGTAGCAATGCGGCTAACAAGAGAAGCTCAAGGTTTAGGGGTGTGAGCAGGTACAGTAACTGAAACTCTGAAAGTAACTGAAAAAAAAAATCAGCACTTGATAGTCTCTGTGTCCTGACTGTATATGTCGTTCTTCACTATCATAAATGTTTTGATGTTTATTTGATGTTTAGATAAGTTTCACTTGATACAGCAACTGAATCTTGTCCTAAAACGTCAAATACTTTTTAACGAAGTTAGTACACCTTTTGCACTCAAAGATTATTCACTATTGTGTTACACAGATTAGCTTGTAGTAGGACAAAAAAAAACAAAAATCAGATTTGATTTGCATGCATATACTATATGTATGTTGATCTGAATATCTGTGATCATGTTTACTGTTGAGTAATATATATATTTTGCCATAAGAGCAGGCACCGTTGGACAGGCAGATTTGAGGCACACCTGTGGGACAAAGGGACATGGAACCCAACGCAGAAGAAGAAAGGGAAACAAGGTTATGATCACTGAATATACATATATATGCTTGTTGCAAACTTGACCAGAATTCTGAATATTTGGCTTGTACTACATATAAATTCATGCAGTTTATCTCGGGGCGTACAACGAGGAAGATGCGGCAGCGAGAGCTTACGATCTGGCGGCGCTCAAGTACTGGGGACCTACCACCTACACAAACTTCCCTGTATGTACAAAAATCTTATGCTCATCTGTTCAGATTTTAGCTGTACTAGTAGTGATTTTGATGATTATTCCAAATTTCCAATCAATGTGTTGTGTTATGCAAAGGGACAAAGAAAATGATCGGTGATTCTGTTGTTATTATGCCTGGATGCAACAGGTCGCTGACTATGAAAAAGAGCTGAAACTGATGCAGGGTGTATCCAAGGAGGAGTACCTAGCCTCAATAAGAAGGTGAGCATGTACCTGCACCTGGCTAACTTGTTATTGCAGGAATGCCATCCTTTTCAATTTTTTCAAAAGATCACACTAGTTTCTGAGTTGTATGTCTCTCAAAAAAATTATTAGTCCCTCCCAAAAAAAAAATATTTCCTTCAATCATAAATATTTGACGCTGAAGAACAAGATTTGGTTAACTTTTAAAAGTTTGACAATTAACGGTTTCTCGAATTATTAACTTAAAAATAAAAATAGTATGGGTAGATTTACCTTAAATATAATACTATAAACTTATTAGATTTTATAAACTTTTTAATATAAAATTGATGATCCGAGTTTTAAAATTTTGACTGAATCTTAATAGTAAAAATAAAATATTTGAATTTAGTAAAAAAAAATATTAAATATTTGTGAACTGAACGAGTAAGTTGTATCGCTGCAGTTTTTTAGTAATTCCATTGTATAATTGCCTCCGCATGTATGCAGGAAGAGCAATGGCTTCTCTCGTGGAGTTTCCAAGTACAGAGGCGTTGCACGGTAAGTGCAACTTTTTTTTTTTTGTGCTTTGGAAGATTCTGTTTAGAGGTGTTTAAGATTACGAGGATTTAGAGAACCTGAAAAATCAAATTTTTCAGAATCTTGACGAAAACTATGTTGTTTGAAAAGTTTTTAATTTTGGAGTCAGAAGCTCTATAAATACTTTATCCGTTCATAATATAAATCGTTTTTGACTGTTATAAAGTCAAATCTTTTAAAAGTTTAATCAAGCTTATAGATAAATATAACAATAATAGCACTCAATTAGTTTTATTAGATATAACATTGAATATATTTTGATATTTTTTTATTTTATGTTAAAAACATTACTATATTTTTTATGAATTCCATCAAAATTAAAAAAGCTTAATGTAGAAAAAATGAAAATAACTTGTACTCCCTCCATTTCACAATGTAAGTCATTTTAGTATTTTTCACATTTATATTGATGTTAATGAATCTAGACATATTGATGTTAATAAATCTAGACATTAATATTAATATGGATGTAGAAAAAGCTACTTAGAATAAGTTATATTGTAAAACGGAGGAAGTATTATGAAAACGGATGGAGGTGGTAAGTCATAACCGACACTTCGCATGCATCGATGAGCAGGCACCACCACAACGGCAGGTGGGAGGCCCGGATCGGCAGGGTGTTCGGCAACAAGTACCTCTACCTGGGCACCTACTCCACCCAGGAGGAGGCCGCCCGCGCCTACGACATCGCCGCCATCGAGTACCGCGGCATCAACGCCGTCACCAACTTCGATCTCAGCACCTACATCCGCTGGCTCAAGCCCCCCTCCTCCTCCTCCGCCGCCGGCACGCCCCACCACCACGGCGGTGGCATGGTCGTCGGCGCCGACCGCGTGCTCGCCCCGGCGCAGAGCTACCCGATCAGCGCCGCCGCCGACGACGACGTGGCCGGCTGCTGGCGGCCGTTGCCGTCGCCGTCGTCGTCGACGACCACGGCGCTCAGCCTGCTGCTCCGGTCGTCGATGTTCCAGGAGCTCGTGGCGCGGCAGCCCGTCGTGGAAGGCGACGACGGACAGTTGGCGGTGGTGTCGGGCGACGACGCCGACGCCGACGCCGACTCCGACGTGAAGGAGCCGCCGCCGGAGAGCGAGTACGGCGAAGTGTTCGCCAGCGACGAGGCGGCGGCGGCGGCGGCGTACGGGTGCTCCATGTACGAGCTGGACGACAGCTTCGCCCTCATCGATGACTCGGTGTGGAACTGCTTGATCTGACCGATCGAACGTGTGAAAAAAAAATAACAAGCATGCATTAATCAGCCATGAGTATAGGGCGCGCGCCATGGCTATGATGAAAACTTAAGCTTCTTCGATCGAAGTGAAGGGGAAGATCATGAAGAAAGCTAAAGTAGAGATAGTCATGGGGCCATGATGACTACATAGTGAACTGAAGTATGGAATGTAAGTTGAACAGATTTATGATGTACTCCCTCTCCTATAAAAAAACAACCTAGCATTTGATATTGACACATCCTAATACTAAGAATCTAGACAGTTTTTATGTTCAAATTTATAGTAGTAAGATGTATCAACATACTAGGTTAAGCTTTATTAGGACAGAGAGTAGAGGAGTGTGATAATGCAGAGAGTTGATGTGTGATGCAAGCGGGCTAACTCATGAGCCTGTTTATAGACAAAACTAGTGGGTGACTCGCGGGTTACCTACTAATTTAACCTATAAATAGGTTTATGAGTTGATCCACTCGCATTCTTATATACGGCGAGTCAAGCCACAACACGAAAACTCGCGGGTTACCACTTATTTGATTTATAAGTGGATTCGTGGGTTGGCCCGCTTACATCCCTAACTGTAGCCCAAAAATAAGCAGTGAGAGCTTCCGGAATTTTCGGTTGGATGGTGCAGAAACATGGGAGAGGAGATCCTTCTTGTTACGAAATATTATCTCCCAGATATATGAGATCATTTCTTGTGGATTAATTCAAACCGGAATAGAGATAAGGTTTATCTCATCTTAAGATACCACATATATAGAGGGTGTCATGGTTATAGATACCACATACCTAATAGTAGTTGACTAAATCTCGGCAGGACCCACCACATACCATGTCCTATACGGAAACTGACTTCAGATATGGAGGGAGTTCCGGATAAGGAAAGACAACCAGAGTTCTACATGGAAACGACAAGGACTACTCGGATTATATCCATATTGGTTTCCCTAGTTCTACTTGGACAAGGGGACACCTATGGTTATAAATACAAGCCCCCCTAGGAAGACAGGGGACAGACACTCACCATGAAGAGACAATCAACACCCAACGGGATCAGTGCCCAACGGGAGAATCAACATACACAGAGGATCAACACCCAACACAATCAACATAGAAGCCTACATACGCCAAGACACGCCGCTGGATATCGACTTCAGGGATAGGCATGGCTATTCCCCTACAGTATCTCCGGATACCGTCAGGAGATACGAAAGCGCTATCTCTGATCTCGTCGGGCACGGATTCGAGGAGGAAGACTACCCTGTTGTTGACTACGAGTCAGACCTTCAGACCGACATGTCGACAACAGTTAGATAGGCTACCCACATATTGTACTGGTGTGATAATGGTGAATAAGAGCAATAGAGCAATACCGGCTTCGGCCAACAGGATGTAGGGTTATTACCTGACAACTCAGGGGCCCGAACCTGTATAAAAATCCATGTCTCCATCTCTTTTACCTCAGTCTCGCGTATATCCTAGCACCGACGATCCCCATCCTGTCCAAATACCGTAGTCGTGACATCAAACGTCGACAGAGGGTAGGGTGAGACATCTAAAGTTGTTTGTACTCGAGATCAGATCTTATATCTATGTACATTGTCTATTTTCGTGATGTTCTTAAGGGCAAAGGAAAGGACACAGAATTTTTGCTTCTTCTCACGTCTCTACTGCTGCGAGAGGGATAGAAAACGGATCCGATGATCCGCTAATAGATGTGTTGGTTTACAACTCTTATCAACAAAGATAGAGCAGTCCGGAGATCACCTGGACCATCCCCTACAATCGCAGCTGAAAACAAGGGTGCAATTTAAGTGGGACGGGGAGTGCCGAGTGATAAAAATGTGTGAAATTAAATGGCAAAATAATGTGCATGGTAATAACAAAAAGGAACACAGAACAAACATATTATCAAATTATATTCAATGTTAGATTTAATAAAATTAATTTTATATTTTGATGTTGTTAAATTTTCCTATAAATTGTATTAAACTTATCAAAGTTTAACTTAAAAAAATCAAACCACTTACTATGTACTTTTTTCGTCTCAAAATAAATCAATCTCATACTGTAGCACGACACATTTTAGTATAACCAATACAAAATATACTCTTTGTTTAATACATAAACGGAAAGAGGGAGGGAGTATTGGATAGTTGGATACCGGCCCCACAACAAAGAAAAGAAGACTCGACTGACAGCCAAACAAGTTGCCGTCTTAAGGTAGTGTTTGGTTTGGGAATCAAGTGGGATGGGTTAGACATATCCCAGTTTTTTGGAATGAGATGGTTCCAGTTGTGTGTTTGGTTTATGGTATGGGATGGTTATAGTTTTTGGTTTATGGTATGGGATGGTTATAGTTTTTTTGTTTGGTAGAAGGGACCGTTAGGGCCGTCTGCTCGTGAGAATGGGGACAGAGGAGCTCGTCGGCGCGAGCGGAGGAGAGGCGGAGGTGGGTCGCGAACGAGCGGCGGCGGTCGGTCGCGGAGGCGAGGCGCAGGCGAGCGGCGGCCAGTCCCGGAGGCGAGGCTAGGCGCGGACGAGCGGCGGCGGTCGGTCGCGGACGAGGCAGCGGCCGGTCGTGGAGGCGGAGGTCGGATGCAGATGGAGGCGGCGGCGGCCAATCGCGGAGGCGGAGGTCGGACACGGACGGAGGCGGTGGCGGTCGCGGAGGCGGAGGCGGAGGTCGGACGCGGATGAGGCGGCGGCGGTCGCGGAGGTGGAGGGAGCAGGTAGAGGAGGACGGAGCGGCGCCGGGGGAGGAAGCAGGCGGAGGAGGGACTGTCGGCGGTCGTGGACGAGCGGCGGCTGGTCCCGGAGCTGAGGCGAGGCGTGAATGAGCGGCGGCGGTTGGTCGCAGACGAGGCGGCGGCCGGTCGCGGAGGCGAAGGTTGCGGATGTGGCGGCGGCGGTCGCGCGGAGGTGGAGGGAGCAGGCGGAGGAGGACGGAGCGGCGCCGGGGGAGGGAGCAGCCGGAGGAGGGACGGGCGGCCGTGGCGGAGCCGAGTGGGAGGCTGCGGCCGGGAGCTGACGTCGTTCTCTCAGTCGAAGTGGGATGGATTGGTCCGGCCGATTTTGGCGGACCGTTTCATCCCGGATAATATTCCTCTATAGGGACTATCCCATCCCACTTACCTCTCAACCAAACATCCCTAAAAGTGGGTTCATCTCATCCCATCCCATCCTTGTAACCAAACACTACCTAAGTGTCCAATTCAAGGCCAGTACTAGTCTCCATTCCGCACAGTTTGCACTGATCAATGATGGCGGGACCGCGACACTGTTGAGTTTGGACACGCCACCACCTGCCGCCGGAAGTTGTCCGCGAACGCGTCCATGAGCGCGCGCCCGAGCACCACCGACACCTGCACGCCGCCGTCCGCCGCGCCGCCGAGCATCGCCACCAGCTCGTTGCCGTACACGGTGACCAGCTCGACGCGGCTCGGCGCGCCCCACCCGAAGTCCGTCTCGTACGCCATGAACCGGTGCGACGACCCCGCCGCCGTGAGCCTCCCCCTGGGGATCGCGGCAAGACGCTCGGCCCAGCGCTCCGCGCCGCCCACCGGGTCCTCCAGCTCCAGCTCGTCCCGGATCGCCGCCTGGATCGCCGCGGCGGCGCGCGCGAGCCCGGCTAGTCCGTCGTCGTCGAGCAGCTCGCCGGCGCTGGCCCTGGCGATTGCTATGGCGATGCAGTTGCCGAAGTAGCCCTCGTCGGCCGGCGGGCGCAGCCGGCGCCGGCAGTCCGCGCTCACCATGAAGTAGACGTCGTCGGCGGCCGCGTCCAGGGCGCCGCACTTGGCGCGCACGATGGACGTCCACGCCAGGGAGGAGATGGTCACGTAGGTGGACAGCCGGTTGTGCAGCAGCTCGCCGCCGGTTTCGCTCTCCGATATGCGCTGCTTCAGCGACTGGATCTCGCCGGCGCTGAGCAAGAAGGTTCTCCTCCTCTGCTGCGCCATGTCAGCCGGCTTCGAGCGTGGCGTCACCTGAACCATTGGAATATTACCTGAACAAATAAGCCTCAAAAGATGATCTGTTTTGAATTTTTAATTACCATTGGAAGCGCGGGTGACATCTTGTGCAAGATCGTGTGGGCGAGCTCATGGCTATCGGCCGTTGGATGCCGAATCCTCGAGCGGTCAAACGTCGGCGGCACGAGACCCTGGCCGGCCGGAGAGCCTCCCCGCGCCGCCGCGGCCCACGCCTTGATGAACTGCCACACCGACTGCCCGTCGGCGACCCCATGGTGAATGGCCACACCAACGGCCACCGCGCCGCCGCCGCCGCCGGCGTGGTCATCTCTAGGCCTAGTGACCTGCACGGCAAGAAGAGGCGCCGGGAGCATGCTCACCTCGAGCTCCGGCACGAGCTGCAAGAACGCCTCGGTGTGGTGCTCGTCGTCGCTGGCGAGGCGGCGCATGTCGTCGACGCTGCCGGAGTACTCGGCCTCGACGAACTTGACGCCGGGGGAGACGGCATCCGGAGAGTAGTCGATGACGACGTCGCCGGGCTCGGGGAGGTAGGCCAGCTTCCCGGCGAGGGGCAGGAAGATGGCGAGCACGGCGGCGAGGGAGGACTGCAGAGAGCGGTCAACGGATTCGAAAGGCGGGAGGCTGCCGCCGTCGTAGAAGAAGAGCCGCTGGATCGCTGCCTTGGAGACCTGGAGGTTGTCCAAGAAGGAGAGCTCAACGACGTGCGGCGGCGGCGGCGGCCATGCGCCTCCGGCGGCCACCTCGTCGGGGAGGACATGGGAGACGGCGAGGACTCGCACTAGGGAGCTCATGCTGCTGCTGTCTGCCACGCGAGGACGAACCGAGACTCCGAGAGCTAACAAAGCAGAGTACGTTACGACAAGTGTGTGCGCAAATCCATGTTAGATTTGTACTCTTAAGGGAAACACTTTTAATCGCTTATGAGAAATTCCACCAATTTACCATTACATGTCAACTAAATGGGTATAAAAAAATTTATAAAATTTTATAAGATAGTTTCGTATGTAATATTTCACGTCACAAATATGATCATAAAAACAATAAATCAAACTCTAATTAGTATAATTAGTATATGTATATATTTATAGTTAAATTTATTATTTTTTTACAGCTTCATCGTGTTGATGACGACGTGATACAAACCAATACAAGGGCAAATCAGATAACTAACATGCAGAATGGGTTCGTTCAATGGATGCATCCGCAGTGACAGCAGTGTAGCACTTCATTCCCTCACTGCTACTGCTTATTACCGGAGGTGGATTCTCAGCTGTAATCTCTCTTTTTTTATGCATGTCGCCCAAAAATATTATCATTTTTTTAAAAAATAAGATGTATCAGCGTGTTATACATCAGTACATAAACATACAAATTTAAATTCAATGTATACAACTAGAAACAAAAAACAACAAATTTCACTGCAAATAGTACATATTGTAACATTCAAAAAAAAATATTTGTATAGATTGCATTTAAATTTGCATGTTTGTTAAATGATATACATTAATCTATCACATTATTTTTTAAAAAATATGACTATTTCAGTGACATAAAAAATAAAAAGATATCTTCGAAAACTCTTTTAATTAATCAATACGTCTACCTATATTGCATATGAACTAAATAGTTATAATTTTTTTAAGGTTAGTTTTCCCTCCATCCTAAAATATAACCAATGTTAGCTATAAATTTGAATATACATTTATCTAAATTCGTTAAATGATATTTTGTTTTGAGACAAACATGTACTACCGCCGTCCCAAAAAGGTTTTATTATTGTACTGTTTATCTGCAAGTTTGACCATTCATCTTATTTTTAAAAAAATATTACGACTAGTATTTTTGTTTTTATTAATGATAAAACATAAATAGTACTAAATTTTTTTATTTTTTTATAAATTTTTTAAATAAGACGGACTGTCAAACGTTGGATACGGAAATCCATAACTGCATTGAAAATGAGACGGATTCAGAAAGAAATAGCAAACTAATAGTCTTATAGTCCACTCTCTCATAGTCTTCACGCTAATAGTGGGGGCTCGAGACCTCGCCGCCCTATGCTGGATCCGCCCCTAACGGAGGTAATATATATCTATACTTATTTAAACGATATTAGTAGTGACGAGTGAATCTGCCACGCCACCCCATCATTCCTTTTATAGTTTTTACAAATTAACCATTTATGGAATAGTCCAATATTTATTTCAAACAAGTGAATATCATATATTTAAATAAGAAAACAAGTAATACTAACATATTTGATAAAAATATATATTTTATATTTAATATTATATATATATATATATATATATATATATATATATATATATATATTTGCCAATTACAAACAAAATTTGAGGTGAAGAATTCTACGGAACTCTTGATTGAGTAGTAATTTATATCATGCGTGCTATAAAAGTTAGTCGATAAAACAAGTAATACTAACATATTTGATAAAAATATATATTTTATCTTTAATATTATTATATATATATATATAGGACACTCATATGGGGCACCATGGTGCCCGGGCACCATGGTATCTAATGCACAAAATCACTCAAATTTTTCAAAATTTTCAAATTGTGAGTATATACCTAGTTATAATAATTTGATTCATACCTATACTTATCAACAAAACAACTCAAATTTAACTTTATTTCACAATCCATGATTACATACCTAACTAATTATATGTATGGATGCTATATACCTAGAATCAAAATCTAACAAAAACAAGTTCAAATTCAGTTCAAACTTGCTTTAAACTAGTTAGTAAAGTAGTTAATGTTAATACCTAAGTAATTGAAAAAGTTTCATACTCATTTGAATTAGGTATATACTCAATTTCAACAATGGTGCCCCGGCACCATGGAGCACCAAACAAATTTACTATATGAAACTTTTTCAATTACTTAGGTATTAACATTAACTACTTTATATATATATATATATATATATATTTAACCATAGTAAAGCATGTGTGGATGTTTTGCTAGCGTATACACGGAGATGCTATTCTACGACAGAGTGTAGCCACAACGCTCTAGGGTTTATATTACCGGTTGATCACTAAATTTCGAGCCTCATCGGTATTACGGTTTTCAATAAATTTTAGCTGAATTTCGATAAATCTGCTGTTTAACCTTCAAAATTTCAATCAAAACTTAATTCCAAGCCATATCGAAACATCAAAATTTCACAAAATTCGATCGGCTTTGGTTGGAATTGTGAACCATGGCGCAGACCCTTCCACGCATGCCGTTCCCGTGGGGCTAGACATATTCGCTGCTCCCCAGTCCCCACGCACGTTCAGCCCCATCCCCGGCTCCCCGCGCCTGGCAGGCTGGCAGGCGCTAGCAGAAATAAATTTGCTAACGCGGGACCGCGATGGTCCCACAGGTTCAAAATGCGGGAGGGAGGCAGTCAGCGATTTTCAACGTTGTGTAGCACTGTATAACACTGTAGCATTGTTTTCGATAGTGTTTGATACTGTTCACGCAACGATCCCACAGGTTCAATGTGCGGGACTGGCCCATGAACAGGTCGAAACAGTGCCAAAACAATGGCAAACAGTCCCAAAACAATGTCAAACAGTGTCGACTTAGTAAATAAATCGCTGGCTATCCTGCTCCCGCGCTTTAAAACCGCAGAACCATCCGCTTTTTTAGCTCCAGCGGTACAAGTATATTTCTGCAAGCCTGTCTCATATAGGTATATAAACATAAATTATTGTAAAAATAAGTATGTTTGTATTTTTTTTCCCAGCACTAGCATGGCCTCTCTGTTGTACTCGCTCAGTCCTAAAAAAATCAATCTAAATGTGAATAGTCAATTTATATAATAGTGCTTACTATACTATTAATACCAAGTTCCACCTGTCATAGACACATTACGTCTTGGCGTCCGTGCTGCAGCTGGCTACAGATATGTAGCCCGCTGCTCTTCTCTCTCCTCTTTTATCTCTTTAAAATATGTTTATAACTGACTTATAGTCTGCTATTGTACCTGCTCTAACAAATCTGAAATCCACCTGTCCGAATTTGTTATACTCCCTTCGTCCCTAAATATTTGTCGCAGTTGACTTTTTTAAATATGTTTGATCGTTCGTCTTATTCAAAAACTTTTGTGAACTACATGTATACATAAAAGCGTATTTAACAATCAATAAAATGATAGGAAAAGAATTAATAATTACTTAAATTTTTTGAATAAGACGAATAGTCAAATATGTTTTAAAAAATCAACGGCATCAAATATTTAGGTACGAAGAGAGTAATATTTCTAGTGACGAACTGACGGTAGGGTAATACCTGCCGGGTTATTGTTTGGCTTATGCTTATGCATATTTGTAACGCTTATTATCAATCAAACAATAATTTATAGATAAGTAAAACTTTTATGTGTGTATTCTTAGTGATTAAAATAAATACGATGAAAAAAATAAAAAAAATACCTTTAAAATTAAATCTTAAAATTTATATCTTGACTTAAGTATAACCATAAGCATAAGCAAAATGCCAAATCATTCAGGAGATCTCAGAACTCAAGCAAGGCGGGCCCAACTCAATTCAGGGTATTCAGATGAATACCCAAGATTTTTAGACAAAAAATACATATATGAGGTATATATTTCGTATGTATACAGAGAAATAAAGAAAATAAAAAATAAACGCTATTGATCAAAAAAGCATAACAAGGAAGCCTAGCAGGCTGGCTCCCTCATCCCACCTCTCTCATCTTCTCATTATGTAGGCCCAATAGCAAAAGAAGGCCCAAAATCAACCCTGGACCACCACTGGTCGCTGTTGGTGGTTCCAACTTCCAAGTCGCAACATGTTCCTCCGTCTTGCTCATCAATGCGGCGCCGCGCCACCATCGCGCACGCGCAGATGCGGAGTAGCCCGTGGCGTGCCGACACCTGTCGAGGCCTCGCCCTCAACCGGTCGCGGACGCTCTTCCCTCGCTCGGTCAGCCCCCTCTCTCTCTCTCTCTCTCTCGTCATCTCCCCCGCCCCACGCCATCGGCACCGCTGGTCGCGCTGCCACGGCCGCTCCCGCACGACACGCGGCGCGCCTCTTACTACCCCTACCAAATCGCCTCGCCGAACAATCCCGATTCGATTCACTAGGTAACCCGTTTAATCTACATTTCCCCAATGTGTTGAATGTGAATATCTGACCCCAATTTGTTTTTGTTTTTGCCTGCTCAACTCAAGTAGTCTAGACAAGACATAGGAGATGCCGAATTTGAACTCAATTTGTTGTCTAATTCTGTAAAGAACTACTTTATAAAATTAGACAATAAAATAGGTTCAAATTCGAAGCCAATTTACATGGTTGCTTAATTTTATGTATTAACCGTGCTGTGTGTCATGATGCTAATCAATATATACTTGGTTAGTAGATTATACTGTATATGTTTTGTGATATGTTTTTTCACAAAGTATATCACAATAAATCAACAAAATTGTTAAAAACCTTGTCGCAAGTTCTAATTCAATAAGTAGCACTAAAATGCCATATTATTGATCATATGTACCAAATAACGTGCTTGTGTTTTTTTTTTCCGTTTTCATTCGAATGCTCGATCTCAAAATCCTAACCCCACCACTGAAATTTCTCGGCCTCAGGTCGACGCCACCAGCTGCCGCCGGAAGTTGGTGGCGAACGCATCCATGAGCGCGCGGCGGAGCACCACTGACACCTGCACGCCGCCGTCCGCCGCGCCCAGCATCATCACCACCTCCTCGCCGTACACGGTGGCCAGCTCGGCGCGGCTCGGCGCGCCCCACCCGAAGTCCGTCTCGTACGCCATGTACCGGTGCGACGACCCCGACCTCGTGAACGACCTCACCGGCGGGGTCGTCGCCGTGGCGCCGTCGAGCCAGCGCTCCGAGTTGCCGAACGGGACCTCCAGACCCTCCCGGATCGCCCTCTGGATCGCCGCGGCGGCGCGCGCGAGACCGGCTAGTCCGTCGTCGGAGCCGGCCGACAGGTCGCCGGAGATGGCCTTGGCGACGCATGTGGTGACGCAGTTGCCGAAGTAGCCCTTGTCGGCCGGCGGGCGCAGCCGGCGCCGGCAGTCCGCGCTCACCATGAAGTAGACCTTGTCGGCGGCGTCCAGGGACTTGGCGCGCACGATGGACGTCCACGCCAGGGAGGAGATGGCCACGTAGGTGGACAGCCGGTTGCGCAGCTGCTCGCGGCCGGCGTCGCTCTCCGATATGCGCTGCTTCAGAGATTCGATCTCGCCGGCGTTGAGCAAGAAGGTTCTCCTTCTCTGCTGCGACATGTCGACCCCCATCGGGAGTGGAGTCACCTGAATATTGAAATTGCAATATGGAATTTCTGATTAATCTTATATATATTTTACTAGTAAAAATTGTCTGTGAGTTACAGCTGGTAAAAACAATTTTCACGATTAATAAAAACTCTATTAAGTTAAACGATAAATCAAAACAAGACAAACAAAACAATAGCAAAATAAAGTTAGAAATTAAATATAGCATTGAATCCGGTTGCACTCACTTCATGCGTCATCACACAAAAAATCACTTATGTATACTTTTCCATAGTCTCACAAATCTATCGGTGACTATTCCATAAACTGAGACATGTGCATTTTTCTGTACCATATAAATCAAATATTGAAATTTTGATTATTCAATTAGTAATTTTTTTTACTATAGATGGAAAACATTTGAAAACTAACAAACTTATCGCATGCACATTTTAAACAATGATAAATTTAAGAGGAAAATATTTATGATGGGAGAAAAATGAGGAAAAAGAGAAAAGAGGGAGAAAATAGAGGATATTGGAAGGATATGGAGAGAATTAGGATTATCAGGGAAAAAAAAGGAAAAAAAAGGCATCAACTGTGCGAGCGGCGCCGATGGGGCCGGTTTGGTTGGACTAGGAGGGGGGGGGGTTGGGGCTTGATTTGGACTTTGGAGTGTATAATAGTTGTTCTAGACTCATGCCGAATCGGATAAGGGGACATATAACCAACTCAAATACATATGACCCAAACCAACTCAAATATGGATGACGTATCAAAATTCCAGCGGAAATATTTTTAATTTTTTAATAGTAGAGATAGAGATCTTGTTAAGGCTGTGTTCTTCCCCCCATTTTCCCAACCCACCTCTCTCGTTTTCCGCGTGCACACTTTTCAAACTGCTAAACGGTGTGATTTATACGAAAACTTCCTATATGAAAGTTGTTTAAAAAAAATCATATTAATCTATTTTTTTTTAAAAAAGTTAATACTTAATTAATCATGCAATAAAACGAACTTCATTTGTGTGCCAGGGAGGAGGGGTTTCCAACCCCCTCCTCCGAACACAACCTAAGTGTAGTTGATGTTAATATTTATCTTTTCTCGTTAAACCATATCAATTAAAATTGGTTTTAATCATGTCATATTTTTTCTTCAAAGTCCACTTTACTACCTCAAAAACTATTTAGGATAGGTAGTCCAAATTTCTAGACACTTAATTTGAAGAGAATTGTTCAGTCTAGCTAAAAGTATCTCGAGGTACCGGTATCTCACGGTACCAAATTGTTTTCGATCGTTGAATATAACAGGACATCCAACGATCGGAAACGATCTGATCCCGTGAGGTGCCGATACCTTAATATTCTTCTTTCGTAGACCGGAACAAATCTTTAATTTGATAACAGACCGGAACAAATACGCCTTGATGAACTGCCACACCGACTGCCCGTCGGCAACCCCGTGGTGAATGGCCACACCAACGGCCACCGCGCCGCCGGCGCCGCCGCCGCCGACGTTGTCATCTCTAGGCCTAGTGACCTGCACGGCGAGAAGCGGGGCCGGGAGCATGCTCACCTCGAGCTCCGGCACGAGCTGCAAGAACGCCTCAATCTGGTGCTCGTCGTCGCCGGCGAGGCGGCGCATGTCGTCGACGCTGCCGGAGTACTCGGCCTCGACGAACCTGACGCCGGGGGAGACGGCGTCCGGGGAGTAGTCGATGACGACGTCGCCGGACTCCGGGAGGTAGGCCAGCTTCCCGGAGAGGGGCAGGAAGACGGGGAGCGCGGCGGCGAGGGAGGACTGCAGGGCACCGACGATAGACTGGAATGGCGGGAGGTCGTCGCCCTCGTAGAAGAAGAGCCGCTGGATCGCTCCGCGGGCAACTTGGAAGCTGTCCAAGAAAGAGAGCTCGACGGTGTTCGGCGGCGGCCATGCGGCTCCGACGGCCGCCTCGTCAGGGTGGACATGGGAGACGGCGAGGACTCGCACTAGGGTGCTCATCCTGATGCTGCGACGCGAGGAAGAATCGAGAGCCAGCTGACGATCAAAGCAGTTGAGAGTAAGTACTCCCTCCGTCTCTAAATTTTACTACCTCTGTTTCTAAAATAAGTGCAGCCATGAGTTTTCGCGTCCAACTTTGATCGTCCGTCTTATTTGAAATTTTTTTATAATTAGCATTTTTGTTGTTATGAGATGATAAAATATGAATAGTACTTTACTCGTGGCTTATGTTTTCAATTTTTTTAAAAAAATTTTCAAATAAGACGAACGGTTAAAGTTGGGCGCGAAAAACAATGACTGCACTTATTTTGAAACGGAGGAAGTACGTACTTTTTAACAGACCATTCGTCCTATTAAATTTATTTTTAATATTATTAAAAACTTGAGTAGTTTTTTTTTTGAAAATTCACCGGGGAGAGCTTTCCCACTTAAATATATTAAACAATAAATCTAGTGATAAGAAAAGAATTAATAATTATTTAAATTTTTGAAATAAAACAAATGGTCAAAAACGGGGTTAAATATTTAGTACGGAGGAAGTATGTTACAGCAAGTGTACGTTCCAGCAAGTAGGAGTAATTAATAAGGGTGTGTCCAAAACTCTAAATTATTATTTAATAATTCCATATGATCGAGATTAGGACCATTAGGCTAGAGTGGTTGATGCCACGATCATGCTACAAACCAATAGTACCTACCTGTATACTAGATGGGTTAATTTAGTAGGAGTAGTACTATGGGAAACTATTATTTTTTGACCAACTCCCCGGGCGGGGAGGGGGGGGGGGGGGTCGTTTCCCCACCTGTTATTGATTTATAAAAGGAGTACAAAGCATTATACATCAAAATAATTATAGAAAAACTAAAAGAATAAATTAATATGTGATAGATTACCCACAACCATGGAAAAACAAATTTACCTTGCCAACGAGACATATCTGAATACGAACATAACTAGCTTTTTAATCTTTTTTTATTGCAATTAGCATAAGTATGTTTGTGAAGTAATATATCACACATTAGTCCTTCATTTTGAAATCTCCCATAATTATTTGGACGACAAATCCATTCCCTATACGGTGTAAAAATCTCTGCTTAGAAAATTTTAGGAGATTTCAAAACCGGGGGCTAAATTAAAGTTGATTCTTCCATTTCTGTCAGACTGTCACGTCCCCTGCTGCTGTTTGAAACCAGCTGGTCTCGAAGGCATCCATGTGCGCCTCGTCGAGCGACACGGACACCTGCACGCCGCCGCCCGCCGCGCCGAGCAGCATCACCAGCTCGCGCGCGAACGGCGACACGAGCTCGACGCGGCTCGGCGCGCCCCACCCGAGGTCCGTCTCGTACGCCATGAACCGGTGCGACGACCCCACCGCCGTCAGCCTCGCCGCCGGGAGGCTCAGGTGGAACTGGAGCCACCCCTCGATGTCGCCGCCGAGCGGGTCCTCCAGCTGCTCGCGGATCGCCGCCCCGATCGCCGCCGCGGCGCGCGCGAGCCCCTCGTCGTCGCCGCCGTTGTCGCCGCCGCCGCGGCGGAGGGCGCCCACGTTGGCGCGCGCGTAGCACGCCGCGACGCAATTGCCGAAGTACCCCGGGTCGATCGGTGGGCGGAGGCGGCGGCGGCAGTCGGCGGTGACCATGAGGTAGGCCTCGTCGGCGGCGTCGTGCGGCTTGGCGCGGACGACCGAGGTCCAGACCAGCGACGCGATGGCGACGTAGGCTGTTACTGGAGACGCCGTCTCGCGCGGTGGCTCGCCGGCGGCGATGCGTCGCGAGATGCGACGCTTCAGCGATCTGATTTGGTCGGCGCGGAGAAGGAAGGTCCTCGTCCGCTGGCCCTTGATGACGTCAGCCGCCACACGGGATAGCTTCACCTGTACTTCACTTACTGAGTGAGTGATATTGAAGTACTACTACTGCTGTTATAGATTTAATTACATCAAATTCAATTGGAATTTATTTACTTTATGAATCATAGTTTAAATAGAAAAAAAAGTTAGGAGCTACCTATTAATCTTTCGACAGAACTATAGTTTAGAATCTTACAAATTTTTTAACTAATAAATATAGCCCGATTTGAATGAAATAAAACAAAAGGACAAAAATGTCAAAAAAATCGTAAATCTTATAAAATCTTATTTTAGTATACTGTAAAGGAGTGTAAGTGCACTATAACCGAATGTAACAGCAAGTTTTATATGTAAGAATATAAATCTTGATGTAAGATTCTACAAACGAAAAAGTGAAAAATACGAGTCCAAGAAAGTAAGTAAGATAGCAAATCCGAAAAGTTTAGATGAAGAACTTTGAATCTATATATTTACGGACTTACCTCAGGTAGAGTCGGAGAACTCAATTGAAGGAACTTGCTGGCGAGCTCTTCACTTCTGGGATGGCGAATCAACGCCCGGTCAAACGTCGGCGGCAGGAGGCCCGGCGCCGCCGGCGAGCCCACCATCGCCGCCGCCGACCACGCCTTCATGAACTGCCACAGCGACTGGCCGTCAGCCACCGCGTGGTGCACGGACACCCCGACCGCCACGACGCCTACCGCGTCGTCGCCGTCGTCGTTCCGGAACGCCGGCCTGGTCACCTGCACGGCGAGCACCGGGGCCGGAAGTTGCTCCACCTCAAGCTCCGGCACGAGCTCCATGAACGCCTCCACGTTGTGCTCGACGTCGCCGGCGAGGCGACGCATGGCGTCGAAGGCGCTGATCTCGTCGGATGAACCGTACTCGGCCTCGACGAACTTGACGCCCGGGGGGACGGCGGCGGCGGAGTAATCCAGCACAACGTCGCCGAGCGCCGCGCGGAACGTCAGCTTGCCGGCGAGGGGGAGGAAGGCGGCGAGGGCGGCGGCGAGGGATGACCGGAGGGAGCCGACGAGCGACGGGAACGGCGGGAGCGCGGCGCCCTCGTAGAAGAAGAGACGCTGGATCGGCATCATGGAGACGAACATGACGTCGTAGAAGGAGAGCCTGACGACGTCGTCGCCGCTTTCGCCGGCCGCCGGCGGCATCTCTCCGGCGGTTTGCTCTGGCTGGACATGGGTGACGCTGACAACTCTCACTGATCTTGAGCTCATGGTGAAAGTAGGCGTAATTACCGCGCATGGTTAATGATCACAAGAACTGAAGTAATTTATAAAGCCGTGACAAAATGCAAAATCTTCGTGCCTAGATCCTTCGGAGATTGGATGTGGAATTTGTAGCGAGAAGAATTGCAAAACAACATGCTAGTTTGTATTTTTGTTGACTGCCATGACGATTGCCATTTTTACTTGGAGCGGGAAGCAGTTGGTTTTATCAATCCAACGGGTCGGCACGTGCCACGTCATCTCGGTCGTGTTTGAGCCAAACGAACGCGCAGTAAATGGGCCGTTGGGAAAGCCCAATAATCTGAGCTTTTACTTAGCAGCTAATCTCAGCCTATCAGCATCTGGGCTCTCGCCTAATAAGATATCATAATAATCCTCATTCCTGTCATTAATTAGTACAATGCGTTTACAGTTTTAACATTTTGATATGATGCTAGAGTGAAGTGCGGCCTTTACTGGTAGAGTGGTAGACACTACAAACAATCTAATCCTAATCTAAATACATACACGTATCTAGGTTTATGTTAAGATTAGATTTTTTAAAGAAAAAGACGGAAAGAGAGAGCAACTACTATCCGGTTGTCCATATGCGTAAGTTACGGGGTAAAATTCACTGCTTGTCAGTACTCACGGGGTAATTTCACAGACTTTAACAAGTGCACTATACAGTCCAGTCCGGCAGGAAAATATATACCAACAGAAAAGGAAAAAACAGCGGCAAGCTGACAGTAACTCTGGTTTACTCCAGGTTAATATTAGCTCACAAGCATTTTATCGAACACATTGTATGTGCACGCAACAATGAGCCCGTTGGATTGAATGTTGAAACCATGCACTACAAGTTGTAATTATATATGGATCGATTAATGCGATGTTGTGCGATTAAGTTGGGTAACGATAACATACATATTACAGTCTTCTAGGGGAGTTGATGTTAGCTGTGTTTAAGAAGTGATGCTTTGGCGGCTTGGGCTGAGGTCCAAAGCAGGCGACGGTATTGCTTTGTTTGTTTTGGCAACGATATTGTGATAGCTATGAAGTCGGAGCTGTTGTGTCGCTAGACGACAAGCTCATCAACAATAACACTTGTCTCATGAAGTTAGAGCTTCTCTGTCGCCTTACAACAATCTATTTATCGACGGATGCTTTGGGCTCCGTCATTGTCCTTTTTAAGGATTTTGTTAGCTTAGGTTTGCTAGAGTTATTGTAGTCATGGTTTTCGCTCAGTTTTTCCTAATTAACTGTGCATTGTAAGGTTCGATCTTGCTTTCTTTTTAAAAATGGCACATCTTCTTTTTTATATAAACCGTCACAACGTCGGCTGCTTAAAAAAAAGATTAATGCGATGCTCTTCTCAAACTTCTAAACAATATGACTTTTATAATATATACACACACACATATCAATTTCTTAAGAAAATCTTCAACTTCATATACAATTAATTCGTTTGTACACTCGAATAGTGATAACAAGTTAAATCAATGAGAAAAAAAAAAGCATAGTCAACATTGTCGACGTAGTAGTAGAACTAGAAACCATCAGTTGACCGTTGAACAAACAAATTCCACCTCGCCTGCAGCGGATCCGCCACCATCGGATCGGCCACCAGCACATGCACATCCTCTCCGGCCGTCGTCGTCGCCGCTGCCGCCGCCGCCGTCAGCTCGCGCCGGCACATGGGGCAGGTCCCTAGCTTCACCCGAGCCCAAGACTCGAGGCACCGCGAGTGGAAGCGGTGCGCGCACGGCGTCTCCACCCACGCCTCCGTCGTCGTCTTCTCCCCACCGCCGCCGCCGCCGTCCAAGCAAATCGGGCAGTTGCTGCCGTCGTCCGGCGCCTCCACCGTCTTCATCCCGATCAACGCCTCGCCGCCACCGCCGCTGCCGCCGCCGATGTAGTCGTCGACGTCCATCTCCTCCGTACCATCGTCCTTCAACTGGTTCACCGACTCGCTCGACGTCGCCATGTCGTTGTGGTGATCTTGACGCGGTAGCTCGTGATTATCTTCTCCCCGATCCATGGCAAGCGAAGACGACGACGACGAGGAGGAAGACATTGGTATATACTGATGCTGTTAAGACTGTAGCTTAGCTAGATTGATGGCGAGTCGGATTTGGTGTCCGAATTCTGCAGGAAGTAGCTGTCGAACGCCTCCATGTGGGCACGGTCGAGCGCGACGGAGACCTGCACACCGCCGCCGGCGGCCGGCGGCGCCGCCACGAGCGCTACCACGTCCATGCGGTACACGGACACGAGCTCGACGCGGCGCGGCGCGCCCCACCCGAAGTCCGTCTCGTACGCCATGAACCGGTGCGACGCGCTGGCCTGCGCGATCCTCTCCTTGGGCACCTTCCTCTCGAGCTCGCTCCACCGCTCGACGTCGTCGGCGAGCGGGTCGTCGCACTCCAGGCTCCCGCGGATCGCGCTCTGGAACGCGGCGGCGGCGTGCACCAGGCCGTTGCCGCCGCGGAGGTCCCCGACGGCGGCGCTCGCGTAGCATGGTTTCACGCAGTTGCCGAAGTAGCCGTCGCCGACCGGCGGCCTCAGGCGGCGGCGCAAGTCGCCGGGAATCATGAAGTAGACGTCACCGTCGCCGGCGCCGCCCCCGCCGGTGCTCGTGAACTTGGCGCGAACGAGCGACGTCCAGTAGAGAGACAGGACAGCAACGTGGGTGGTTGGCGCCGCCATTAACATTAGCTGCTCCTTCGTCTTGGCGAGCATCCGCTGCTTCAGCGATTGGATTTGGTGAGGCCGGAGCAGGTAGGTCTTCCTCCATTGACGCGTCACGTCTGGCTCTGGAAATAATGAGCAATCCTACACTTTCGCTTCAATTAATTAGTACATCTCTCTCTGATTAAACTAATTAATATGCTCCGATTCTTCTGCGATGAGTGATTAATTAGTTTTAATTAATTAATTGATTGATTGATTACCACTAATGGCAGCGCCGGCGCGAACACGCGGAGGAACACGCGGGCGATCTCTTCATCGTTGGGATGGCGGAGCACCGGTTTCCGGTCAAACACCACCGGAATTGTGGCCGCCGCCGCCGCCGCCGGCGATCCCTCCCGCGACGCCGTGGACCACGCCCTCATAAACTGCCACACGGCCTGGCCGTCGCCGACCACGTGGTGGATGGACACGCCCACGGCAACGACGCCACCGCTGCCGCCGGCGGCGGCGGCGGCTGGCCTCGTGACCTGCACGGACAGCAGAGGGGCGGGAAGCCGCCCCACGTCCATCTCCGGCACGAGCCGCTTGAAGGCCTCCGTGTGGTGCTCCTCGTCGCCGGCGAGGCGGCGCATGTCGACGACGGCGTCGTCGTCGTCGTGGTACTCGGCCTCGATGAACACGACGCCGGGGGAGACGGCGGCGACGGAGCAGTCGATGACGACGTCGTCGTGGGAGGGGCGGTAGGCGAGCTTGCCGGCGAGGGGCGCGAAGACGGCGAGGGTGGCGGCGAGGGAGGACTGGAGGGAGCTGACCATGGCCGGGAACGACGGCTCTGCTGCCTCGTAGAAGAAGAGGCGTTTGAGCGGCGTGAGGGCGAAGAACATGGTGTCGAGGAAGGAGAGCTCGATGACGTCGACGTCGCCGCCGCCGGCGTGCGGTGGCGCTGCCGCTGATGCGCCGCCGGGGAGGACGTGAGTTACGTTGACAACTCGCACTGATTGGGAGGTCATCCTGCAACCGCTTCTGATTGATTGCACTGGCTGGTGATCAAGCGTGTTGCTATATGCTGCTCAAAGCGACAAGTCAAATTATTTTTGTTTTCTTCAGAGCAAACGAGCAGTCAAATTCTCACCAAACCTTTTCGGACAATACGCAAGATGATTGGTTAAATTAATTGGAAATTATATTCACGCATCTTAGCTTTCGCTGAAGAGGAGAGTGTAAGCAAAATATATTCTCACTCGATTAGGAAGGCTGCCGAATCCCCTTTCTCCTGCTAACAACAGTCAGAGCAAGTATGTAGCAACACTGGTCCAACAGTGGTAGATTTCACTGGCAACCACATCTTTACTGTAGCACGCTGGTTTATACCGTTGGATGAAGATCTAACGCATCAAAAATGAGTATATAGCCGTGATAAAGGTAGATTTGCTATCTTTTTTTTAAGCGATAGATAATAGTACGAGCTATGATGTACTCCTAGTATAGCGCGACGTCGCAGTTTTTTAGCTAACTTCACTGTACTACACTACTACTACGTGTGACGCAGACAACCAAACAACATATTCTGTTTTTTTTTCTTGTCCTACCTTTTCAGCCCGGATGCCCAGTCCAATCTGAAATGGACCCAACACCGGGATCATCAGCTCCATGCGGCCCAAACTAGCTGGGCTCAGCCCATAAGTGGAGAACGCGTGGCCCATGAGAAAGCCGCGCGTGAAACCGGTGTGCGCCGCATGCCGTCTCCTTCTATGTACGCCTCGCCGCCGCCGTCGGCGTCCAAGCATATCCGGCAGTCGTTGCCATCGCCCAGTGCCTCCACCGTCTTCATCATCGGCCCAATGCTGCCGCTCGGCGCTTCGCCGCCGCCTCCGCCGACGACGGTCGTCGTCGGCTGACTGAACGACTGATCCTATGCGAAACGGTAGTAACGGCCTAGTCTAGCAACTCGCTGATCGCCGCCATGTCGCGGAGGTAAGCTTCGTCTTCGTCTCGAGGAGGCTGCACTCCACGTCGTCGTAGGGGTTTCTCGGCCCGAAGTCATCTTCGTCTTCCATGGCAAACGACGCCGCCGCCATGATCGATCAAATGATACAAAAATGCCCAGTCCGTGTCCGTGCAGGACGCGTTCGCCGCTGTTTGAGTCGGATTCGGAGCATGGATGAATGGTTCCTTTTTCTTTTTTCTTTTTCTTTTCATTTTGCTTGTGAGAATTACACAGGTTTTACACATATACAACTTTGTCAAGATTTTCATAGCTGGCAGCCTGGCACCAGGTTATATAAATAAAGGCATGGTTAGCTAGCTTTCTCTTGTCCTCTTCCATATCGTTATCAATATGCATGTCTAGTTAATTAGCATGGCATGCCGACGTGGCAGTTGAGCGTGCCGGCGAACTTGGTGAGCTGGCCGACGTACTTGCCGTGCTTGGCAGGGATGAAGTCGAGCTGGTCGTAGCTGCGCTCGTTCTGGCCGCCGGACTCGTTAAAGAAGGCGCCGTTCATCATCACGTCGCCCTGCGACTTCCACACCCACTCCTTGTACTCGTCGTACGGCGTGTACTCCCTCTTGGTCACCTCCTTGGCGTTCAAGTCGTCGGGCGCGATGAACCTGTTCCCCTGGCTGATGATCGTCGGGTTCATGTTGCCACCGATGGCGTACATGAGCCAGTGCGTGTAGTCGTTGTTGACGACGTGGAAGAATCCGAACCTATTCACAGAGGTAGGGTTTACGTGCGTGCATTCATAGGAGTGAGTATGCGTGCGTTGTACTGTGTAATTCTTTAAAATAAAAAGAAGAATCCGAACCTGCAGCGCGGCACAAGGCCCTTGCCGAAGTGGTTGAACGCCACGGTGATCTGCATCACCTCGTCCTGGGCGTCGCTGTTGCTGGCGCCGAAGAGCATGACGTGGTCGTGCTTGGTGAAGTGGCCGTTGGAGATGGTGATGGCGGTGGAGCCGCTGACGGCGTCGATGAGGCCGTCGGAGCAGTTGGACATGGAGACGTGGTCGATCCAGATGTTGGAGGAGGACATGATGGAGATGCCGTCGCCGTCGCTGCGCGTGCGGAGGCCGTAGTGGCGCTTGGAGTCGCGGATCATGCCGCCGCCGTGCGGCACCGAGTGGTGGATGTGGACGTTGTGGATGATCACATGCTGGACGCCCTGGAGCGTGATCTGGGCGCCGGTGATGTGCACCTGCGCGCCACGGCCGTCGATGGTCTTGTTGTGGTTCACGATCAGCTCCTGCCGGAGCTGGATGATCATGTCGCGCGCGAACACGATCCACATCGGCCGGTCCTGGATCACGCCGTACCGGAGCGTCCCTTTCCTCGGGATGACCATCTCGTCGTCGCTGGCGTCGGTCACCACGTAGATCTTGCCAGCGGCGCCGCCGACGGTCCTGTGGCCGAACCCACGGACGCACCGCGCCAGCCGCTTCCGGTCGGTGGCCCAGTCGTCGCGGCAGCGCCAGCAGCGGTCGATGGGGTTGGTCGCCATGCACGGGCCGGTGTACCTGGCCAGCGAGCGGCGCGTGGTGGCGCGGAGCACGTCGGCGTTGAAGCGGTTCAGGGTGGCGACGGGGTCGCTCACGTAGGCGGCGCGGTTGAACGAGCGGGCCTCCTCGGCGCGCTTCTCCCAGTACTCCTCGTCGGCGGTGGCGTTGTGCGCCTCCTCTCCCAGTACGCCTCCTCGCCGAAGCCGCGGTGACCACGGCGACGACGGTGAGGAGGTAGAAGAGAATGCAGAGGCGGCGGGTCCCCGTGACGGAGGCGGCCTCTCTTTCGCTCTTGCATTGCAGTCTCTCTTTCACTCTTGGATTGCAGTCTCTCTTCCACTCTTGCATTGCAGTCTCTCTTTCACTCCTTGTCCATTCAGTTCCATCGATCCCATGGCCTCCTTTGAGCATGTAGTTACCGAGCTGTTCCAGATCCTTCTGGTACAGCTAGGTCTTTTTCTTCTTGGCACAGGGGTCATGCCGCTGCAGCAGAGCTAGGTAGGAGGCCAGCAGAGCCAGTGTGTGGCTCAGCTTTCTGTTTTTTTCAAAAAGTAGCTTATCTTGAACATTTTTTGTTCTTGCAATGTTCACCTCTGGAATTTTCATTTGCTTTGTCCGTTTCCGGGTTAAAGCTGGAGAGCAGTCGGCCCTCCCTTTGATTCGGAGGTTAATTATTCATTTATTAATGTTCGTAGCCGTTGCTATGTCATTAACTTCAACTATTTTTGCTGCTTTTATTTACTATTACTTGATTGAAATCAAATTATATGTTTTTGCTTGTTTGGGTGTGGGAATTAAGGTTTTTGTGTATGTTTCATATACGATCTATGGAGCATGCTGTGTTTTTGTATAAAAAAATGACTAAGTAGAAAAAATGATAGGGGGCATTTGCCTCCGCGCGGTGTGGAATTGATCTATTCACCATGTTTGCTCTAATATTCCAAGGGGAGAGCGTCCTAGCGCCTGCACGCACAGTGGCTATTCCAAGGGGAGAGCGTCCTGGCGCCTGCACGCACAGTGGCTAGTGGTGACGCGCGTGCAAGTTATTTTTGTTATTATTCTTTTTGGTACGGAGAGCCGACAGGTAGTGGAGTGGTCGAAACACGACAATAATACAAAATGAGAAGTTTCATTCATTCGTTCTATATACTTCATTCATACACCAAGTTATTATACAAACTTCATTCATACGCCACAGGTCATTCTTACACCGAAGTATCAAATACAGACACAACTCCTCTAATCCTTTAATCTAAATAGACTACACTGTTAAATAAATAATAATATACAAAAATACATCATGCTCCACGGACGACATATGAAATATACACAGAAACCTTAATTCCTACACCCAAATAAATGAAAACAGATACTTTGATTTCAATCAAGTAATAGTAGATAAAATCAGAAATAACAGTTGAAGCTAATGACATAGCAACTACTACAAACATTAGCACACGACGAGTCAACCTCAGAAGCAGCACCAAAAAGTGTTCAAGATACGCTACCTTTTGAAAAACAGAAAATTGAGCCACACATTGGCTCTGCTGCCCTCCTACCGAGGTTTGCTGCAGCGGCACGACCCTCGTGCCAAGAAGAAAATGACCGAACTGTATCAGAACAATCTGTAATAGCTCGCCAACTACATGTTCGAAGGTGGCCATAGGATCATTGGAACTCCGGTGGATGGCAAGAAACACGCTAAGATAAATAGAAATCTGCAATGCAAGAGTGAAATAGAGAGATTGGCTTGTGACTTACTAGACTGGCTTGCGACTTGTGTGACTTGTGAGGCAGCGTTTAAATTGCTAAATAGCTGCTGTGGCAGGTATTGAGGAGGAGAAAGAGATGTGATGTGTAACAAACTGCTGGCTTGCTTATGATGGCTTCTCAAGCAAGTAAGTCAGAAAGAGAAGATCTCAAGCAGAGAAAAACCACGAAACAAAAACAAAAAATAACAAAACTCAAAAGATTAAGAATTCTGCTTTAAAGAGGAGGTGATTATGCATAGGCTAAATTATTGAGATCATGTAAATTAGGTTCAAACTGCTAAAGTTTAGCATACTTAATCTCATTTATTTCGTGTTGATAAAGTTTATTAGCTTGGATTAGGTTTTTCTAAAGTTATACTGTTCTTGCATGTTTTAGTTTAAAGCTTTAAATTTTACTACTTAATTACTTGCTGAGCAGTAGAAGAACTGAAGTAAAAAACTTGATTAGCAGTAGAAGGAGTAAAAAGATGGGCAGTAGGAAGTAAAGAATAGAGAATAAACTAGATTGTAACTACCCACAATTAAGAAAAGGGTTGAACCAGACTGAAACTCTCCTAATTTTTATTTAAAAGGATAAGCTAGATCGAAATAAATTCACGAATTAAAGAGTATAATTTTTATTTAAAAGGGATAAGCTAGATCGAAATTCACGAACTAGAGAGGATGGGATAAACTAGATGGTAAGGATGGATGAATTTTAGCAAAGTAAAATGAGTGGGGGCCAAGCAGAGCACGGAAGTTAAAAAAGATAAGGGCATTTCCCCGGTTTAGAATTGACTAGGGACCAAGGCCCTACTAGATATCTAGTTATGTAATGTTGTAGCTTGTGGCTTACTACGGTGTAAACCTCTTAATCTGTTCTATACACGACGGTCCCTACCACCATGATTACAACCCCGCTGAGTATATGGCTAAGTTCTAGTATTATACCTTTTATAAATACAACAAAAATACATTCAACCTATTTTTTTTAACTTTATATAAACTCGTATACCTTTTGTGTTATTATCATTGTGTACTCTATGACCTTCTGATCTATCACATATTTTTCTAATATCATTGAAGTCCCACAAATTGTAATAATAGTTCGTTAGTAAAGCCGATATTCTTTGCTTCTTCTTCGGCTACCATCAACTTTTGTGTTACTTATAATGCAACATAAAATTAAATTTTTGTCCCCATATTTTTCTCATTTTGTCCAAACTTAGCGTCATTTCTAAGATGTAAAATAACGAATTTCAAGAAAAAAATCTCACGAAGTCGAGATTGGATAAGATTTTTTGCACAACATCTTATTTATATGCGTGGTTTTTTGTATGGATTTAGATGACTTTTTGATGGAGTTTACACATAACAAGTAGGGGGGGGGGTTCACCATATATTTACCGTTGTTGTTGTGAAGAAATTGATCTGATATCACAAAATTTAGTTCAATTTGAACAAATATTACCAAAATTCATGAAAAAATTGAAAAAATGAAAAATTTCGGCGAAGTAATATCGTATCGGAGAGGACCGAAATGACCAAAATTTTGGTCCAAAATTTCGAACCCTGTTCTCTAAGGCTTATGCAATTTTGCAAATGATTGCATTACTGCCGAACCATATTATATATATGAAATATAATTCATACATATAAATATCCATGCGATCGTCATGGAAAATTCCTCTCCTCTCTGCATCTGCATCATCATGATGATGTCCTTGGCACGCACACGGTGAGTAGCAAGCATATGCATGCCTAGCATTTCTTGCCGACACGGCATGGCAGCGTGCCGGCGAACCTGGTCATCCGGCCGACGTAGCGGCCGTTCCTGGCCTGGATGAGGTCGAGCCGGTTGTACCGGCGCTCGTTCCGGCCGCCGGACTCGTTGAAGAAGGCGCCGTTGAGGAAGAGGTCGTCCTGCGACTTCCACACCCACTCCTTGTACTCGTCGTAGCTCGTGTACTCCCTCTTGGTCACCTCCTTGAGCTTCATGTCGTCGCTTGCCCTGAACCTGTTCCCCTGGCTGATGATCGTCGGGTTCATGTTGCCGCCGATGGCGTACATGAGCCAGTGCGTGTAGTCGTTGTTCACCATGTGGAAGAATCCAAACCTGCACCTCGGCATCCTCTGCACGAGCCCCTTGCCAAAGTGGTTGAATGCCAGCGTTACCTGCATGATCTTGTCCTTCGGCGAGTCGTCGCGTGCACCGAACAGCATCACCTGCAACACGAGACATATCAATCGATCGAGTCCATTAACGAGAGATTGGTGAAAGGTGGAAGAAGATGGATGGAGAAGGGGTGTGTACGTGATCGTGCTTGGTGAAGTGGGAGTTGGAGATGGTGATGGCGGTGGAGCCGTCGGTGATGTCGATGAGGCCGTCGGAGCAGTTGGACATGGAGACGTGGTCGATCCAGATGTTGCTGGAGCCCATGACGGAGATGCCGTCGCCGTCGCTCTCGCCGCGGATGCCGAAGTGGTGCATGGAGTCGCGGATGAGGCCGCCGGAGCGCGGCACGGAGTTGTGGATGTGGAGGTTGTGGATGATGACGTTGCTCACCGCCTGCACCGTGATCTGCGCGCCGGTGACGTGCACCTGCGCGCCGCGGCCGTCGATGGTCTTGTCGCTGGTGACGATGAGCTCCTTGGCGAGCCTGATCACCATGCTCCGCGCGAAGACGATCCACAGCGGCCGCTCCTGGATCACGGCGTGCCGGAGCGTGCCCCGCCGAGGGATGACGAGGTGCTCGTCGCCGGCGTCCGTCACGATGTAGATCTTGCCGGCGAGCCCGCCGGTGGCCTTGTGGCCGAACCCCATGGCGCACTTGGCCAGCCGCTTGCGACGGCTCGCCCAGTTCTTGCGGCAGCGCCAGCACAGGTCGATCGGGTTCGTCACCGTGCACGGGCCACGACGCCGGTACCTCCTCATCAGCGACCGCCGCGCCGCCGCCGCCGTCGCCGTCGTGGTATTCAGCACGTCCTCGTTGAACCTGTTCAGCACGGCGACGGGGTCGCTGACGTAGGCGGCGCGGTTGAACGAGCGCGCCACCTCGGAGCGCTTGGCCCAGTACTCCTCGTCGGCGGTGATGTTGCCCACAAGCGTCGCCGTCGCCGTCGCCGCGGCGGCCGTGGCGAGGACGTAGAAGAGGATGGAGCACAGTGGGCTCCTCGTCACGACGGAGCCCGCCATGCCTGCTGGTTCAGAACGATCGATGGGTGTATGGAGCGCCGCCCCGGCCGGCCGCCGCACCGCGGGAAAGAGGACTCAGGAAATGTGTGGCGGCTTTCGCCTAGGGTTTCTGAGACCTCTTCCCGCGTGAAGCCGGCGGCGGCAGCATCAGCGAGCGGGCCGGGCGGCGGAGAGAGGTGAGCCGGCCGCCGAGGCGCGCGTGCGTGCGGCGGGGGTTTCTATATAGCGTGTCGCCGTCGCGTGTCGCGGCGTGATGACCGCTCGTCGGCTTGGTGGTGGTGAGCGTTCCGTTCGTCTGTTGCATTGCATGCCAACACCAACACATGATCATCGTGCGTCGGCTGTTGGTAAGGAAATGATGTGATTATTTGCAGCCAGCATTGATCTTTGCCATTGATGGAGGGATAAGAATTATATATATGGAAGGGTATTAATCGGGCATATCTTGTTAGTATTCATTCCTATGTGGGCAAACACAGTCGATATAAGAAACTTTTTTTTATCTCAAATTACAAACTTTAACTATGAAAATTGTTCATTGTGAAAATGTTTGTTATTCTCGGTTAAAAACAGTAGCATTTTACGCGGTCTCCAATACTTTACTTTGACCATTAATTAATACATTATTATCAACTACGAATTTAACATTATATAAAAATATTTTAAAATACAAATCTAATTATACTACATGCATTAACATAAAATGTATAAAAATCTTCGTATATTTTATACATATTTGTATGCATTTAGGACGTAAAAAATATGCACACAGACTTTATATTTATATTTATACAGTTTGTATGTATATTTTAAAATAATAGACAATCGCACGCGGTACACAACTAGTCGTTAATTAGCAATTTCATGACAATCCTGGACGGAGGTAGTATTTCGGAATTCCTAGTATTTCTCAGCGTAGTAGTATTATGGGCCGAAATGTTTCATACGAAACCATTTTTGTTTGGGCTGATAGGTGCCCCTTCATTTTCTCCAGGCCCATTAAGCCCATAGGTCATCGTATCAGTGGGGCCCATCTTACAGTTGCACAGCGTGTTCCTCTCTAGTCTATGTGGACCTTTTGCGCCAAACCCCAACCAGAACCCTAGCTCCCGCCGCCGCCGCCGCCGCGCTGTTCCGGGATGGCCGGCGCCGCCGCGCTCCGGCGATCCGCGCGCCGTGTCGTCCTGCCAGGCGCCTACGCCTTGTCCCGGGCGCTACAGCACCCTGAGCGCCTCCTCTCCTCCCAGGCTTCGCCGGACCGCGGCGGGGTGCTGGGTTCGGAGCTTGGGCTGTATCCCCCGGAGAGGGTCAGGAACTTCTCCATCATCGCGCACGTCGACCACGGCAAGTCCACGCTCGCCGACCGGTTGCTGGAGCTCACCGGCACCATCAAGAAGGGCCATGGCCAACCTCAGTACCTCGACAAGTTACAGGTGTGAGAACAAACTTGCCGTTTTGAAAAAAATGGGGACGCGTTGAGTGAGAAATTGGTAGCTTTGATTTGTGGTCCGTATTCCATAAGCTTATTGGATAAATGCACATACCGGAATTAATCAATTGGAAGTTACTCCAGAATTTAGTTGAGTTGAACTTCGTTATGTTTGGTGACCGGTAGTAATAGCAAAGATAATCCTTGTACTCACTGTGTTGACTTTTGAGCATACTGGATCTTAAGTGACTATTTCCTTAATTGGCATCTCATTTCATTTGAGATGATGACAGCACTAGCATAACAGATAGTGTTCATTTTCAGTGGATATTTTCTTACTGAAATTGAAAAGAAATATTTATACTGTGTGCATTTGTCATAACATTTGTATGATTGTATCTGTTCTCTACAGGTAGAGAGAGAGAGGGGAATCACAGTCAAAGCACAAACAGCAACTATGTTCTACAGACATGCTAACAACCAACTTCCTGCATCTGATCAGCCAGATGCTCCAAGCTATTTGCTTAACTTGATTGATACTCCTGGGCATGTGGATTTCAGCTACGAAGTATCCAGGTCGCTTGCAGCTTGTCAGGGTGCTCTTTTAGTAGTTGATGCAGCCCAAGGTGTCCAAGCACAAACAATTGCAAACTTCTACCTTGCATTTGAGTCGAATCTAAGCATCATTCCTGTTATTAATAAGATTGATCAGCCTACCGCTGATCCAGATAATGTAAAGGCTCAACTGAAGAGGTTATTTGACATTGATCCAAGTGAAGCTCTGCTAACTTCAGCTAAAACTGGTCAGGGCCTTAGCCAGGTCTTGCCTGCTGTTATTGAGCGGATTCCTTCCCCACCTGGAAAATGTGATTCACCTGTACGCATGCTTCTCTTAGATTCATACTATGATGAGTATAAAGGGGTGATATGCCATGTTGCTGTTGTGGATGGTGCTCTCCACAAAGGAGATAAGATTGCATCTGCCGCAACTGGTCGCACATATGAAGTCCTTGATGTGGGCATTATGCATCCAGAGCTTACTCCTACCGGTGTGCTTTACACTGGACAAGTTGGATATGTCATAAGCGGAATGCGTTCAACTAAAGAAGCACGAATTGGTGATACTCTTCATCAAGCAAAGAGTATTGTCGAACCACTTCCTGGTATGGCATCTCCTACCCTCCTGAAATAGTTTTGTCATTCTATTAGTTTTAACTAGTCTGATTCAGCCTGATAAAACACTGCAGTTGGTACATAAAAAAAGTCTAATGCTTTGTTGCTTTAGTTTTTTTTTTATGTTGTCACTATATAGAGAATATCCTTTCAGGTTTCAAGCCTGCTAGACACATGGTCTTCTCTGGTCTATACCCAGCTGATGGCTCTGACTTTGACGCTCTTAGCCATGCAATTGAAAAACTAACATGTAACGATGCGAGTGTGTCTGTTACAAAAGAGACAAGCACTGCACTTGGCATGGGCTTCAGGTATCAACTTTTTTGCATGTGAAGTATAAATATTAAAAAAAATTCCATTGTTTTATGCTATCATGTGGAGAAACATACTGTAATTCTTCTACAGATGTGGCTTTCTAGGATTACTACACATGGATGTATTTCATCAGCGGCTAGAACAAGTATACATCTTACTGTTTGTTTTTCAAATAATTGTCAATCTATTTTTGCTGACAGCAACTGACTGTGATCTTTGCATGTACTTTGGTTTGGCATATCTTTTTTTTTTTACCCAACATGTTTTTCATGTTGATTTAATACTGAACCAGAGTAGTTTGCATCCAAAGAACTACATGTCGGTCAGTTGAATCATTGATGCATGCTTCTCTTCTCAGTAAATGATTTGGAAAACAAGGAAGATGTGCTTGCATCATGTGATGAACTGATTTCTATTCCCTATTATATTTCTTGAGGTTTTAATTTATTGTTGTGCCCTGTTAAGGAACATGGAGCTCAAGTCATATCGACAATACCGACAGTGCCATATATCTTTGAGTATGGTGATGGAAGGTGCAAAATTGCAATTATTATATTATATATACTTGTTCTCTGTTAGTTTTCTAATCATGGAGTGCTTTATCCAGCAAAGTGCAAGTCGAGAACCCTGCAGCTTTGGCTTCAAATCCTGGAAAGCGTATAGCAGCTTGTTGGGAACCAACAGTCATTGCAACTATTATTATTCCTAGTGAGTAAGATCTGCTTCCTTTCTCATACACTCTTTTAGTTCATGAATTTATACATATTTATATTTATAAACCAGAAGTTCTTGAGACTACCCAACCGCTTTTTCAGGTATGTTGGGCCAGTAATTATGCTTTGTTCAGAGAGGAGGGGCGAGCAGCAAGAATATACATTCATTGATGCGTAATAGTTTACTCCAGAAATCATTTTCTTAAAATAAATTTTGTTCTTGCCTTACAGGGCTATTGTTTGTTTGTTTGATGCAGCCAAAGGGCTTTGTTGAAGTACCGATTACCATTGAGGGAAATCATTGTGGATTTCTACAATGAACTGAAAAGCATAACATCTGGATATGCTACTTTTGATTATGAAGATTCTGAGTAAGTTTCCTTTTCAACTCGGTAACCATACATGGTCTTGTCTAATCTTTTGATTTTTTTTAAACATTCTGAGATGGAAAGGCATGTATCTGTTTTCTTTCATCAGGTGGCCTTATTATTCTTTTCTGTTTTTTTGCTCCTTTTTGTGATGATTATTTTGGAGGCCTGTTTTATGCCCCATTCCTGAAATTCGTACTACACCTTGCTCACAATTTTCTACTCCCTCCGTTTCACAATGTAAGTCATTCTAGCATTTCCCACATTCATATTGATATTAATGAATCTAGATAGATATATGTCTAGATTCATTAACATCAATATGAATGTGGGAAATGCTAGAATGACTTACATTGTGAAACGGAGGAAGTATTTACAGTTCTTGTCTCTACTCCAGCATACTAAGTACTAGTAGTCACCTCACTTTCTTTAAAAAAAAGCAAAGTTGTAAGCACAAATAGAAAGCTCTCTTGGGAGTTTAGGCATCTAGTGTTTTGACCTTTTGAGAGTGTTTCCTGATGAATAATTATTACCAAATAATGTGAACTATAATCACATTCTGGAGATAATTTGCATTTCATGCGACTTATATTATCAAATTGCATGTAGGTATATTTCTATGGTTAAAATTAAATGGGTGACAAAGCAGGAAAAAATGCCACTATGGATGGCTGTTTATTTTCTTGTTTAACTCCCTTTAATTTACTTCAACAGGTACCAACAGTCTGATCTTGTTAAGATGGATATTTTACTTAATGGTCAGCCTGTTGATGCTATGGCAACAATAGTCCACAACCAGAAAGCTCAGAGAGTTGGACGAGAATTAGTGGATAAACTCAAGAAATTCATAGAACGGTATTCATCATGCTCCTTATTGTGGAAATCCTGATGCACAGATTATGCGCTTTTATAATATTTCCATATATTATTAGGGAACGACAAACATAATCGTGATTGCTGCCTACATTCTTTTATCGTTGTACAGAATGTCAAAAATTTTCACCCATCCATTACCGCCATCCTTTTTCGTTATGCTTTTGTCTCTGATTATGCAGGCAAATGTTTGAGATCACTATACAAGCCGCAGTTGGTTCAAAGGTTATCGCAAGGGAAACGTAAGATAGTTAAAACCTGCTGCTGTTTTTTTTTCCCTTACAAGTTAACAGCACGATTATTTTTAATGGATTGTGTTTATTCCCTAGCTTGTTGAAGTTATTATTTGCATGCACATCACTCTACAGCAAGGGAATTCATAGAAAATCACTTATCTGTCCATGAGAACTGATATTTTTTTCTAGTTGGGATGCACTTCCAACTCCCAAGTAAAATTGTGTTTGCCCATTCACATTTACCTTCTAAGTAGAACAATTAGATATGCTCTTTGGAGCTTGGAACATCCTAGGTACTTGGTAGTATTTGGTGTAAAGATAATCACTGGAGATGTTTCCTGGAAAAAAAGCGTTTAGAAAGCTAACCTTTCTTAGAGCCGATAATTTTGAATAGAACTATTGTGAACCTCTATTGGTCTAAGCAGAACTGGCTGCAAACTACAACCATACAGCCTTGGTAAATCTGTTCCATGATCTGATCTTACTTGGTCATCTGTGAAAGACCTGGACATAATATTCCATGCATGACTCTCAGAGACTCAGATTATTTACCATGCACTTAGTTTCCCGGTCTTAATTGTGTCTGTAATGTCATTCAGTTTCATGGTAAATGTTATGGTAACTATAAGGTTCATTCCGTTCATGTAAAATTCTGTGCATTTGTGTAAATACTTAAATATGCTATCTTGCATTGCTTCCAGTCTGTCAGCAATGAGAAAGAACGTTCTGGCCAAGTGCTATGGTGGTGATATTACTCGCAAAAAGAAGTTGCTAGAGAAGCAAAAAGAAGGGAAGAAGCGCATGAAGCGTGTAGGGTCCGTTGATATTCCTCAAGAAGCATTTCATGAGCTATTAAAGGTCTCCAATTCAAAATAGATGCTGTGCTTAGTGCTGTAGCTGTCTAACAGCATGAGGGTGTGTTGTGGTGAAACACAAACAGCATGTTCTGGACTTCTAGTCATCTTCTGAAAGGTGTGTTTATTACACAGTTTTACACGTTATGCCCCCATGTCCCAGTGTCCAGAAAGGCCTAATTTCATGCCATTTTGCTCTATTACAGGTGCCTTTTGGTCTAATGAGTACATAATGATGTTTCTTAATGATAAGAGGAGACAAAGCACCATTTTGCCATCTTTTGCTGTGGCAACATATTTTCATGTTGAGAAGCTAGCATTACCTTTTGTTTTTCATTGATTTTCACTGTACAGAATTCGGTGATGCCTGCTGAATCAGCAGTAGCGTCGGCTTACCCTTCTGATTCCTTAATTGGCACAGCCATTTAGCTGAATCTCATTTCTTTGTTCAAATTATGTTAAGAACTTTTTGGGAGGAAAATATTCCAGAGATAGTAAGTCCTTTTTTTTTGGGCAATGTTAAATAATTGGGTATTTCCCTTTGAGCTTCTCTAGTTCTGTTTAATGCAATTTTGTAATTTTGTAACTCTTCTGCTGCATGGTGTAAACTTGTTCTGGCGCTTTCATTCGGCTTTCTGTAAACATCACATAGAACCCGCAAAATATAATTATAATATATATATATATATATATATATATATATATATATATATATATATATATATATATATATATATATATATATATATATATATATATATATATATGAAGATACTACCGTAGGGTGCGTTGTATTAAAAAGCAACCGCCCCTACCCCCCCTCCTCCCCCACACCCACCCAAGCAGTCCCGCACACCCCACCCCCTTCTTTTGGTTGCTCCTCATGGTAACCTGTTTACTATACAATCACCCGTACTATACATATACTCAATTACTAAATTTTACTGGCCATTCTATTTTTCTCACGGTTATTCCCCGTTTTTTCCGGATCGCAGGTCGGCGACGGGCGGTCGAGCGGCGGGCGGCCGCCGGCTTTTGCTTCCTCGGCGTGCCGGGTGGTAGGCGGTGGCGATGGTGCGCCAGATCCGGATGGCAGTGGCTGGATAACCCCTGATTTTTTACTCCAATCGGAGTAAACCTATGATTATATATATATATATATATATATATATATATATATATATATATATATATATATATATATATATATATATATATATATATATATACCTATAAACCCATAATGAACAATTGCTTTCGCCAAGTTGCAATGGCTGTCGTACAAGAGCAAAATCAATACAGTTGCTATGAGCAGCAAGGAAAGCTTCAGAAATTTTTTAAAAAACGGTAGGAATACAGTTGCTATGAGAGCTTCAGAAAAAAAAAAGGTACAACAAAAGACAGTTGCTATGAGCAGCAAGGAAAGCTTTCAGATTTTTTTTTTAAAAAATGGTAGGAATACAGTTGCTATGAGAGCTTCAGAAAAAAAAGGTACACAAAAAGAAAAAACAGGAACTGCACCAGCCGGGAATCGAACCCGGGTCTGTACCGTGGCAGGGTACTATTCTACCACTAGACCACTGGTGCCTCGTGCAAATGAAAATTTCGTCAAAATATATAAGATACGTGACACTGTCAGAGTCAAACCGAAACAAACGCCACCCCCACCGGCCCAACCCGCCGTACTCTAGACTCTAGCCTAGGGTGGGCTCAAGCACGCGGCCATGGCGATCTCGCGCCGCCTCCTCCTCTCCCTCTTCCTCCTCCGCGCATTCTCCTCGCTTCCCGCTCAGGCCGCAGCGAGAGGCGCCTCCCATCCCTCAGGTCTCCCTCTCTCTCTCTCTCTTACCTTGTCTGCGGTTTTTTTCCCCGCTCATGAACCACTGCGTGTGGTGCCGATTGGATGTTCTAGAGCTCGATTCGTCCGCGTGGAATCTGTATGTTCGATTTCTCAGCTGGGGAGCTCGGGAGGACACGAATCCACTGCTTCACTTCCGGATTTGTGGGGGCGATGTCTGTGCCTGGACAATTTTGGTACAAGTGACTTCCGGATTGGGGACGATGATGTCAGTGCGTGGACAGTGATGAAGAGCACAAACTCTTCGAGTGCAATATGAGGGTGTAGTTGTGTGGAAGATTGCGTCATGTACTTAGCTTGGATAATTACTGTGATGAACTCGCACACCTCTGTCCTTTTCTGCGAAGAATTTTAGCTAGACTGGGAGTTGTGACTTTAGGCCTGCATCATCGTCTCATCTTATAGAATCATTGTCAATAGACGTAGCAGATCTGTTCATAGGTATGCAGTTAGTGACTCAATCTATATGTTTCTTAACCAGGTACCAGCGGAAATTATGGGTCATTTTTGCGCAACCTGCTTCAGGATAATCCCATGATAACGTATGTATTAATTATAGCCTTTTATGTTTCGTTTATTTCGTCATTGCATATTTTGCACGCCAACATGGGATTGAGCATATTGGCTATGCTTTTGTAACAAACTTAGGGAGGAATTGGTCCGTGGATATATGAGCAACTCGGAACTTGAGATTGCTGTGCATGCCATTGGAAGCCGCTATCCTAATATCTCCAGGATATACAGGTACATTATGTTGTGATACTTTGCTTCTTGGCGATGCGAGTATATCATGGAGTTTCTCAACAGCATTCAAGACCCTCAATATTTTTAACCATGCCAAATCACATCACTGGTGAAACTGAACATCGATTAAAATCACATGAAAAGAAAACCTATAAATTTCCAAAACTCTGAGAATTATGAGATACAAGGAACTTCAAAGTTATGTTAAAATTGCAAAGTTTAACCAGATTAGGATTTTAACCTGACATTTCACCATCAAAGTATGGTATTATGGTGTAATCAATTCTTTGCTGTCAATGGTCCATACAATCTGCACTGATAGGTAGTTAGGGTAAAGATAAGATATCTTTTAGAGAAAAGCAATCATAAAAGTGCTAAGTTCAAAACCATCAGCCCACTCATAAAATTCTATGGTGTTCTATTTGTGGCATGCGAGAGATCTGTGAGCAGATAATTGAGTAGTATATAATAAAGAACTGAATCTTCTAGTTGGATACTGTCACTCTGTCAGTTACACTGATGGACTGTAGCTTGTTATGGAACTTCAAATTTATATTGAATTCATCTCAAGTTTTTCTTAAAAGTGTTATCTCTCACTTTTATGTCCTGTATGCTCATACATTCAAACTTTGCTTACCTATTATTTATTCTCTCTTTGAGGGATTGCACGATCATGTTATCAGCATTGGAAAGAGTGTGAATGGTGTCACATTGGTATGTAACTCGAGTATTTTTTATTTTTGTTATGCTTTAGTTAATGTTAAATTTGTATAAGAGAACTTTTATGGTTCTTGTAGTGGGTGATTGAAATATCAGACAAGCCTGGGCAAAAGGAAGCTGAACCAGCATTCAAGGTTTGTGGTTCTGTTTCATGAAGAGTTTCCTACATTGGTGTTCCCTTTTCAATTTGTATATGCAATGAACTCAATGGATGAAATTCTATGCCACTCCACTCTGATAACAATTATCCTCATCGGCTTATCTAGTGTTTTGTAGGCACCTTTGACAGAAAATTATATTCACACATGTGGAATATCTTCAATGTCAATGTAATGTCTTTACTCCATTTAATTTATTTGACTCCCGTGGGGCTATAGCCATTTCTTTCTTAATTCTTTAGGACTTATCCCCATATTGCAACTGAAAGATAAGCTATAGCAGAACTGTACAAGTGGTTCCCCACAACCACCACCACAAAAGTTCTTTAAAGGAGAAATCAGTGTCCTGGTACCAGCAGTGTGACATGCTAGGGAAAAAAAAACACATACTAATTGGAGCCATTAGTTGTGCCTCAAGATACTTGCCACTCTCCATGTCTAGACCAATTCTGGTGGAGAGGAAGATTCAGTAAGGAAGATACATCTGTTGCGTTCTTTCCATAGTAACCAGAGATCCAGAACACCAGAATTACCAGAACACTGAAAACTTTTTGAAACTGCCTGCAACCTCTTTCCTTGCCTTCAACCACGAGGTTCACCTGACATCTTCCCCCACAGTTGGCACTAGGAAATCAATGCAGCCCAATCACGCACTCGGAGCTACATTGGTCAAGTGTAGGATGGTACGAGTACCAGAGCAGAGGTGTGACAGTATAATGCGTAATAACAATTATTCATATAACTTTCTTTAAATAATAACCTTTAGCATTTATTCTTACTACACTATAAATCTGTAAATAAATATCTAGGTTATCTATTTCGTCAGTGGTTCTGATTATATATCTGTGAATTTTGATGTATTTTTTGTACAAACTTGCAGTATGTTGGTAATGTCCATGGTGATGAACCTGTTGGAAGGGAGGTTCTTATAAAGCTTGCAAATTGGCTGTGTGATAACTATTTGAAGGATCCCTTGGTAAGCAAGATTCTCACATTGTTATCTGCTCTTAAATTCGATGTTTGTCTGGCTCAACTATGGTTTTACGCAATATATTTCCATCTGTTTTACTGAAATTGATAGAAATATATGGTAAGCTCAAAAACTTACCAGTTAAACTAATATCTGTAGGCAACTCTTATTGTGAAAAACATGCATCTTCATATACTTCCAACGATGAACCCTGATGGATTTGCTCTTAGAAGACGTGGTAATGCAAACAATGTTGACCTCAACAGAGATTTTCCTGACCAAGTCAGTGATGCATTATTTTCTTCTTATGGAATATTTGGATTCCTTTTGTTCTTTACCTACTTGAGCCTTTTAATTATATTGTTAATGCTGGCAGTTTTTCACCAACAACGATGAAATTAACTACAGACAACCTGAAACTAGAGCTATTATGAACTGGGTAAAACAAGAACACTTCACTGCCTCCGCTAGTTTGCATGGGGTAATTATTCTTTCCCTAGCACTTCTATGCAAAAATATTAAATTAGTCATGTAATTATCTTCCCAGTTATCTTTCTGTGATCAAAGCAAATTTCAGTAAATGATGAGGCACCTCATCAGGTTCCTTTTCTGGTTTATAATCTTGCTCATCTCATGGGAATGTCCTCCCTTTTTTTTTGTCTTTTTGTTAGTTATTACAAGCAAGGGAACTATTTTGCTGCTATATTGAGTTACCTATGTTGCTTTTAATTTTAGGTGCTATCTTTACCAGTATTCTTACTGAAAATGCTAGGGTGTTTATGCTCTCTCTGCTGTTTATGGTTTGGATGTTATTATCTGTAGTTATTGATACTGGTAATGTCATATATTTGACAATTCTTACTTTGTTGGATAATATTGCTTTCTAAAAGCAAGCAAATGGGTTTGAATTAGACCTTGTAGTCCACAAACTACTTTGGTATAACTATTAGTTTCACTGAGGCATTCTTCACTTAGTCTTCAAGCGTTAAACATCATTGTTTTAAGTTTTAACACATAAAATAAAAACAGTAACATATGGGAGGGAAAATTATCTTGTTTAATAATAATAGAAAATCTTTGTAGTTCAGGAAATATTTTATTGATTTATTAGTTTCTCTGGGCTGCATTCATATAATCTTCGAATATTAACATAATTTGTTTTAATTTTAACCAGAATAAAAATAATAACAGACCAGGGGGAGAGAAGGTTCTTTTTTTTTAAAAAAAAAATCTACTGAATTGCAAGCATGATGGTTGCAACTTGCAAGAAGGAAATCTCGTGCACAGCTTGTAAGATTAGTTTATTTGAAATCATGAGTTATTTATCCTACCAGCCCATCTACTACTCTACTAATTGTTAATGGTGCAATGCATGGAGTTTACAGATTTGTTCACATGTTCAAATGACCCTTATTAATTGCATTGATTATTTTTGGTGGCAGTTCATTTCAAAGTTCAAACTAGTGCCTGGGATTCATCCATTGCCCTTTGATTTGAATTTTGCAGGGTGCTCTTGTTGCAAATTATCCATGGGATGGGTCTAGAGATCAAAGGTGTTACCTTGTTTCTATTATTTACATTCAGTTCAAGTATTCCAATTATTAGTTTTGTGTAAATTTTGTACATCATAAAAATATCTAGAAACAATCTTTTGATCAAGGACTTCCCACGCATTTATTAGTGTATGATTCAAAGGTTGTATGGTTATGTATTTTTCTCGACTTATTGCTAATGCTAGTATTACAAATTTGATGTTTGCAAATAGTTTCATAGAGTTTGGAGTGCATGTGGGTACCTTTGCTTGTTCTAATGCGACATTGTCTTGACTCTTTATGCTGTTGACTGGTTTTTCTTCTTTACAAGATCATTCAGATATCTTAGCATCATGGTAGTTGAGAAAGACATCCGTGATACATGCTTACTTTGAAACTTTGTCATTCTCACAAGGATTGTCATTCTTACAGCAAACAGTATTATGGATGTCCTGATGATAAGACATTCCGGTACATGGCATCAGTTTATAGTCAATCGCACTATAACATGTCTTTGAGCAAAGAATTTAAAGGAGGGATTACAAATGGAGCATTCTGGTATAAAACTAGTTTTGTATTATTGCTCCTTATCATTTTTTTTATTTCATATCAAACATTTTGTTGCTGCTACTTTTCATGCTAACTAGCAATCTATGCTTTTTTGTGTTGAGGTATCCAATCTATGGTGGGATGCAAGACTGGAACTATATACATGGAGGTTGCTTTGAGTTAACCCTGGAAATTAGTGACGTAAAATGGCCAAAGGCAGCTGAGGTATTTTTCTTTTTTTTTGCATCTAGTTATCTGCCTATCAATTTCCAGATAACTTGATAATCACTTTGTTGTGTTATTTCTTCCAAATTCTTCTATAGCTTCCTGTCATATGGGAACAGAATAGGATGAGTATGCTTAATCTTGCTGCAAGCCTTGTGAAGGTAAGACATTTCCACAGGATTCATTTTTTTCACTGGAAAGGTTAATTACTGTACTTCTCGAAATGAAATGGTGCCAGTTGGTTTTCGGATTGAGGGCTCGAGGTTCTCGTAGGAGGGTACTGGTAATGGCCAAAGTTGAAAATTTTTTCATGTTGGATTTCTCCTGAAACAAAGTGGTTCAGTGTAGTTTTTGTTGGTGCCATTCTGGCACATGATCAAGTTCAACCAGGTTGTCTTGGTGTTTCATCTTTTCACACTTTGGTGACCTCACACCACGACTTGAACTCTGCACTAGCAAGCTGGCCCTTTCTGTTGCTGTTAGACACAACATTGTTAGTAATGTATGCCATCTCTAGCTTCAGTCAACATATTTCTTGGTTCAAAGATTTGAAGAGATTAATGCTTGCCAAGTCTATTTGATGGGAGTTATTGGGATAGGTTTTCTCCTAGTACTTGTTAAAGTTGAGAATTAAGAGTTAAGTCAATTAGGATTACATGCAGTCAGTGCAGTTCCCATCTTTTGTCTGTAACACAGTACAGGGTACCCTATCTTTTTCTATTTTTTATTTGGTTTTACAAAAGGGGAATTTGAGTTGGAGGAGCAGAGAATTCTTAGATTGTCAGAGTTATGACCCTGCTAAGGTTTATAACTTTATACAGGTATATGATTGAGATGCTCCATTGGTATGTGTTATCAAGGAGTAAAAGTTAAACCAAGAGGGGTGTTAGTTTGTAACCATGTCATTGTCAGACTTATGAAACAAGACCTTTGAGTAACCAGCACTATCCTGTACTAACGGGAGATATCATTTGAAGTTTGCTCCTTTGTGTCGTTGTCTATAAGAAATAACTGAAATTGCTACCTTGTCCATCATATATGGCTATTGTTTCAGACGGGAGTTCATGGAAGGATATTTGCGGCAGATACAGGTCATCCTATACCAGGCTCCCTGACGATAAAGGGTATCGGTTCTGAGGTTAGTTTATTTTGGCAGCGTTAACCAATAATGATGTGAACAGTATTGGTGGCCTTTGGATCTGCACTGTAAATTGATTGTTGGTCAAAATATTTTTAGAACGGATAAACTGGTAATATCCTAATATCCTAAGTAACGAGTACAACGAAATTTATTGCATAACGTTCAGGCTTATCATTTGATAGACCTAATACTTACCGTTTTCTTGCTTTTAGATAAGGGCTAGCAGGACTTATGGCGATTACCATCGAATGCTTGCACCTGGTGAGAACTATGAAGGTAGGGTTTCTTCTATGGACAACATCAATACTTATGTATACGATTATACAGCCTTTTCCTCAAAAACATTATTGAAAATGCCTGGCAAGTGGGTACACAGCTGAAATTTCTGATAATCACCAACCAATCATATTTACCACTGACCATTAGCTAGTGAAGGCAAAATTTATCCTCCAGTTGGAGCTTTGGCTATGAAGTGAACCATTTGCTACCCGCATAGTTAACTGTATTGATATCATAGCATGTTTTGATGGGTGTTTCTAAAACTGGATCAATGAATGATCTATGGTGTTAATTTTTTTTGATGATCTTGTCAGTCATGGCATCTATGGAGGGCTTCCGAACAAAAGCTACACGTATTGTGGTGGAGGAGAAGGCTGTGAGCTTGGACTTCATCTTAGATCGAGATGGAGCTAATGGACAAGTGGTCCGTAATGACTTAGGTTGCCCATGTGACGACGACAAGTTGTTTCATGTGCAGGGAGCTCGCCTCGAGCTGTATCTATTTGTTTTGCTCATTATCATCGCACTGTATGTTCTCTTCAAGAGAAAAACAACATCGAAATTCACGATTCACAGACATTCACCGAAACGGCCAATTGCTGTATAAGATTTAGAAAATTTTGCGAGTCGATACAAATCTGTAGCTGACCCAATAGTGATGTAATTTCTTCAGTCCAATGTAACTTCAGTTTGTACTGCTACAACATTTTGAGCTTAATTAATACTCCCTCTTTCCCTAAATGTTTGACACCGTTGACTTTTTTAAATATGTTTGACCGTTCGTTTTATTTAAAAACTTTTGTGATATGTGTAAAACTATATGTATACATAAAAGTATATTTAATAATAAATCAAATAATAGAAAAAGAATTAACAATTACTTAAATTTTTTGAATAAGACGAACGGTCAAACATTTTTAAAAAAGTCAACGGCGTCAAACATTTTGGGATGGAGGTAGTATAGTGGAACACTCACGATGTACTCCACGCCCAAGCAGCATTACCCACAACCACACATTTGTCAGATGGCTTACAAATCTATAACATGAATTAATGCAAAACTTATAATTATCAAGTGGATAGCAACCAACACCCCCAAAAAAAAAATCAAACCTTTTTTGAGAATATAAATTGTATATAACATAGCACTAATGAAAACTCAGTTTGTTTACTGGATCTTGTCTGCGTGTGTGTGAACTGAACATAGTCAACATGCAACGCACAAAGCTTGAAAAATATGAAAACTCGACTTGTTGAAAATTCATAGGAAACTTAAAAATATGAAAACTCAACTTTCTGAAAATTCATTGATAAGCGGTACCACCTAAGTTGACTACAACTGTGTCGTGTTTGTTCTCCTGAGCTGATTATATACAATAATACAAATGGTCTGTCTCTAGTATTTCTCAGGAGGTGTGCCCCAGAATCAGTTTCATTCATACTCCATTCATAAGCCATAGTACAAAGTTCAGACACGTACACACAACCAGTCGTTCATACATTGGAGTACACGGTACAGACACAGCATGCCCGTGCACACACACACTACCTTCATCTCTAAACACACAGACACAACCCTCTAATACCCTCTAATCTGAGTAAACTACAGTAGTGAATAAATCATGGTATACAAAGGCACAACATACTCCAGATATCACGTATGCCGCATACACAAAAATCTTGGTCGCCACGTTGAGACAAGCGAAAACGGATACCTTCACCTCAATCAGATAATAATAAGTGAAGGCAGCGAGAACAACCGAAACTAGAGACATAGCGACGGCAGCAAACATGAGGATACGAAGCTTCAACCTCAAGCGCAGGTTGAGGGTCGACAGCTCTCCGGCGGCTTTGAGTCGGTAGCGGACGAGGCAGATGAATATCGCAGAGATAAACATCGCGACCACCATGAAGTGCTGAAGGATTGCTACCTTTTGGAACACAGACAAGATAAAAAAGGAACTCGATCAGGTGAGCAACGACAATGCAGACATGGAAGAGAACGGAGATGAAGAACGAGAGCTAACTAATTAACCAAACCACCTGCTCTCTGTGCTGTGTTCACTCTCCCTCTGCTTGCTTGAGCTCTTGTGACTTGTGCTTGAGAGATGAGACGCTCTCACTGATGGCAGAGCAGGCATGAGTACCGAGTAGTGAGAGGAGATAGTAGCATGGAAAGAGGTGGCCGGGTAACAGCTACTAGCTCAACTAGTTAATTTGTGTCCAGGATACTTGCTAGGGTGGCGATTGTGATAAATGGGGTGTCTACATTCAGGATTCAGGGGTGTTAAGTTTTAGCGTGTCACATCAGATATTATATAGGATGTCACATACATATTCGGACACTAATAAAAAAACTAATTCCAAAATCTATCGGTAAACCGTGAGATGAATTTATTAAACCTAATTAATCCATCATTAGCAAACGTTTACTGTAGCACCACATTGTAAAATCATGGAGCAATTAGGCTTAAAGATTTGTCTCGTAAATTAGTCGTAATCTATGCAATTAGTTATTTTTTAGCATATATTTAAAACTTCATGCAGGTGTTCAAGCGTTTGATATGACAATGTGTAAAATTTTGGAGGTGGGATCTAAACAGGCCCAAATACGGAGTACGAAGCTCACCTGAAACTGTGTAGATGTGCAAAACGACAAATAAAAACAATGATCAAGCTGGAAAAATGCAGTTACGAAGAAGTTGTTCAGATTGTAGCTAAAATAAATCTTACTAAATTTTGGACATGCTAAAATTTTGGCAATTTGTCAATTGACAAGTTTTGGTTGGATTTATTATGTATTTACCACAGTTCGGTAAAAACTAAATTGATGCACATATTTAGTAGCTTTACTTTTAAAAAAGTATGGTTTAAAATGACATCTACCTAAACAATTCTGAACACATTTACATTTAAAATTGTTTACATGTGTAATTGAGTAAAACGACAAGCAAAAAAAAGCATACGTAATATCCAGGGAGAGCACATGAAAAAATGCGTACATATTTTTTAGATATGTGATACAAATAAAGTTTTTACGGCTAAACTCTAATAAATTACCATTAGAAGATATGCGTAATTTGTTCTAGATATTTTATATGACATTTATTAGCTAGTTGATGTGTACACAGAACACGTTATCTACGAAAAAAATTGAAAAACATATCTTTTCTTCACCAGTTTTAGAGAAATATATACGGTTACGAAGGATTAGCGTGAGTATCCGTTATCACATAGGGAAGCGAATTCGTAGCGAGTTCATCACGCGCGGCGAGTTCGCAGCCCTAACGAACCAAATTGCGTGCTGCAGCCGTGGCTTCAATCAATTAATTACTCACTTTATATCCAACGTTTGTTTCACTTTATATCCGACGTTTGTTTTGTTCGTCTTATTTAAAATTTTTTTAATTAGTATTATAATTGTTACTAGATTATAATAATATATGAATAGTATTTTATATATGATTTTTTTATTTTTTATAAATTTCTTAAATAATATGGACAGTCAATTGTTAGACACGGATGTCCACGACTGCATTTAAAATGGAAAGTAGGAAGTAACTAATTAGCGTTATTAGCGCTTAATTAATTAGTTTATATTTTTTTAATTAGCATCGTTAGCGATTAATTTATCATTAAATCATTATTAGTCAGCAGTTTCGCTGCTCAGCCAGGCGAACTCCCCGCACGAAAGCGCGCGTCACCACGAGACCGCTTCTTTGATCTGAGACGGGTATATTTTTATCAATTCGTTTCAAACGTATGTATTCCTAATTTCCTATAAACCGATTAAAGAATTGTATCTTTTCAAAAAAAAAATTCCGTTATCTACAACCACAAACATTTGTTCAATATTTGAGGGATAATGTTAATGTATAACTGTTCATGGATTGGAAAAATAATTTTCTCCCTAAGCATGCATTTAGGCTGATTGTGCAACCTGGAAGGATCGAACCTAGGGCAATGTTTAGTTCCCTTCAAACTTCTAAAAATTCCGTCACATCAAATGTTTAGACACATGCATAGAGCATTAAATGTGGGGAAAAAATTAATTGTACAGTTTACATGTAAATTGCGAGACGAATCTTTTAAGCCTAATTACATCATGATTTTGACAATGTGATGCTACAATAAACATTTGCTAATTATGACGGATTAATTAGGCTTAATAAATTCGTCTCGCAGTTTACGGATGAATCTGTAATTTGTTTTGTTATTAGTCTATATTTAATACTTCAAATGTGTGCCCGTATATACTTAAAAAGATTTTAGCACACGAACTAAACACGGCCATTGTCGTATTCATAAAGACCATAACCAATTTGCAAAACACATAAGTACAGCCAATTAAACCCTCAGCCAGGAATCTTTGAACACCCCTGCGCACGCGGAGAAGCAGCCCAGAAGCTAACGAACGAAGTATAATGATCCACCAAGCTTGGCCATCTTTGTGTCGTATCGATGAACAAGAAAGCATCTAACAAACCTGTCAACCACTGTACATATATCATTTGAATTAATATATGGGTGAAATTAAGTTTTAACACAAGATGGTATTAGTATCAGCGAACGATTACTATTTTCTAAATAATAAATTGTTCGTACTCTGGATTATTGCAAAAGCATAATATAAGTGACTCTAGGAGTATATTGTACAACTTTTAACTAACGAAATAAAGAAAACATATAATATAAAAAAGTATATGGGTGAAAGTTTTAATTTGAGATTGTATTAGGAGTATCAATGAACGATTGAGGGCTTCTTTATTGCAGGAATTTTAGAGAGAGAAAAAATAATGGATTCGATTACTAATCACTCATTTGGATTGGAAGAAAAGTACATAGGAGAATTTGAAAATTATTTGTATTTTTTATTTTCATTTTATCTTGAGAAGTCTAAGACAAATCGAGGCATGTGATTTCAAATTATTATAAATTTAACACTCATCAAGCAAAAAAAAATATTTTATACACAAATAGTAATGATCTTGTGTTTCATCCTATTCCTATATTTCAAAAGATGTGTGTCCTATTTTCTTATGTGCTTTTTAATATTATATTTTTTTCACATGTAATTTTATTTTATTCCTATGTTTTTTAATTTCTGCATCTTTTTAACTACTCCTTTAAAAGCCTGGAGAGAGTAACTGTCGAGTAAATTTATGTAGGTAGATCTTCCTTTGAATTCGATGTAAGATACTGTAATGATCACAGGGACTCCGTTGTACTCCATCACATCTTTTCTGTTCTGCATCACTTCACTGAAGTTGGAAGTTCTGCAGCACTTCACAGGGACAGCTTTGAATTCAACGCTATGGACTGGGAGTAGCGTCTTGTTTGCTTAGAGCAAATATAATAGTGAGCTATAAGAAGCTTAAATGCTGAGGTGGATGGAAGAAGAGAGGAGAGAGATGAGAAGCGGGCTGTAAGTTTACAGCCTGCTTAGTCACAGGAACCAAGAAAATTGTGAGACAGACATGTGGACCATATATTTGTAGTGAAGAGTTAACCACTATATAAATACATAGATAGTATATAAGTAAGTAGCTGGCTGTATTATTATCCTTGCTCTTATACTGTAGCGGAGCAGTAGTACTACTTATTATTCCTACTTCTATACTTCTATGGGACCACTGGAAAGGGACGAAGAGAAGATTGTCGGTGAGAAAAAGAGAAGATAGAGAAGATCAAGAATTAAGAATACGCAAATGCACTCTTTTTTTTCCCTTCTCAGAACACAT